CCAGGTCTTCGGAAGCACTCATGACATCCAGCTCCCAAGTACCTCACTGCCTGAGGGGCCATCACCTGCCTCTGCTGGTCTTCTTACAGCCTTCCTCTCTTACTGGAAAATACAATCTTGCATGCTTCTCCTTTTAAAAGCTGGCACCAGTGGTGAGCACAATCTGAACATGCTGCTAAATGAGGCTGCAACCACACTGACACATGTTTTGGGGATTGCTCTGCAAATACTGCGGGTGAATCTGAAGTATATTTCAGTCATCGTATGACACAATGTGAATCAGCCTGGCCCTTTTTTGCTTCTGGTTCGGAGGTTTTCCCCTGCTATCTTTTTAAAAAGTTGGAACTATTCAAATAATGTTTCCTCTGTGAGATTGTTTGTTTCATCCTACAAAAGGATAGAGCAGAGGTCCCCAGCCTCCAGTGCCAGTCCGTGGCCTGAGCTGGACCAGGCCATGGAGACAGACCTCCCCCCCCCCACCCCCACATGCACTCCCCTCCACAGCCCTTTTGCACCTGCATATGCATCTGCACCCACATGAGCGCAAACTTCCCCACCCCAAATTAACTGTGAAAGTCTATAGAAGAGCCGGGATACCCAGTGTGGTGTAAAGTGGTGGCCTAGGGACTCAGGATACCTGGGTTCAAAAACTCCCTTTTGGCTATGGAAATTCACTGGGGAAGTGAATCTGGTAAACCCACTCCTTAAATATCTCACCTCAGAAGACTTTTTGACTTATGAGTCAATATTGACTTAACACATAACATGTTCTTTGCGCACTTACTTTGAAGTAAGCTCCACTGATCTAACCCACCCGGATGACAGGTAGGAGTTGCTATCTTACAACCTCTGGAGCCATCTGCTGTTAGGAAACAGACCAATACTCTGCTGCAGTTTTACTTTAAGGGCATGACCTTCACAACAAGAGGACAGTGTGACCAAGCAGTGTATCGTGGCAAACAAGGCTGGAGTTATGGCCAACCTTCACAACAAGAGGACAGTGTGACCAAGAGGTGTATCCTGGCAAACAAGGCTGGAGTTATGGCCAGCTACTGGTGGGGGAGTGCGGACCAGCACGAATCAGATACAATTGGCTCCTGCACATTAGTATAATGGACAAGGCTGTCCATCTTACCGCCCCCTAGAGTCGGACACGACTGGACAAAAATTGTCAAGGGGAACCTTTACCTTTACCTTACTGGTGGGGGAGTGGGGACCAGCACAAATCAGATACGATTGGCTCCTGCACATAAGTATAATGGACAAGGCTGTCCATCTTGTCACCAGGGTTGAAAAAGACTCAGTCGCCAACCCCACTTTGGCTTTTACACACGAATGTGCAAGCTGATAGTGACAGCTTTCTTGTCCTTTGACTGAAGTAGACGTAGGTCTCTAGCCAGCTTTTCTTCAATTAATGCCTCACATCTCTGCTCTCTTGGGGTTGTGAGTTTAATACAACTGCCTGAAGCCTTCAAAAGCAGCTGCCAAAGAGTGGCCTGTAGGAGTGTTCTCTGTCGTTTACTAACCCCTGCCAACTCGTAAGAGGGAGTGAACTTAACATGGCAAATGGGCCCAGCACTTCCCTCACTTCAGCAACTGCCTGAAGCCTTCAAAAGCAGCTGCCAAAGAGTGGCCTGTAGGAGTGCTCTTTGTCGCATGGCGAATGGGCCCAGTACTTCCCTCACTTCAAAGCAGGAGAACTGGATGACCTTGAAATTTTCTGTCTTCCACATTCTAATTGTGGTTAATATACCTTGACGTTTTGGACTACTACTCCCAGAATTCCTTCCCCCCCACAACCAGCATGACCAATATCAGTTTCAAGGCGCTGTACTCGAAAAATAGTATTTATTTATTTATTCAAATCTAAGCTCTCCAGGGCCACCTTTGGGAAAGAGACAAGGGAATGTATACCTTCTAACAAAATGCCTCAGCTTTCCTGAGGTGTCCACAATTACCTCCTAGTCCTTGCAGACCATGTACTTATTGGTAATTCCCTTTACAAAACAGATGGCTTGCCACTGACTGGTTTTTCTGGCTCAATTATTTCTCTCCTACCAATAATTATAATGATGATCATGATGCAATGTCTAGTCAAATTCTAGCTTATGGCAACCATTTTAAGGGTTTTCCAGGTAGAGAGTATACTCAGAAGTGGTTTACCATTCCTTTCTAATGGGGTGCCCTGGGAGTGTCCTATTTAAGCAAACAGTCTTGAGCAATAATACTTGGGTTAGAATTAAGTACTCTTGAAATGTGGAAATCTAAGAGAATGCTTTCACTAGATGGAACACAGGTAAAATATAGGTGTCATTTGTTTAACTGTGTGTCCTGGTTTTAAGTCCCTGTGGCATAATTTGGGATCTAAATGGCCTGTGCCTTAAGCCTCCTGCTTAATAACTCCTGTTGAATGCGTAGCCCTTAAACAGATTACTGCCTTCATTAGCTCAGCAGTGAAAAGAGCTTGAAGCAGTGAATTTTTTTGCTTTTCTTTTTGTGCTTTGTTTGTATATTGCTTAGTTAATATTAAGCAGTAAAAAAGAATAGTGAACACCCACCTCTGTCTAACAGACATGTCATTTGCTTAATAAATACTTTTCCTCCCATAAAACAATCTTTGATGTTGATTTTTAACGTTCAGCTTCTGCAAAAAGCTTCCGTTCTTGAATTACATCTTGGATTTTTAAAGGGGAGGAGGATGACAAACACAAACACACACACACAAATCCCCGCTATTGATTCAGAACTGAGGAAAAAGTAGCATTTTTCTATTCCAGAAGCTTTTCTTCTTCTCAGCTACGTTTTTTTGTCCTCAGCTGGCCAGAGGCTTGAGTCCAGATTTCACTCAGATTGCCCCTGGGTCCACCTCTGTTTGAATACCCTTGCCTCAGTCGGCAGTTTTACAAGTGTCTTTTCTCTCTCCGAGAGCAACTATGCGAGTCAAACTCTGCAGGATTTGCTTTGCTTGTAAAACGGGGGAATCTAAAATATATTTACTGAACAGGCTTTTCTCTGTGCTCGTAGTTGTGATATGTTCTTGTAAAGATGGCAGGGGATGTGTGTAGGTGGTGTTATAGTGATGTAGGCAGCTGGGGCATAATGTTCAGGCCCAGGGGGACATGCCCCCACATTCATTCCTCACCCTTGATCACACTCTGAATTTTTAATATTTTTTTTAAAAAACTTCTTACACATATGAGGTTAGTGCTAAATCACCCTGTCACCTAACTGCTGGGTCATCGTTATGATTATTTCCCGTATTTACACACACACCCTCATCAGTTCCCCAGACAACATCCATAGAAGAATATTAGGTTCAGTGTGTGACTAGTACACACTGGCCAGCAGGTGTCGCCTCACAACTGATGGGGCCTGGTTGATGACTTGCTGTCATTTCTCCCTTCCTGTTACTCGTCAGCAGATGGTGGCGTTCTCTGCCAGAACCAGCTGAGAACATATGAGCACATCTGCCTTCTAATGCCTTCCATTCCTTTCCCTTCCATTGGCTTCCCTTCCCTTCATCTTCCCCTGAAACCAGCAGCTGTACCATCGTGTCCTTCAATATACCTGTTCAGATTAACACTAGGGCAGTAGACCAAGTTCGCTGTACTGTACTGGATTAGCCACACTGGGATTCTGGGAGTTGTAGTTCAAAAAGAAACTTTTCCAAGCTCTCCTGGGGACTACAGCAATGTGGGACAGATGTCACACAGGCAACTCTTCATTGTCATCCTTTACCCACCCGCACCCATCTCTCTTCTCCTTCAGGCCTGAAGGAAAGACCACAATGTCTTACACACAGATGGTGAAATAGCTTACTTGGATAAGATGTGGGGGCAGCTGGGATAGGCTTATCCTCAGGATCACTCCTGATCTATCTCAAATTGCAAAAAAAATAAAAAAAAATATCTTCATTAAGAGAGTCAGAGTTCAAATCTCTTCTCCATTGAAAATCCATTCCTGCAAATAAAGTGGGGGGATCATGCCAGTAAAATATTTTGCAAATGTTGATCACAAATTTGGAAATTCATACAGTAGTTGAATTCAATTAAATTTGCTCTTGCTTGTTGTGTAACTCCCCCCCTTCAAACTTTTCAAAATAAAGCTGACATTTGCTGATGCTGCTGATTAGAAAATGATAAAAGCACTATGCACAGTCAAAATTATAAAAACATTGACTGATATTATATAATTTTGACTGTGCCTGGTGTTTTAATAATAAATAGGAGGAGGAGGAGGAGGAGGAGGAATTGTTGTTGTTTCTAGAGTTGAAAACACAGAATTGGAAAAACTATCAAAGTACAGAGACCTGGCAATCAAAACATTTTGCCTCTGGAAGAAACATACTTTAGTGGTCCCCATTGTCATTGGGGCTTTGGGAACAATATCAAGTAATTTCACACTTAGCAAGCTGCCCAAAGGGAAAACCCCTCTCTACTTATGCCCCTGAGGAACAGCTGATGTGCGGGGGCATAAGCAGATAAGAAATGAAGGGATTATAAGGGTTATACTTGTTGCTTCATATTCGTTGGGGTTTCTGAACCCCAAGAATACGAAGCAACAAATATCTGATGAATGAGGATATATAACGAATATCCTGATTCATTTTTAAATTCATCCCCATGTCTGATTATTAATCAAACTTAATGATAATAATAATACCTATGCTCCATCAGGTCAATTCTGACTTATGGCAACCCTTTTCAGGGTTTTCCTGGGAGACAATACTCAGAAGTGGTTTTACCAACCCATTCTTCTGAAGGCATCCTGGGACTGCGTAGCTTGCCCAAAGCTATACAGGCTGACTCTAGTCATAGGAGGCGCAGTGGGGAATCGCACCCGCAGCCAGATACCTAAACCACTGATTTATCCTGCTGCCCTCACAGGTCTCCAAAAATCTGAGTCTGAAGCAAACACCATAGTCTGTCTAATGGCAGGACCAGCCCCATTTCACCTGGAAAAAAAGCCCAGCTATGTTTGCACCAGCAACAACCCGCCTACAGAGGGCAGTAGAGGCAGAGACAGACCGCGCATGCCCTTGCCTTTTCGATACTGTACCCCCAGCGTACAAACGGCAGTTCTTAGGTTTGACTTTATTTTTATTATTTTCTACTGTTGTTTAGCGCCAACAACAGTGAGAAGAGAGCCCAGGCTCCTCTGAGAGACGTGTAATTTGCTTAATAAACACTTTAACTCCCACAAAGCGGTCTTTGATGTTCATTTTTAACAACCACCTCCCTTTTCTTGAGTGACACCTTTTAGAAGAAGAGAGAAAAAAAACACCAAAAATTTACAAAACCTCACGATTGGATTCAGAATTGTTCGAATAAAAAAGAGCAGCATTTCTCCATTCCGGAAGCTTTGTGCTTTCTTCCAGCGGGGCTCCCTTCCTCCTGATCTGGCCAGATGCCCGGGTCCGGAGTTCAAAGGGCACCCACTCTCGCCCCCACCCCACCCCATCCCGTGCCCAGCCTAATTCCCTCCGTGTGAATGACCCCGTTGGGATCTGCTGTTTTGCAAGCCCGATCTCTCTCCCCATGGGGGCCACCCGCTGGGGGATGTGCTCTGCTGGGAAAATTAGCCACGATTTTATCGTAGCTGTGAAGACACTGCCACCAGAAGATCATAAGGTTGTATAACAACAAGGTGGAAACAGGGCGGATGGGTGGGGGTGGGGAAGGATTCATGGCCCAGCCAGCACAGTCCTGAGTCCTCAAATAGCTTCTGCATGCCTGATGGTCAAACTATAGGAAGTATAATATGCTCGAGTCTTCTGCTGAGAAAAGAGAAGGAAGATCTGACAGAGTAAAAATAAAATAACTGAGGTGGCTGAAAGCTAATTTGCTAGATTAACACTAATCTGATAATGTTCTACTAGTGGGGTAGACAACACCTCCCACCATCCGAGGTAATGATGCCAAACCCCAGTTAGCTCCTGAATGTGTGAAACCCGAAGAAGGGAGAGTCTAGGATTTTTGATTCTTCTGCTGAGGAAAGAGAAGGGAGATTTAATACAGTAAAATTAAAGTGCTGTACAGGTGTGGTAGACTACAATTCCCATCATTTGTGCTCTGTAAAAGGAATGTGGTGTGAGTTCTACCAGAGGTGTTTCTCTCTCCCACTCCCCTGGTAGTCTGGTTAATCTGTTTCACATGTACAACAACAACAACAACAACAACAACAACAACAACAACAACAACAACAACAACAACAACAACAACAATGGTCTTGTAGCAATTTTAAGAGATTTGTTTCATTGCAAGTGAAACAGGTGGTAATCCACATAGGCTACAATACATCTGTTAGCCTTATAGGTGCCACAAGACTTTGTTGTGTTTTGGTTGTGCATCAGAGATACGTGAAGCAATGATTTCTGCAGTCTTTTGACTGATTTTTTTTTCTTTTGAAAGGAGAGGCTTGGTTTAGGGGAGGAAAGGATCACCACGGCCCCTTTGTTCAAGAAGTGGGGAACCCAGTGTATTAATTCCTCTTTCATGCCCCAATTCAGGGAGTCTTGGTTTGCTTCTTCTAGTACTACATTAGTGGGTCACGTTGTACTGCTGACGTTCTTCTTACACATATCTCTTAAAGACATTGAGATGGTAGCAGAAGTGACCCTAAGATCGATTGACATTTACAGATGGATCTCTGGCTGATTTGACAGCAAGGCCTTTGGACTTCCAATTCTTTAATAGGAACAATTTCCTCCTGTCTCATAATTGATAGTATCCAGGGATGTTTTTGTGTGGGTATGTAAGAATAGTGAGATCCAAGTGAATTATTTCTATTCAGAAAGAGAGTTTGGAAAAATTACAGGTTTGGACAAAACCTCCCATAAATCCTCTGGATTTTGGTAGTTGTAGTCCAACAAAGACCAATAGTGACCCAACATGGTACTCTTTCCTTTTGCAGGAGACTAAATGGTGGTTAGAACGTAGAGACCCCATGCTCTTTGATGCTGCTGCCAATTTGCCTGGCCCCCTCACTGGATGGGTTTAAACAAGCATTGAAGATTTGGCTCTTCCGACAGTCTTTCCCTGAGCATTAAGTTTTTGATATCTTAGCTTCCCTTTTATCATCCTTTTTGCTATCCTTTCATCATCTTTTTTATCATCTTCATAGCCACCTTTTAATTTATCCTACTAGTTGTTGTATCTGTTGAATGTTTGTACAGTATTATCTTATTTTTATCGTGTTTTGATATTGTGTTGTTTCTCTTGTTGTTAGCCGCCCAGAGTGGCCTGGTTGCCAGAGGGTGTGGGGTATAAATCCAATAAATAAATAAAAATAAATAAATTCCACCTGCCTACATTTCCAGGGGAAAAAGGCACTGCAGGCCACCTAACTACAAAGGTGCTTTGATCTGCCCCCTGAACTTTGGAGTCAGCCCACTAGAAAGGTCTTTGCTTGCAAATGTTGTTACTTCAGAATGAGAACTTGGCATGCTTCATTGAAGAGGATGTTTTCATAGATGAGGCACCACCCACAAGAAGACCCTGTATACCCACCTGCCTTGTTGCAAATAATAGAGGGGCATGAAAAGGAGCTCCAGAGATGAGACTTTTATCATTGAACGTTGTCTTTCATGTGCTTGAGTCCCATTCTATTGAACCCTTCCCTTCCCCTTGTCCAGGTGGTGTCTATTGCTGCTCGTGACCTTAGCCGGGCTCAGGAATATGCCAAGAACCATGGGATCTCTAAGGCCTATGGGTCTTACGAAGAATTGGCTCAAGATCCAGATGTTGGTAAGCAGCTTTCATCAGAAAAGCAAGGACTTAAAGCATGAACCCACACCTAGTTCTCAAAGGTACAGTACTGGGATTAAAGGCATGGGACACACGCAATGCCTAGAATCCCTGGAGTTCTGGTTAGGGTTTCATACATGAACCCACACCTAGTTCTCAAAGGTACTGGGATTAAAGGCATGGGACACACACAATGCCTAGAATCCCTGGAGTCCTGCTTAGGGTTTCATTACATGCTATGGTTAAGTGCAGTTAATTGAGAAGATGCTGGTACACATCTCAGTTGTGCAGTTGGGGGGCAGAAGTAGACATAAAGCCAAGATGTGTCTCAGCACCTCCTCAATTAGTCACAGCAAACTGCGCCAACCTTATCCAAATATTGGTAGGATTCTGGCCAATGTGTTAGAATCCATTTCCTACAACCCCTGTCCGGCAAGTAGGGGAGCAGCAATGTATTAGCAAATCTGGAGGTGCAGGTGATAATAGTGACAATCCCAGTAAGGAGAGTCCAGATGTTGTGGCAGCTGGATCTTTCCTTTTGTATTGTGTCCTTTTGGTAGGAATTGGTTTATTACTCGCTTTGTAAGCTTTCATCAGGTTTTCATTATTTTTTTACAGATGTGGTATACGTGGGCGTGATACACCCCTATCACCTCCCTGTTACCCTGCTCTTCATCCTGGCTGGGAAGCATGTGCTTTGCGAGAAACCTCTGGGCATGAATGCTGCCGAAGTCAAGCGGATGGTGCAAGCAGCTCAGGAAAAGAAGGTCTTCCTGATGGAGGTAAGATTGGCGCCACGAAAAATTAACATTTTGGACTTTAGCTCCTCAAATCCCACTGCCCTCCTAAGTAACTTTTCTCTGCTCTAGGTAAGAAGCAAGTCCCACCCACCCTTCCTAACCAGCAATGAATCAAAGTGGTGATGATATAGAACAAGTAGATTTGGAATCACCACTTTTTACTATGCATTCCATCTGTGTACACCAAGCCTGAGCCCAGGATGTGGCGCTGCAGCAGAAAAGGCCAATGGTTCCCTTCAGCATGCATTATTGGTTGCAACACAGAACAGGGCGAGGGGGCAGGGATGATCTCACAAATCCTTTTAAGACAGATTTCGATCTCACACGAAATGGGAACAAGCAAGAATTGGATGTTGCTCAGCTTTAAATTGTTATGATTCTAGACTTCATAGAGAAAATATTAGGACAGAAACATGTGAAGTGGTTGGTGGTGGACTCTGGCTAATTTTGCAATTTGTTCTCAGGCTTTCTGGACCCGTTTTTTCCCTGCTTCAGAGAAGATCCGTTCCCTGCTCCGGCAAAGGACCTTAGGGGACGTGGTGGCCTTACATGCTGAGTTTGGCATCCCTCTGCTCTCAGTACCCAGGTGTGTGGAAAAAGAACTTGGCGGAGGTGCCTTGCTAGACATCGGGCTGTACTGCGTCCAGCTGGCCTGCATGGTCTTCCCCGGGGAGAAGCCAGAATCTATCCTGGCCTCTGGATTTTTATACAAAACAGGTTTGTGCTTGCATGGCCACATTTTCGTTACTCCTAAAAACCTACATGAAGTGACCAACAATTCAGCCCAAGATCCATATGAGAGAAGTGTATTTTCTTATAAACTCTAATTCACTTGCTTCATGTAGGAGTTTCCCTTGGTGCTTTTTTGTTCTAGAATGGCTGTCTTTAAGTCAGTAGTTATGCAAAGAGCTCTAACCCTTCCTTTACCAAATATTCTGCAAATCACAGTCATTTGGTATGCCAACTGGAGATGTTGGCGGTTGCTCAATTAACTAATCAACAAATTGACAAATGCTTTATTTTATTGGTCCTTAATCATTTAATGGCCTCTGGATTTTTATACAAAACAGGTTAGTGTTTGTGTGGCCACATTTTCGTTTACCTCTAAAAATCTACATGAAGTGACCAGCCATTCAGTCCAAGACCCATAAGAGAGAAGTGTATTTTCTTATAAACTCTAATTCACTTGTTTCATGTAGGAGTTTCCCTTGGTGCTCTTTTGTTCTAGAAAGGCTGTCTTTAAGTCGGTAGTTATGTGAAGAACTCTAACCCTTCCTTTACCAAATATTCTGCAAATCACAGTTGTTTGGTATGCTAGCTGTAGATGTTGGCGGCTGCTGAATTAACTAATCAACAAATTGACAAACGCTTTATTTTATTTTATTGTTCCTTCATGCTGGCCACGTGACAACGGAAACTGGACAAGCACTAGCTCAATGGCTTGAATACGGGATGAGCACCGCCCCCTAAAGTCGGACACGACTGGACTAAAAATGTCAAGGGGAATCTTTACCTTTAGCTAATCATTTAATATTAACAAATTATTTGCTTTTCATTATTGCTGCATTAGCACTAATATTTCCACACCCATGGGCTGAAGCTGACCTGTATCAAAATGACTGCAAAATCTACCCTAACTAACTAACTACCCTGCCTTTCTCCTTAAAAGGACCCAAGGTGGCTTCTCTCTGTTAGTAATTAATTAATAATACAAAAGTTACTTCTTGGGGGAACTTCCTGGGCTTCATGTAAGAACATGGGTCAGCTGAAAGTTGGCAGTAGGCAATGCCAAAGAAAGATTTGGGTACAGTATTGCCGTTCTTGAGTATGTCTGTGCTTTTTCTCCCCAGGAGTCGACAAAATGGCTTCAGTCATCCTGAACTACTCTGGCCAACGGCAGGCTGTCCTCACCTACACCATGGCAGCTACATTGCCCAATCGAGCAGTCATTTGTAGCACGGAAGGATTAATTGAGGTAAGTTCCCCACCAAGAGGACATGGATGAGGCAGGTGTTTCCAATTCTCTGTCTGGAGCCTAAGATAAATTTAATATCTACAGATCCCTGGTTGTTTCTGGTGCCCAACAGAGTTGGTCGTCAACGGGCAGAAAGAGGAGTTTCCTCTTCCCTCAACATCCCAAAAACTGAACTTTGGCAGGACCATCGGACTCAGCTATGAGGCAGAGCATGTCAGACAGTGTTTGCTCCAAGGTAAGAGCTCAGGAGGCTGCTGGTATGGCTTGTTTCTTTTTGGGGGGCAAAGCAGGGAGCATACGAACAAGCTTTCATCCTGACCCTTTCTTTTATCTCTCCTTCCTCTCCCTCAGGCTTGAAGGAGAGCCCCATCATGTCCCATACAGACAGCGAACTTGTTCACTCCATCTTGGATGAAGTCCGGAGACAGCTGGGGGTGTCCCTTGCCCAGGACCATGCCTGACCCAGGCTCAGTTTATTCTTACGACCCCACATGTATGAGAGAAACTTCCAGATTTTAACACTAGCAGATTCACTCCTGTGACTGTAGAGGAAACTACGTGAGCACAAGCAGTGCAGCAAATATCGATCACAGACCTTGAAATTCAGTTAGGTTTCTGTAAACCATTTGCCCTGCCTTGTCTTTAACCAAATGTGAAATGAAGAGGAGCAGAATCCTTTTAATAGAGTTTGTGGCATAATCTTTTCCATTGTAGGTGTTTTACATTCAAGATTCTTATTTACAATAGAAGAAGACTGAATAATGTTAGGAGTGTAATCCTATAAGCATGTTTACTTTGAAGTAGTTATTCCCGAACAGTGAGGCCCCTCAAATGCCCTTTTATAATTAAATATCTTTATCAAATTTAATTGAGAAAGAATTTCCTTTTTTTTTTTTTTTTTTTTTTGCTTTTCCTTACTGATTTTTTTTTTTTCAGAATGGAGCCCTGGTTGAAAACTTCAAGCATCCCACAGGTTTCTGAGTGGCAAAGAAGGAACGAAATATATTCCTATACGACCAATCTGTCTCTAATGAATGAATTAAATTGTCACTCAGTGTGAGAGGATGGAAGGCACACAAATTTAAAAGCAATTCCTATGCATTGCTACAGAATTATCAAGAGCATAATTGTTTCAAGAGCAAGAATTTTTGATAAACTTATTTTCAGTTGCTGATGTTTTCAGAAGCAATGTTTCTTAATTACTTCCCCTATTGCTCCTTAGTAGATCTTAATTAGCTGCGTAAGTGAAAATGTTCGCATGCAGCACTTGACCAAGATATCAAGGTGGCGTACAGGCTGTGGAGTTCACATTTCAAGAACAAAGATTATTTTGTTTATTGTGTCATTTTTATTTGCCTTTCCCTTCCCACACTCTCTAGAACATATTAGAGAAGTCTTAATTCCGCTTCAAATCCATTATGTCACTGTTACGGTCTGAGTTTATTTGGATTAAGAAAGTTATGGCATTTGGGACTGAAAGCATTTACTCTACATAACATTGTAATAGTCTATAAATCTCTTAAATTTACTAACAGTGCAATCAACAAGTATCTTTTAATTAATTTTGGAGATAAATATATTCTGCTGCATTTAACTCAGTAATATAGCTTTGAAATTGGTCTAGGGTACGGTAAAATTTCTTTTCCTTAATTTACATTTTGATTGCTTTGCTTTCTGCAGACGCTTTTACTTCTGCCACAATGTTACTGATGTTTTCATCCAGATCCCTATGATCTTACAATTTACAAAGAATTAACAAGAACACAAACTTGAGTAGACATTGTCTAGGGGGGCAAGGTAAAAATCTAATAAATAAATAAATAAAAATAAAACTTAAGCTGCGACAGGATCTGATTTTTACAAATAGCTTGATATCACTTTACATTGAAAAAACATTTCATTGCAAAGATTCACACCAACCCTAAACCTATAAGATTGCACTGAATGCCACATACCTCAATGCTTCTTTCAGAATTTGATTTGTTACTGTTTCATTTTGGAAGCAAAAGAAAATTAATGAGGTGTGGATGCAACACCTAAATGTGATGCAATGTGACACACAGAAATGTCTTTTTGATTTAACTATTCCATTTGTCTTTGCAATTCAATGAAATGTGGATAGATTTGAAAACAGGATGCACAGAACAGTATACACAGCTGTTGAAGATGTCTAAACTGTAACACACATTGGCAACAACTAAGTTCAGCTTCTGGTTGAAACACTGAACACAGATGACTTGGGAGATCTTTTTCAGAAGCACTGCCATCGCGCACACCCTTAGTTCCTTACTTATTACACTAGGACCTAAGCAGTGATTGCTATCTATAGCACAACACACTAAGATACAGTATTTTTATGCCTCATGACTTCAGAACTACACAACTATAATCTTGACAATGAAGACGATGAAATAGACAAGAGGTTTTTGTATCCTTTCGTTCAACCAATCAATCCAAATCGAGACTGCAGCCAAGAACTCAGAAGATAGAAGGGCAGCAACGAAGGAACTAGAAAAGATTGTCAAATGTTAAGGATGTGTCACTGGAGACCAAGACCATCCACACTCTTGTGTTTGCAATCATCATGTAGGGGTGTGAAATCTTAAGACGAGGTGGAGGGGGGGAGGAGGATAGTGAGAGTTGATTCATTTGGAATATGGTGTTGGAGGAGAGTTTTGCAGATAATCTGGATTGCCAGAAAGACTAACAACTGGATCCTAGAGTAGGTCAAGCCTGAACTATCTCTGGGGGCAAAGTTGTTGAAACTGAGGCTGTCCTACTTTGGGCACATCATGAGAAGGCAGGATTCTTTAGGAAAGACATCGGTGTTTGGAAAGGTGGAAGGCAGAAGGAAAAGAGGAAGACCCAACATGAGATGGACTGACTCCATCAAGGAACCCACAGGCTAGAGTTTGGCAGTTGAGGACAGGACATTTTGGAGATGGTTCATTCACAGGGTCGCCATAAGTCGGAGGCGACTTGACGACACATAACAGCAACATGTCACGACCCTGGCTTACTGCACAAAAGGGTTTCTGACCCAGCAGAGCCGTGCACACACAGGCGCCATCCTCGCTACTAGTTCAACTCTCTTAATAAGCCTACAGTATTCCCTCCTTGCACGTGGAGGACTAGAAGAGTTTTTTTATCATAGAGAAGCTACGGGGTAGAGCGGCTACGCGGAGCTCTGGCAAGCGAATTCATGACCAACGAGTGGGAAAGAGAGGCCACGGGCTTCTTTTTCCGGCTCTTCCGCCGTCACCCCTCTTCTTCCGTTTTCTCGACGTCTCCTGACGTCACTTCCGCCCCTGAGCCTATCGCCCCTTTCCGCGAAGCATCCGGAAAGGGTAACCCCGTGGCGCGCGGTGGGCGAGGCCTCTTTCCGTGCGGCCTCCGAGCAGCAGCCATGGCGGAGCCCAAGGTGGGGACTGATTTGGCGAGTTTGGGGGGGCTTTTTTCGCAGGTTAACCGGGAAATGGGTGGGTCGGTGGGAAGCCCTCAGCGAGGCAGCTGTCTACCCTTCCCTCCTTCCTTGGGGCTTGGCTGGTGGCGGGAGACGAGACGCCCGAGTTCACGTGGACTCAGGCCGGGCCCGGAGAGTGGCAACGAGGAGAGGAGGAGGAGGAGGAGGCATCTGGGGCGCTGGCATGGCTTGGGGTTTAGTTGCTAATTTCGGTCCGGAGAGAGTGATTTCCTCGCTTCAGACTTCCCGCTGGTGGGGCCACGGCAGCGGGATGAACGGAGGCAATTTTTAAAAATTTCTGGTTTTGCTTTTATTGGAAACCGTGATTATACAAAAACCACATCCCCGTTGCGAGGGATGTCCGGAAGGATTTTAAATCGAGCCTTCAATGGGTGCTGGAGAAAAGATGACTGAATTTCAAAATTGACTAATTGCAAGGGGGAGAGATCGTGTATCAGTTGTGGGGGGGCAGCAGTGTGTTGCAGTGAAAGCAGTAAAAAGCTTCAAGGTGCTTTGAAGGCTTAATGAGTTTATTTGGCCTAGCTTTATGGATTTTAACCTACTTTGTCACCCTTGTGACCTGGTGCTTCAGTTGTTGGAGAGAAGAGAATTTGTATTTTAAAATCTGTCGAGGGATGTCCGGAAGGATTTTAAATCGAACCTTAAGTGTGTGCTGGAGAAAAGATGACTGAATTTCAGAATTGACTAATTGCAAGGGTGGGGGGGTGAGAGATCATGTATCAGTTGCTGGGGGGGGGGCAGCAGTGTAAGCAGTAAAAAGCTGCAAAGTGCTTTGAAGGCTTAATGAGTTTATTTGGCCTAGCTTTATGGATTTTAACCTACTTTGTCACCCTTGTGACCTGGTGCTTCAGTTGTTGGAGAGAAGAGAATTTGTATTTTAAAATCTGTAAGTGGTTGGCTATAGATGCTCCTTCCTTATCTAGAGTGGTAGGAGGAAGCTTCAGGCAAGCAAAGCCTGTCTTCTTTATTCTTTCTGAAATATCAAGCCTTTTTCAGTACAGATGCAAGTACAGGAATGAGTGTAGTGGCATTTGGGAGATGAGGACATACTTTTATTCTTAATGGGAGCATTCATTCAGTTTTGAATGTTAAGTTATTAACTGGGCTGCCATGGGTTCCCACAAGATACTGCAGAGGGGGGCCTTCAGTGCTGTTCCAAGTAAGGATTGACATTTTGTACTTACACTAATTTTCATAGCAGTCCCACCTCCAGTATTTCCTAATCACCTCATTATTCTCCAGTTTTTTCTTTAAATGAGTGATTGGTCTGTTGTATAGGTTTTGAAATATTTGCAGGGGTGGCCTGGAAAGGTACAGCTGTATGAGGAGCTCCTATGTGTGGAGGAAAAGGCCCAACATGGAAAAAAGAAACAGTAGAGATTTAGATGTCCTGGATAGAAATATGTAAGGATGCGAAATATTCAGTTGTATATGTTGAAAACAGTTGGGTAACATGACTGATAGGATTAGGTGTGCTAAATTGCCATCCTGACTGTTCTCCGGTGACTTGAGAGGGTTGAGAAAATACTTGGTCTAAAGAGTTTCATTTTTGCTTCACCCTTTAGAAATGTTTACAAAGCCCTCTTTTTCTTTCCCAGGTATTGGTGATTGATGGTCGTGGCCACCTGCTTGGTCGCCTGGCAGCCATTGTGGCCAAACAAGTGTTGCTGGGTAAGATTCTGTCAGAGATGAGGAGGAGTGGAGGTTTCCTACTCCCACCTAAATGTATAGCGATACCTTGGTACTTGGAGCACCAAAATTCACATTTTCTCTTCACACTCAACAAAATGCACATCAGACAAAAGCATGCACCACCATCCTATATAGGCAGCACACATATCCCTGCTGGCTCAGGACTCTCTGTTAGTTCCAGGCTATCGTTTTATATGTTTCCTTCCTCCCCCCCCCTTCTGTGTTTATGGGCATGGCCATCCATTTATTTTGGAGTTGCGTACTTGCAGTTCAACAAAAATGTCCTTCTGCTTTGCAGCATCCCAGCCTTCTAAGTGACCAGAAAAACAAACAGAAGTCATAGGAAGCATCACAGGTGTCAAGGGAGATGTGTATGTGTAGCTCCAAGGACCATATAGGATGCTCCAGACCTGGCAGCCCTGCTACCTGAGATAATTATTTCTTTGTAGCTATCAGTCGGAATCCTACTGTAGGCACATAGTGCACACAAGTAATGCAAATTCTGATTAAACTATCATTCCAGCTATATGTCATGTGCATGGGCATACTACAGAGAACCAGAAAATTGTTGAAACTGCTTGTGCGGTTTCCTTTAGTGTAAGAACCAGAAAATTGTTGAAACTGCTTGTGTGGTTTCCTTTAGCGTATGTAGTACAGTGGTGTCTCGCAAGACGAGCGCCCTGTTTAATGACAAAACTGCATCACGGCAAGCTTTTTGCAATCGCAAAAGCACCCTGTTTAATGACAAAACTGCATCACGACAAGCTTTTTGCGATCGCAAAAGCGCTTTACGATGGTTTCAATGGAGGAATTTCGCTTTGCGATTCTCGCAAAACGACAATTTCCGGCCAGCTGATTGGTGGTTTCAAAATGGCCGCCGGGTTAAAAAAAAATGGCTCCCCGCTCTTCTGGGACGGATTCTTCGCTGCACAGGCAGCAAAAATGGCCGCACTATGTAGGATCTTCGCTGGACTGTGAGTTTCAAGCCCATAGGAACGCATTAATCAGGTTTTAATGCGTTTCTATGGGCTTTTTAATTTCGCATTATGACGTTTTCATTCTACAGCGATTTCGCTGGAACGAATTAATGTAATGCCAGGCACCACTGTATTTCATAATAGGATTTTGGCCATTGGGAAATTAATCTCAGGGTTTGTTTACAGAGCATATGCTGTGCTCCTGGCCTTGCTCTATATGCATTTTTGGCCAACTGGCCTGGGATGCAGGGCCTAGCTAGGAGCGTCAAGCTCATGTACTAAGATGCTTGGATGTTCAGAAGTAGAAGTCGGGGCTACCTTTTTGCAGTTTGTCAACCTCATATTTGTTTAACCCTGAAATTTTTTTTATTTTATTAATGCTTCTTTTCCAGCCTGGAAACTGGTGGAGGATGCCGTGTGATTTTGTCCTTTTCTTTCTCTTTCCTCAGGGCGCAAAGTTGTGGTTGTGCGTTGCGAAGGAATTAACATATCTGGCAACTTCTACCGCAACAAATGTAAGTAAGACAGGCAGCTTCTAAATCTATTCAGTCATCTAACAGAAAGTTCTGCCATGCCCTGTTTGGTTGAAATGCTTGTTGGCTATGTTTATTATTGGAGTGAAAGCTTTCCCCAGACCATTGAATGACTGTTATGAAACAGTCATTCCTTGTTACTGGGGATTGCTGTATTCTTTAAATAGTAATCTGTAGTCCAGAATACTCTGATGTCTACCACACAGGTCAGTTTCTTGAGTAAAACTTGGCATTATTACAGGATTGAGACATGTCATCTGAGTCAACTACAAGTCTTTGTATTCTGTGCACCTAAGATGTGTTAACATGTAGCTCGGCATCTGTAATATACAAACCTCCACATTTGTGTTTATTAAGTATTTTCTGAGTCCTTATGGCTGCAGAGTTGCAAAAACATAGATGATATATGGTGAATGCTCTTTCAAGTGTCTTCCATAGGTGCTCTGTTCAGTTTGCATTATGTTAGTAGACCAACTTTCCTTATGCCTTTCTAGTTACTCTGTGTTGCAGATTTTATTCTGCTTTGGTACCAGAATGGACAAACTTGGAATTATAATGTGCCCTAGCATATTGCACTGGTACACACATATGAGGCTAGGTGCCAGGATGTTGAATCTACTTTGTTCTCTGCAAGCAGTGAGAATTTAAACTTGGATTTTGTGCCAGACATCTTTGCGTGTGGAAGTATAACAGCACTGGCTCAAGGAACAATGTAACTGAGGTGGTGGTCTGTGATGATGTCTTTCCACCATTACTTCGAGTGTCATGGCCATGAGATAATCCTACATGCACTACCATCTGAGACCACCTCTCTCTTCTCATGACAGCATGTTTTGCCTCTTTGGTGTTAATGCAACCGCATGAGCCCTACTTGCTTCCCCAGTTGAAACTTTGGACTCTAAAACATCCCACTATGACTGGGATAATAGGCAAATAAACCATGACAGTTAAGCAGGGTAGTGGATGAATAAACCATGACAGTTGATCTGATGAGGCGGTGTCTCTGTTTAAATGTGGAGTAAAATTGCACCCTAATCCACGTGCTATGTTTTTGTATGAATTAATATAGCCAATATGAGGACACTAAGTCTGATTTGGACAAACCCTGGGAGGTTTGTGCTTGGGGCTGTGGAGCTGTTACATTTCTGAGAGCCCAGTTCTGACAATTACAATAAGTAGCATGGAACAGTGTGAAGTGGGGTTGGTCAACTTTTGGCCCACCAGATGTTGTGTCCTACAACTCCCATCATCCCTACCCAGCATAGCCAATGAGAAAGGATTGTGGCGGTTGTAGTCCAGAATGCCTGGGAAGGAAAAAGTAACAAGGTGGCTTTTCTTTCAAGGCAATGCCGTGCATTTGCAGGGTTCTAAACTGGAGCTTGTTGACTCTTGCCTTTAGGGAAGTGGTTTGAGGGTCATTCGTTTATGCTTGCTGCCTTCTGGATAATGAAAACATTCTTCCTTGTCTGGTCTAACCATACCATTGTTTCTCCTTCTGCCAGTGAAATATCTGGCTTTCCTGCGCAAGCGTATGAACACCAACCCTTCCCGTGGCCCTTATCACTTCCGTGCCCCCAGCCGAATCTTCTGGAGAACTGTGCGAGGTCAGTTGTTCCTGTTTTTTTCAATCTGTGTATGTGTTTCTGTAGGGTATATTCAGGAGATGCAGAAACTCTGGATTGTGAGAATGCAGTTTGCTCACTCCTTTGTTTCGACCTCTGAGAATAACTTGTGAAATTCTAGAGCAGAGTTCACCGATTTGTAGTGTTGAGGATTGGACTGGGATTTGGGGTGTCCCTTAATAATTAAGTCCCTTAATACAACCTCTCTCAGGAGGTGGTTGTGAGGATAAAGTGCAGTAAAGTAGCCGTGCATGCAGCCTTGAGCTCAGGGTAGGGAAGACAAAATATAGATGTAAATAATATTTTTAAAAGAAAAACAGTAATAGGAGAGTTTAGTGAAGATGTCTATTTCTGTTGCTATCTTACAAGTTTAGTCAACAATCCTTTCCAGTGCATATTTGTATTAATCTGCAGTTACTATGAAAAAATCCACACAAGAAGCAATAGATAGCTACATTTGAAACCTGTCCCTTAATGAGGGTCATGTTTGTTCATATTGAAATTCACGGTTGAGATTTCTCAAGCATCCCTAATCCTGGGTATATGTGCATTCCAAAGGATGTTCTTTTCCAGATCACTTGGTTGGATCCAGGTTTTGTTTTTCATCAGTCACGGCATGCATTTCAGTGGATGCTCACTTCCAGGTCACCGAGTTTGATCTCAAGAGATTAAATTAGTTGTGACTACTTTTGACGTCTTATTGGTGTGGTGCTTCTGCTCAAAGTAGAACTAAATCTGGTTCACTCCACTGCCCTAATTAGATAAATGTTGAATGTAACCTGCCCTCAGTTTTTATACAAAAATTCATGGACCAGCCTTATCTTATCCTATAAGTTCTGGGTCTCTGCCAACACCACAACCTTTCTGCATCATCTTTCATCTTTTCTGTTCTTTTCTCAGGAATGCTCCCACACAAGACCAAACGTGGCCAGGCTGCCTTGGAGCGGTTGAAGGTTTTTGATGGCATCCCCCCTCCTTATGACAAGGTAAATTTTCCTTTCACATTTTTGAGAAAGACTGTGTGAGCTGTTGTTTATGTTGTTCTGCCCGTGATGTCCTTTCCTACCTACATTGTTTGACTTAGAGAATGAGAAATATCCAAACCTGAGGCAGATTTAGCAGCTTTACCAATGGCTTACAGTTGCTTTGCCTTGCACACATTGCTAACCAGCTGCCTGTTCCCTAACAGCGCAAGAGGATGGTGGTCCCTGCAGCTCTGAAAGTGGTCCGCCTCAAGCCCACACGCAAGGTATGGTTTCTGTTCAAGTACGATGCCTTTCCTAAACGGTTGCTAGCTTTGCTGGCTTGGAGTGTTGTGAATTGTGGCCAACTTGCCCCAAAGCGATAGGTCGTGGGGGGAGGTTGATGTATAACATTTATTTGCTGTGATCCAGTGTCTGAAAGCATTAACTTGGGGGAGATCTAGAAGTCAAATGAGGTGCTGAGTACGTGCTTTATCTGTAGTAGATTAAGGCCCTGTCCCTGGCATCTGTAGCTGGAAGCCACGGAAGGGTTATTGGAGCCCTTGGACAGCTGTAGCCTGGAAGAAGAGACACGATAGGGTTCACCAGATGGATCTGTGGATGGAAACCATCTGCACATCCTTCAGATTGGTGGTTCCCAACCTTAGGTAACTCAGATGTTCTTGCATTGCACTTCCCAGAAGCCTTTCCTGCCTGCTGCCCTGTTCTGTAGCTGGAAGCCACGGAAGGGTTATTGGAGCCCTTGGACAGCTGTAGCCTGGAAGAAGAGACACGATAGGGTTCACCAGATGGATCTGTGGATGGAAACCATCTGCACATCCTTCAGATTGGTGGTTCCCAACCTTAGGTAACTCAGATGTTCTTGCATTGCAATTCCCAGAAGCCTTCCCTGCCTGCTGCCCTGTCTGGGTTTCTGAGAATTGCAGTCCAAGAACACTTGGGTTTACCCAAGACTGGGAATTTCTTCAAAATGACTTTGCTGGCTTCTTTAACCCCTTTATGAGGCCTACAGCAATTCTGTTTGCTTTCTACATATGGCAACTGAACGTGTGGCATTACCACTGGTCCGTATCACTCAGTCATAATTTGAATAGATTCATTATTCACATTATGACTTTTAATTTATAACTGATTTAGTGCTCCATTGATTTTATAAAGTTTCTGTTGATGACCGGGTGGCTAGTTTCTTTTGCTTTCTGGATTTGAGAAGTGGCTTCAGCCAACTGGGAACAGTCTTACTAGGTGGATGCTGGTTGGGTAGCTGTACCTTCTACACTCACTAAGTACCATGTGCTGTTATTGGCTTGGAGCAGGTCTGTGATGATGACATTCCACCATTAGTTCGAGTCTCAAGACCATGAGATAAGAACTTTTCATGCACTACCATCTGAGACCATCCCTGCATCCTATGGCCTTGTAGACCCAGTCATTTTTCTGTATAGTTAGTTGTGACTTAGGGTAAGGATTGACAAGAGAAAATTCAGGTTCCTTTTTTTTTTAAGGGTGAAGTCACTAATGTGTAGTGTACTAAAGGCTAGATGGGTGGCCTTACAAACCCAGTGAGGGGATGGTATGTATAGAAGAGTAGGCAAGAATATGTGGGATTGGATCCAAGCCTCCTGGCCTTTCAGCAGTGGGTGTTCAGGATTCTAGGGATGATGGAGTGAAAGGAAACAGGGACTACCCAGTTAAGGGTTGGGCAATGGAGCCTGATGTGACAAAACGGCTTGTTGTGGTGCTGGGGCCTTATGATTCTCTCCCTCCCACAGTTTGCTTATTTGGGCCGCCTTGCCCATGAGGTTGGGTGGAAGTACCAGGCCATAACAGCCACCTTGGAAGAGAAGCGCAAGGAGAAGGCCAAGCTCCATTATGCAAAGAAGAAAAAACTGATGGTGAGTTAACCAGAGTCTCAGAGAATGGCTCTAGATTTATTAAGCAAGGAAGACCTCGTCTTCCTAGACTCTACATATCAAAGCCTGGAAGACAGAGCCTTTGCACTTGAAGGTCAAAGTATGATATTCAGCAGATGATGTTTTAAATAAGGGAAGGGCCAGAACTTGGACATTATTTTCTGAAGGTAGAAGGCTCTATTAGATTATTCATCTACCAGTGCAGTGCAAGTAGAGATTCAGGAGACTGAAGTATGTGCTAAATTAACCTTCTGTTAACCTCTGACAAATCTTGGTTGAAGTCATGTTGGTTATTGTAGTAAGTTACAATTAGAGTAGGACCATGGTGCAGTGCTTAAACTGCAGTCAAAACTCTGCTCACAACCCGAGTTCAATCCCAATGGGTTCAGGTAGCCAGATCAAGATTGATCAGTCTTCCATCTTGCTGAGGTCAATAAAATGAGTACCCAGCTTGCTGGGGGGCAAGTTTTTGTTTGCATTATTATGTCGTAAACTGCCCGGAAAAATGAGTACCCATCTTGCTGGGGGGCAAGTTTTTGTTTGTATTATTATGTCGTAAACTGCCCGGAAAGTTCTCTAGCACTATGAGGCAGTATATAAGTTGATTTTCGCACCATAAGACGCACTTTTTCCCCACAAAACGGGGGTGGAAAGTCTGTGCGTCTTATGGAGCAAAGAAAACAGATTATATTTTCCTGTTTTCTTCTCCTAAATTGGTGTGTCTTATGGAAAGGTGCGTCTTATGGAGCGAAAAATACGGTAAGTTGAAACAAAAACACTGAGTCAGTGGGGATTTGGTGAGTTCCATTGATTCAGTGGACTTACTCTAGTTGCAGGCTTACTGCAAGAAGTAATAGAATTTCAGCCAATGTTCCTTAATTTAGTGTAACACTTCAGCATCAGGGCTCTATTCTCCAGCGTAATGTAGTCCCTTAATGTTCCTTTCCTCAATTCATATCTCCCCTTTTCCTGTTTTCATTGCAGAAACTCCGGAAGCAGGCAGAGAAGAATGTGGAGGGCAAGATTGCAAAGTACACAGATATCCTGAAACAGCATGGCATCTTGGTTTAAACCAACCACTTGACTCAATGCACAATAAAGAATTTAGTTTACAATCTGTGTTCTGTATCTGAAAATAAGGATTGTTTTTAAATGAACCTTTAACTCTTTGATAGAGCAAGATGTGCAGCAGATTGGCGTTTGAAAGGATTGCTGATGGGGATAAGAGCTGGGATTCCTAGATTCTCTTTGGGGAGGGTCTGCTCAGTTAATAGTGCTAAAGAGTTAAATTTCCGTAAGGGAGGTTAAAAAATGAGTCTTCTGTGTCTTACTATTCTGATATTCATTATTCTGATACATCATTTCCTGCTCCACTTTGGGGCATTGCACGCCAGTATGTGTTCTGCTACAGATACCCCTTCATGTTTTGATGACAGAGTCCTGCTGAACCAGCCCTTCTAGCTGTTTTAAGAATGTGAACATTAATTGGAAGGTGATTTCAGCATCATGCCAGAAATAGTTTCAACTTACAGTATGTTCTTATGTACTCTGTATGTACTTTTCTAGTAGTATGTTGCTTTTCAGAAATGAGCTTTGAAAACCAGACCACACTCCCACCATTCATAGACACAGCCTTTCTTCCAGTACTGTAATATTTCAGAGGGGAAAAAGTTTATTCGGAGGTCTCCTTGCATAGCTTGTCTTGTTCATAGGTCACCCCAACTTGTCTTCGGGCCTCGTCCAGGATGGTTGCTATTGTTTCGCTTTCGTGCAAGGGCATGATGGGACTTTCCTTCAGATCTGTGCAAAAGGCAATTGAATGGGACCCTGATTAGCAAGAAAGACTGATTCAGGAGCAAGGGAGGTGAGGATAGTTCAGCATCTGGGCAAACTGCTATTATTATTTGGATGAGCTAGCTTCTGTCTTACAACTGGTCGGTGGCTTTTCTAGCCCCAAAAGCATTTTGATGTGCTTTTTTTATTTTTTGAGCAACATAAGAAATTGGCATCACAGTTTCCTAAACTAGCAATATCAAATGCCCTCAGTAATCACTTTTAGAAAAGTGTGTGTTATAGGGCTTTGGAGACAGGAAGAGCAGTGATAAGCGGACATTCAACTGGTGCTGCATACCATAGTGATATATTCCAAGATGGGAGGGTGACAGATTGCATGGTAAAAAAGTGTTTTAACATAAAGGAACATTAGAAAATAGAGGTGAGGGCTTTACAATGTTGCCCACCCACTGTTAGAAATGCCTGGACAGGAGGGTTACCTGCTCCATCTTTCTTTCCTACTGTGGTGAGATACATTAATTATTTTTTAAATTTTATCTGCGTATGACTTAAAATGCATAAGCTTTATGGAAAAGTAACCTTTTGGCATTCTGGATAAGCAGCCATCTTAGACTGAAACTTCTCAATTCAAAATATTATAAACCACTGGTTAAGAACTTCAGTTCAAAATGTTACAAACCACTGGTTTATAACAAGGGTCAATTCAAAATAAGGCACCTTGTTATGAACCACCCATTGGTTAACTTTTACAAGCAACTTCAGTTGTTGGCATCCCATGTAGTGGCAACAGTCTATCTAAGTTAATCACATCTGGTTCAATATTTCTTGCCATCAAACCTACTGTGAGTACATTCTCCAAATTGCAAGCTAGGGAGCAGGGAGACCTATACAGAGATGATGCATGCATAGTTTTGGGGGCAGGGAAGAATCCATCTGTTGGAGAAGGTGCTTTTAATATCTGAATCAATAGCTTTAGAAAGAGAGATGCTGTGGATAGCAAAGAAAGCATCACCTTTTAGCAAGCACTGCCGGACATGTTCCGCTTCATACCGCAGCCCAATATCATTCTCAAAGTAGAGATGTTCAGGGGAGGGTGGCAGGGGCCACTCCCACCGGTTCCCTTTCACAAACATAATGGTGGGGCTGTTCATGTGGTCAGGGATCTGGGGAAAAAAAAGACAGGTTTCAGGGGACAGCGAGAGGCACTGGTTTCCTTTAGTGGAACTGATATGCCTATGAGGGCATTCTGCAACATTCTCAAACTGGGGGCTCTCCAGAAGTGTTAATACAACAGCCTCTATCATCCCCAGCCAGGTGATAGGACTTGTAGATAGCACATCTGGAGGGTACCCAGTTGTGGAAAGCTGCATGGTGACGATTGAAAAAAGGAATCCTTTGGTTGGGATGCAAAGTTGATTAGCCAGATGGAAAAATGGGAAAGATTATGCTTTTGGACTGTTGGTTCCAGAACACACCAGTCAATATGGCCTTATCTGTATGTAATGGCAGTGGAATTCTGGAAGCTGTAGTCTGAAAAAAGGAAGATTTTATTGCCTCCCACCTTTATGATTAAGAGGCAAGTACTTGGGACCAGATAACTCACTTCTGCCACCATCTTTCCTCTTTCCCCATACCAACAGACGGGAAGCTTCCTCCTCCCCAGATGTTTTTGCTTAGATGTTCCACTAGCCCCCTCCAGCATGTCTCATGACCAGATAATCCTGGCTAGGGCTTTCTGGAGGCTGAAATCCAGAACACTCCAGAGGCAGGGGAAGATTCTCTAGTCTTGATCTACATGCTTAAGGAGCCACTGCTGTATATCCGAGTATCAACCCCTTCTATGGGGCATGGCAGCTTTCTGCAGGTTGCAGGAGCAGAGGCCAGAGAGCTAGCAGCTTGCTAAGGCCAACTAGTGACAAAGGCAGCATAGGAATAATCCTAGGATCTAAGTCACAGCTGGCATATTTGGTCACTGCGCTATGCTGGAACTTTCAACTCTGCTTGGGAATCTGCTTTTGCCCATGATCTTGACAGTTCAATAAATTTTTCCCTAAATCTAGAGCTAGCCTAGTAAAAATCTCTCCCTACTGGGTGACTGGAGCAATCACAAACTCATCTTGAGACATCTCAAAGGGTTATTGTGAGGAGGGAAAGGGTAGAAACAGACCATTTTATTGTTCCTGGAAGGAAAAATTTGTAGGTAGCAACTGACCCAGGCCAGGCCTTATCTGCCACAATTCTGCCAGATACCTTAATGTGTCCTTCGGTTCCTCCAATTAATGCCTCTCCTGGCAGACTGACCATCATGGAGCAATTAAGTACAGCCTGCCGGTTTCCTGAGTAGTTGAGGATGATGGCGACTGTTTCATCCACTCCTGGAAAAACAAAAGAATGTGACACCTTCTTGATCCAGGTATGGAAACCTACTTATAGGACGTCTTAACCATTCCAAAACCTCAGGAAAAAATTTTATTTGCATTCTTTTTAACTATTATAATTGCAATTTTGAAAAGTAACTCTCTGTTATTTCTTAAAAGTAACTGACAAACAGATTGCTTCAAACTACTGCCCTGTGGCATAAAACAGACCTCAACAGTGAGCCCTTGCAACTTGTATTTGTAGAAGTAAATTTAAATCACAATTATACCACCAAAGCATGCATTTCTGCATTGTTACATTTTAACTGTAATATGTTATGCCATGGGTATTGGAAAAATGTTTACAAATCATTGGCTTTCTGCTATGGGCTGCTTCCTAGCTCTACCAAACTTCTTCCCCTTTTGCAATATGATTGAAAAACTTCTCTTCCACCCCTGCTTCCATTTTGCTCCTTCCTGTTCCCCATTTCCATTCAGTCAGCCCCCCCCCATTTCACCTGTTTCATGCAGTAATCCTGAAGCCACGATGCTTTGGGGCTTTTCAGGGCCAAACACCATTGAAGCAAACTGGACACAGTAGCAACCTAGGTCCAAAATGACACCTCCACCTAATTTCTTATTCACCAGCCTTGGGATGTCATCCATCTGAATGGCCAACTGAGCCTTGAGCACCTTTAAATCCCCAAAAGATTTCTGGCACACCATGGTTCGGATCTGCTCAGACACAGGAAAGAATCTTGTCCAGAAACCCTGAGAAGAGAGAGACATATCGCTCTGAGCAAAGTATTTGTAATTCCATACAAATGAGTGCAGAAATGAGGGCAAGAACACTTTGGCATTGAACCCAGAATTCCAGAACCCTGAGAACTCGGCATGTATATATTTTTAGCAAATGCTTAATCAAACCACGTTTCTAGTCCTTATGTTAAGTTTTAATTTGTATGGACAGTGCTTGGGGCAATGCAAGAAGCAAAGGGAAAGCTGAACAGGATTCTGAGCCTTGGGATGTAAATCCTTGGTGTTCTGTGTAGCTCTAATTTCTGTTTATAAGAGTGCTTGGGTGTGAGTTCTGGCTTGAAGTATCTGAGTTTTTTTTTTTTTGAATCCAGGTTCAAAGCAGGATTAATTTGTGCCTGGAAAAGAGTTGCTGTCTACACTGGCAGGAATTCCTGCCGATGCCATGAAGTTCGCATTGGGAATATATGCCAGATTGCCCGTTGAGCAACACTTTACAAAGCACTGAGTGTCTGCTTGTCACATCTACGAGCATGTCACTTTGCTGTCTCTTGGGACTTCATGCTATAGAAATCCCCACCACAGCACTGAAAAGAGCTACACCTGCTGAACTTCAGCCTGTTGCAGCGTTTGGCAAACACTGGAGCCTCTGCAGTAAAGGGAAAGGGTTTCGTCCCTATATTTCTCAGAACAGCAGTTTCCTTTCACAGTGTTTGGAAACGTTACTTCCTCCTGCCTCTACCACTACCAGAATCCTTCATCTGTAAGCCCCCTTGGCAGTGCTGACAGGATATTCTGGAAGATGTAATAATAATAATAAAAAGGAATTTCTGCAAACTCTTAGTAGCAGCCCCAGCAATTCCTTGGCAGCCACATAAATCTCAGAGTCAAGGAAAGTGGGAAATTACTGGCCATCAGGTTAGCCTATTCTAGCATTTGACCAAGGATTGCCCTGAAGTCAGAGGCAGAGAGGCAGTTGCCTCAGGCAACAGATGCTGAGAGATGGCAGAGAGGTGTCGGCAGAGGGTCCCGCCGTGGGGAAGCCATCTTGTGCTTCTTCTCAGACATGGGACCGGCCCAGCCTCTCAACCAACATGGTTGACTCTGCTGACATTTCATCAGCATCGCAGGTAGAAGGGTTTTTTTTTCCATAGCATGCTGCCTCAAAAGTGGAAAAGCTCTAACGCTTCAGCTGTTAAACTACAACTCTCAGCATGCCCCACCATGGTCCAGACTGGCTGGGGTGTATGGGAACTGGAGTACAGCAACAGCTGAGTTGAGTTGAGATAATGTGCATTTCTGACTGCCACTGGTCATGCGTGTTGGAATTTCTGGGGCTCACAGTTCACACTCTTCCAAACTCTGGGGAACGACAATGTTCCCATTTCTGTCCTGCTTGATCTTTACAACTGGAAACATGTAGGACTGAACTTGGGATTTTATGCACATAAATCAGCTGCTTTTCTAGCAAGTCACAGCCTCTTCCTAAGCACTCCTGGCGTGTTTTCCTCAGAAAGGTGTGTTTCTTGGAAGCAATCTTGTTGAAAGGCGTTATAATTACACACAACAGCCTCCGCTCTCTTAATCCCATCTTCCTGAGCAACCTTGTGACTCCTGGCTTGTTTGACAAGTTTGTGTTTCAATTTGCCGAGTCATCCTGTTCGTACATCACTGAATTAGCAGTTTTGCCTACTCTTTTATAGTGATATCTTCCATTATTTTCTACTGTACTATTGCTACTATGATTCTGTATTTTTAGCCTGAAGCAAATCCCACAGATATTTAATGGGACTTTCCTTCTTCCAGACAGGCACACACATGATTCCAGCCTAGTATATTTTTATTCTGCTGTTTATAAACTCTGTTCATTGCTGTAGCAATACTTCAAGTAGTAAAGAGAGTTAAAATTTCTATTTAAAAAATCCTTTTACTTCTCAAAGCCCAAGATTCTGTTGTTTAACTTGGTAAATTATGTTAGAGTAGAACCATTGAATCAGTGGGGATTTGGTGAGTCAACTAGTTTGTTTTGTAGATGTATATGAAACAGGTTTAAAAACAAATTATGTAATTAAAATAATTAGATTATTTTTTTTACCAGATGAGGGTTATTTCAGTAGTGTTATCTGGCCCATTTACTAGATCTTCTTTTGTGCACGTGGGTGGTGTACAAATTATGTAATTAAAATAATTAGATTACTTTTTTACTAGAAGAGGGTTATTTCAGTAGTGTTATCTTGGCCATTTACTAGATCTTCTTTTGTACATGTGGGTGGTGTGGTATAAATTGCATGCACATAAATGCTGCATTGCTTACTAGCTTGTAAGTTTCATGGTTTCAAATGGACTTACTCTTAACTGTGACTTAATTTAGCGTAGTGCCATGCAACTTCTTATTTTTTTAAAAAAATCTTCCAAGCAATCGACCTTTGCCTAGCTCTATATTAAGAGGAATTCATCACAAAAGAAGATCACTCTGTTTTTTTAAAGAATGAATGTTTCCTTGGAAAGCATTTAGTAATACACTTACATGGCTGTTCCTACCTCCATGAGAAAGACATTGTTTTCCTGGGCTACTTGAATCATCTTGCAGACTTCAGCTGCATTCATGCCCATGGGTTTTTCACACAGAACATGTTTCTTTGCCCGGAGGAAAAGAAGGGTCAGTGGAAGATGCTGGGTGTGGACTGATCCCACATAGACCACATCTGAAACAAGAGAATCCAGCAGGTAGAAAGCAGGAAAATCTCTCTCTCTCTCTCTCTCTCTCTCTCTGTGTGTGTGTGTGTGTCTAAGTCTAACAAGGGCTTCATCTGAGATAGTACTTACGGGTTTGACCCAAGAATCTGTTTTTGCTGATCTGGAAAAGGTGCTAATGGGTCTCTGAGCCTGTGTATATGCAGACGGCTCTACTATAAGGCAGGGTGAGGCGCTTGCCTTAGGCAGTATATCCTGAGGGACAGCACTAGCAACCCTTCGGCCGTACGAAAGATTTTCCTCCTGAGTTCTCTGTTCACTCCCTTTTAGAAGACAGAGATGTGGGAGCCACTTTCCCCTTCGAAAACAGTGCCACTGCCTTTCTCTTTCTCCTCACACCCCAGGACACCAGAGGTTGGTCCATTGGAGAAAATGGGGGTGCTGCCCCCACCTCAGACCCAGGGTACCTCCAAGCCAGCCCACCCACCCCATGCCTGCCTTATGACCTGGGGCAGACAGCCAAGGCCCCACCTGGGCTTCCCTCTTGCTGAACTCCCTGCCTCACACTGTGTCAATGGGTCTGGATCTGGGGATGGAGCGTGGAGTGGGAAATGGGCATTGGCACAAATATTCTGTTTTTTTCTGCCAGCCTCCGGTGTATGTGTAGGTATGGATGCTGATTTGCTCACCTAGTGTTTGTGTGTGGCTATTAGCTATATGAACACCCACTTTTGTCTCTAGCTCTGCCCAACACCCCTGGCTGCTCTGTCTTCTGGCCCACCCATCTCTGTGTGGGCTCCATCCACCACGGCACCATGGTGAGCACCTCGGGTTATTGGTGCATTCTGGAGGTGCTCTTTCCAGGCTCCATCCTCACCTACGTCAGGGTCCCGTGCCAGTTCTTCATAAGATCCATAGGCCTTGCAAATTCCATGATGCTGAGCATATTCTTGGGAGCGCTTGATGTCCCGAGAAGCAATCGCAACCACCTGAGGAGGGAAGAGCCAACCTGTGAGACACGAAGCCACAGATCTCTGTAGGCTGCCCTTGCTCAGGGCATGCCTCAAAGAACTGGATGCAGAATGATGACACAGCATTTGCAGGTTCGCACCATTCATATTTACAATCAGGATGGGTGGAAAACATTTGGCCTACAAGTCCTAGCCAGCATGGCTACTTCCAATGCATTTTGGGAGTTGTAGTCCAAAGCATATATAAACTCTAGGGATTGTGGGAAGAAACTTCCCAAGCTTTTATGTACAGTAGTTCAAACCACCACCACCACAAGCTGTGGGATAAAAAATTTTTTTGCCCTTTCTAGCTATACCTCCACTTGATTAACACTTATTTGTACGAAAAGTTAGGATAATTCCGTTCAGTGATTGACACCCTGTGTGTTAATTATGGAAGGAACAAGTTATCATTATTTTAGATGTGTTCTTTTGAAATATATAGGTGCGATATAAGAGACCCAGCACATACAGAAGAGCATCTCATTACAGTGGTTGAAGTTATGTAATTTTAGACTCTGAATTTAATGACAAGTCAGCTCTGCTTTGTTTGTTGACCCTTCTACCCAGTCAGTGGATGGGGCCCTTCGTAGTTTCTCCACAGCTTGTTCTGATGGTACTCCTCCCTCCCTTTATTGCTGCTCTTACCATCAAATCTGTCTCCCCAAAACCAGTGTGTGATCACACAGATGCATCCACAACAACTGTGTCAGCTGTAACCTAGCAGCCTTTACGTAACAAGAAATTCCATGCAAGAATAGGCGATACCTTTATAGGGCACTAATGAAAAATAAAAAATCATACACTCCTCTGCGAGCTTTCGTGGGTAAATCCCACTTCTTTAAAGGAAGTATCCAAAGTCCAAATGCTTGAGGCAAGATGGGATTTGCCAGGAGTTTATTCTCAGAAGTAAACTTCTTGGCAAGATGAATCACGCCAGGCACTTCTGTCTTAGATGAGGCAGGAAGTTGTTTGAAAGTTACACGGAGGCAGCTGTGGGTTGGATTCCACATAGTGTATGCTATTTTATTTTTATTAATGGCTTGTAAAAGTATTGTCTGTTCTTGCGTTTGTATTTCGTAATGGCCACACCGCTCATCTCTTTTTAATTCAAAGGGATTCCATATAGGCAAATGAACAAGCTGGTTAAAAAAAACTGCAGCCAAGTATTTCTTCCTTCTTCTACACCCAGGACACAGAGAGGGAGATAAGCAAGATGAAGTGCTGTTCTTTGCCATTCTCTATCATCTTCCATCAGTCTAGAAAATGTCATGGGCTTATTTCTAAGACTGTCATCCTGTGAGCATGTTTTCACATCAAAAAACCAATTTCCAAAGAGAAACATGACTGCAGTTGACTTTCCACCCTTACGGGCCTTAGGAAATTTGCTTTTTTGGGGGGACTACAACTTCCAGAATCCCCTAGCCAGCACAATGTTGGTGCCCATGGATCCTTCAAGGAGGGAGCACTCCACAGCTGAGATGCAACACCCAAGGATGCTTCCTCTTGCATCTCCACATAGCGAATGGTTCTCAGTGATAGGACATGGAGAAAGACTTCCCAGGAGATTTTAATGACTGGGAAGTACATATATACTTCCCAATATCTATGGAGGTGGGGAAGCAGGATTTTTAAGCTGCATCTTAGGTTTCTAAACTATACAACAGTCCTCCAAGCATTGCCTCCTAGCAGCCATCCAACGCAGATGACCACAAGCGGCATCCGGAAGTAGAAAAGCCCAGAAGCTTGTCTGTCCTTTTAGATGACTCCCTGGCTTCTAAATCATCCTTTTTGGATTGTTAGACCGATATTTTCAGGAAGCCTTTCTATCTTGAATATACTTTCCTCAATAAAGCTGAGTTGTTTGTTGTAATTGATTCGACCTGTCCATGTTTCTATACGGTGCTTATTCTGCTTCTGAGAGAGACCCTTCCCTCTGCCCTGTAACCATTCACAACTGACAGTGACGAATACTGTAAATGCTCTAACGTTCTCTAAGGAAGTGTCCTGTGTTTCTGGGCCCCTTTTATGCACAGGGATGCTCAAGGCTATGTACATGCACAGCGCCATCAGAAAGCATGGTGTCCAAGACTGGAGCACAAGTAATCATAAAAAAGCTGCAGATGTAGAACCAAGAAAGAAAAGCAAGTGGGAATGAGATATGAGAGTGACCAAGAAAAGCAAGTATTTTTGGAAGAGGTGGCCCTGTTAGTCTGTGCAAGGATATCAGGCAAAATCAAGGGACAAAAACATGTGGCACCTTAAAATATAATAGTCTTTAAGGCGCCACATGTTTTTGACTTTTTGTTTTGTTACTTTGGGTTTTGAAAGACCAGCAAGTGCACCACATCAAGCTGTAGACACACAGATCTCTTCCATGGAAAGAGACTCATTTCCTGAAGTGGCCAGACAAAAAAAATATCACACCAAAGTGCAAAAGATAAGCAAGCGAGAAAACTAGATGGGACACATCAAGGAGAAGAGACAGCTGTGATAAGTCAGTATGTATATAGAGCCCATATCTGTGTAAGAAAGAAACCTCTATGTGCATGAAAAAATCCATATGTACATGGCAGTCTGTCTTACTAAACAATTCCCAGAGATACATTAGTTTTTTAAAATTATTATGACTTAGCCAAGTGGCATGCTAGTTGTGAGATCTTGGGAGGTATAGGCCCCCCAAAAACCCTTTTCCAAGTTCTGGTATAAAGGATATATAAGTGGGCCACACAGACTGTCAGATCTATAAGGGATGGCCCCATAAGTTGCATATCAGGGGAGTGGCTGATGCTCCCACCCAAGGGGAAAACCCCCCTGCAATGGAATAGCCCTGTTTTAGGAGTCCCATTGCTAAACAGCATTGTCAGCTGCTCTTTTCTAGCAGGATTCCTGCAGCTTTAACTTCTGCCTGGGAAGCAGAAATGGAGCTGGGATGGGAAGTCCTTTGAGGGATATCAGGACCTGTTTCCTGTTGCCACAGGGAAACCCCCCCACCCATGAACCATCTAGTTAAGCAGATCAGCTGCTACCCCAGCTTTTCCAAACCTGCTTCCCTCCAGATACTGTTGGACTGCAACTCCTGCCTGCATCCTCCTTACGCTAGCATGGCCTCTGAGTATAGGACTCCAAAACATGCAATATCCAAGGAGTAAAGATAGATAATTCCTTAAACATCTCACATTCCTTGAAAAACACTACTAGCGTTGCCACAATCAGAAGTGATGTGGTAGTGCATAACAACAGACCAAAAAGTATGTTCGGGATTCTGACAAGTAACAGCTCCACATGTTCTCTGGTGGAAGCCTTTCCTATCCCCTATTTAAAATCCTTATAACTAGGGATACCAGGATTGAATCCTGAGATCTTCTTCATGAAGGTCATGTGCTCCATCACTGATGGACTGTTCTAGTCCTGTCTTGTTCCAGTGTGGAGCTGCAATATTAGCAAAAACTTCATGAGCTACGTTGCCAGAAACAAGGATATTTTTCAGGCACAGACAAAGCTTCGGAAAAAATCACTTTTGGACTACAACTTCCAGAACCCACCAGAAAAGTTTCTTGGCTGGACTACAACTCCCAGAACCTCCCAGTCACCTTTCCCCAAGCCTTCCAAAAGGAAGCTGACTATTGATACAAACACACACACACGCACACACAATCTCTCTTTCTGGCAGGCGTCCCACCTTGTGATCTGCTGATGGCAAAGTTTTCAAAGCCACCAGGAAATCGTGGCTGATCTTCCCAGCAGAGCAGATCCCCCAGCGGGTGGCCATCGAGGATTCCCCAGCTCTGGCAGCCCAGCCAGCCATGGAGAGGGGTTGTTGCTGCCTCTGCGTGTTTTGTGAGGGTGCAGAGCTGTGCAAGTGCCTGAATCGGTTGCTGCCTACACAGAGGGCTGGGGTGCAGCTCAGCACAGAGGCAGGGCTGCCCAAGGGCAGGGAGAGGCCTGCTTGGCGGCTTTGAGAACACAGGTGATGTGAAATAGAGGAATGTGGCAATGATGCCAGGCAGGGGAGGATAGAGAACAAGCACTGCCTTTTGCAATGGGATGACCTTCTCTTACACAGAGTCAAAACACTGTGCTCTCTGGAAGATCTTGAGATCTTTACAAATGGAGACATGGGGAAATGAACCCAGAACATTTTCTGTGCTAAACTGCTAGACCAGCAGTTCCTCTCATATGAACCAGGAACAGGCAAAGTGTGCTCCTCCAGTTCTTAGTATACTTTACCATTGGCTCTGCTAGCAAGGGGAGCTGGAAAAATTAATGCAACATCTGGAGGGCCATAGGATGCCCACCCTTGTTCTAGAGCAGGGGTCTCCAAACTTTTGACCATGAGGGCCACACTGGATATTTGCAAAATTTTTGAGGATCAAAAGAACAGGAACGCACACACTGCCACACACCCACATGCACACACACACACACTCTCTCTCCCCTGCCCACCCCCCCACAAGCATAGACATTCAGCCCCACCCCCCAGACCCACCCCCTGCGCACACATGGGCTAAAGGGAAACAGGCTGGATAAAACAGCAAGGCAGGCCGGATGTGGCCTGCAGGCCGTAGTTTGGAGACCCCTGTTCTACAGCACTGGTTCCCAACCTTGAGTAACCCAGGTCTTCTTGGACCGCAGCTCCTAGAAACCTCGGCCAGCTTGTAGCAAAGACTTTTGGGAATTACAGTCCAAGAAACCTGGGTTACCCAAAGTTGGAACCATTGCTAGACCAATAAATGTTCTTGGTCTAAAACTCCCAGAAACTTTTGCCACTAGCTGTGCTGGCTAGGCTTTCTGGAAACTGTAATCCAAGAACATCTGGGGACCCAGGGTTAGGAAGCAGTGCTCTAGACAGTGCTGTCTACATTACGTGGCAATCAGTCTCCAGGATATCAGTCAGAGAAGGGTTTCCTCCAGTTCCACATGGAGAGACTGAAGCTGAGTCCTGTAAAAGCCACTAAATTCAGCCAAAGTCTGTAAAAGTAACTAAAAGAGTTATGGCTACATTTCAATAGCAGTGAATGTATTATTTGTAATATTACAGTAGTACCATAACTCAGTTATACCTCAGTTACTACCAAAAAGACGTGATTAAAAGTAATTCGTTCCTTTTCTGATGTCAATGTCTAACAAACTACTCTCATGTTCTTGTGCTCTCTTTCCTATTCAGGGCAAGAAAACAAAATAGGACATTACTGTTGTATAAATATTTGATACAGCGCAAGAAAAGGAAGTTCATGGAGTTGAGGCAGTATTATATGTAGTCAGATAAATGTAAGATAGAGTCAGACAGGTTCTGTGTGAAGATGATTTGAGAGACATTGGAATGTGTTTTTCTAAGTGCTTTGAGAATGTTTTTCTGAAGACCGTTACAGCATGGCTCGAGATAGAGCTGAAGGTTGAATCAAGGAGCCTGTAGAAGACTCAACATTCTGAGCTAATTGGAGAAGAGATAAAACACCTGGACTTTCATGGGAATTAAGGGAGGAGGAAGATGTTACAGCCCCTTGAGGTTAATTAGTTAACAGCCAGAATTGTCAAGAAGGGAGGAGTTAGAGAGTGTAGAAAAATGGATGATGGGCTTTGTGAAAAAAGGAGATCCAGTCTTGTTCTGGGTTTCGATTCCATAATGATGGGAGAGAAAGGAGAGAATATGTAAGTAAAGAGAAAGAAGGAGGTGGGGCTAGCCCACTGTAGCCCACCTTACCCCAGCTTAGTAGTGTTTATTGTTTTAATGGGGATTCATTATTTTATTTAACTGCAATAATCTTTGAATATGTTCTTTATGCTAAAGTTTGAGCAATATAAACTGATTCTACGAAACTCTATTATTCTAATAAAAATTAGCTATACAAATTCTTACAAAAGGATTGGTCTCTTGAAGAGCAGGGTCTGGCTAAATCCAGGAGGTGGAGAGGGCCACAAATGTTAAGAGTTGTTATCGATTATTTTATTTAACTGCAATAATCTTTGAATATGTTCTTTATGCTAAAGTTTGAGCAATATAAACTGATTCTACGAAACTCTATTATTCTAATAAAAATTAGCTATACAAATTCTTACAAAAGGATTGGTCTCTTGAAGAGCAGGGTCTGGCTAAATCCAGGAGGTGGAGAGGGCCACAAATGTTAAGAGTTGTTATCGTTAAGAGTCCTACCTAACTGAGCTGTTGTGAGTTCTAAGGAATCACAAAGTCCGCGTGCCTGTACTTGCAAAGTACTGGGTAAAAGTAAAGTCTTCTTTTAAGGTAAGACTTCTTCAAGGGGCTTACGCTACGCACTGCTGAGGTCTTGGGACTTGCCTCAGTGCAAAGGTGGTAGATAACTGGCCTGTTGAACTCTCCGATTGAATGCTAGGTGCTCCTTAGGGGGCCCTGAGCATCACAAGCAGGACCTTCCAGGAGCTTTGGGCTGTATCCCCCAGCATCCCACCCAGTAAGCTGCCTGGTTGGGGATTATGAGAGTTGTAGTCCACGTGATCTGGAGGGCACCAGCCTGCTTCCCCTGAGAGACACCTGTTCCTTTCTGTCCATCTTCTGCTCTCATCCTGAAAATCTCACCTGTACCAATGAAGCTTTTACCACAACTCTTTAATTCTCCTTGAATGCAACTAATCCTAAATTGGTGTATCTGAGTCAAAAGCTTCCTTTCCTCCCCTCCCCTCCCCTTCTTTACATGTTACTTGTTTATTGCTTTATAAAATACCCCTTCTACAGTACTCTTGCCCCATGCAATGTAAAGATATCATGAAATACAATCATCATCAACATCATCCAAGTAAAACTACATCACAGCAGGTGCCTCTTCCATCCTTGGCCCTTACATCCTCTTTGCTTAACAATGAAACACTAATTTAGGCTCCTTGGAGCAGGGCCCTGCCTCTTTGCTCTTACTCCCTAAAGCACAGCAGGCCTTATAATGCACACTGCCCTAGAAGATTAAAAAGGTGACATCCTTCCAGGAAGCAACAACTTTTTATCTAGAAGCCTTGCATCAACATCCTTGATTCCCATGGGTGGAGAAGGTAATGTGGCATTTGGGGCAGGAATCAGTGCCCTTTGCACATGCCTAGGGGCAAGCTCTTCATCCTTGTGTCCCACATTCCTCAGGTGATGTCTCTGATTAGAAGCAGTTTTGACATGTCTGGGTGAGCCAGTTTTCCCTAGAAAAACAAGAGAGTGAGGAATAGGGAAATGAGACTGAGGAATCCTCGGATTAAGGTCACTGCCTCTAAGTCAGAAGTAGACAACTTGTATCCTTCCAGGTGCTTATGAACTACAGTTCCCATCAATCCTCTCCAGCAATATACACAGTGGGGAGCAATGCTAGGAGGTGCTGTCCACCATCTGGACAGGCACTGATCTCCCATTTCTGTTAAAGATAGAAACCATGTATAACACTGGTGCTGCACACTGGACTTCTGGGAGTTGGAGTCCAAAACATCTGGAGGGGCTAACACTCTCCACCCTTACATTAGTCTTTCTTTGCATGGTAGGGACTATAAGATCCCGTTAGCATTTTGGTTCTTATTTTCCCCACCTCCACCACCATATATCTTTTGAGACGTAACCATCTGAGTATAATAATTTTTCAGAAGTGGCTGTAGCCAATATCTGTGGCAGGGTATAATCAGACAGACACACACATACATTTATTGTCTTGTTTATTTTTAATTACTGTTCTAATTGTCCTGCAAAGTAACACCATGACACCCTGTATTTGCTGAAGTTTCATCTTCCAGTCAAATATAAAACATTCAGGATCCCTGTTGTTGCTTTTTAAAGCCTTAATTGGGTGGATCTGAAAAATATTCAGCTGCGTTATTGCTTTTCTTTAGTGCTGAACTGGCAGCAAACTCTTCCTTCTGTTTCTTTTTCCTTCCACCACATTCTCAAGGAGGTGGTTTTCAAGATTTCATCTCTTCCTCCTCCACCTTATTTTGGCTGCCAGCAGGGTCTGGCTAAACCCTTTCTACTAAAAACCCTTTCTACTATGTCAGCAAAAGCTTGAATCATCATCACAATCATCTTGAAACTGCAGTGCTGGCTGGGACCCTATGGATCATCAAGTCTGGCCCCAGTCAAGGAGGCACAGTGGGGAACTGAACTTCCAGCCTCTGGTATATAAACTACTGAGCTATCCAGCAGTTCTAGAAAAACACTGACCAGAATTCTACTGCAGATTAACACTTCCATAAGAGGAATCATGCAAGTTCTGCCAAGACATTGCTGCCCATTAACAAGGTGTCGGCTGCATTCCTGTATACCAGCCCAGATGCATGCCCAGAAACACAACCAGCACTTCCTTAATGAGTGGAAATTTGCCACTGAAATTATGCGATTTCCCTTATGCAACGATAAACCAGCCACAGGAATCTGGCTGTTTTCTCATTGCTTCAACATCTAAATTTTCAAATCTAGAGTTCATTACGTTTTTTGGAGCAGAGGGATAACGAGGGTTCCCAATTGTGCAGAAAGCCTCAAACCAGAAGTGTACAGTTGTGCATTTTTGGATTACAGCTCCCAGAATTCCTCAAGCTAGTGTGTGTCAGAACTTCTTGAGAGAGCAAATGTCATAACACTTATGAGCATCTCAGCAGGAGATCTGCATGAAAATGTGAGTATGAGTGAGTTTAGGTGTTTGAAAAAGCATTCAGGGAACAGTCAGCAGTGCAGTCAAGGTTGGGCTTTGGGCAAACATGCAGTGTCCAGTCCATGGAAAGAACAGTCCTGAACTAAGCAGGGCTGGTTAATCACATTTTGCAGGAAGTCAATATATTTTACTACCTACAGAGTGGGGAGGAAAACTCAATCTATGGATTTCCTTCTTTTGCAGCTGCAGATCTACGGACTTTGTGAGCCAGGGAAGCCCACCCAGGCATAGTGAGATAGCTGTTCCAGAAAATGTACATGCTTTTAATTTCTGGAGGAAAAGTCCATCGCGGATTACAAGCCATGATGGGGATTTATAACCTCCAGGCTTAAAAGGAGATTTTAATTTAAAAACCCATCTCATCACAGAAGGTACCTCCAAATACCAGAGGCAGGGGAGGGCTAGCAGGAGACAGGTATCTAGTTGTCTCGTATGCTCCCAGAGGCATCTGGTGGGGCCACTGTGGGAGACAGGAAGCTGGACTAGATGGGCCCTTGGCCTGATCCAGCAGGGCTCTTCTTATGTTCTTATGTCAGAAAACATCTGAAAATCCTTTTCATACTTTAGTTATCTGAGACAATTTGCTCTTTCTGTTTGCTTCAGATTTTGGTTTATCGATTACGCTGATCGATTTATGTTTTAGCAATCTTTAGGTACTTTATTCTGTGATTGTACTTAAATGTTGAATTTATGAAACATCTGGACCCTTTTGTAGTATAGAATTCTTTAGCTAACATTTCCCTAATTTTATAAAGCTCCTTTTAAAAATGTTGAATTCTCGTCAATGTAGGTGCCCAGGAAACAAAATCTTTCTGGATCCCAGAAATTGCAAGTTTGGTCACATAGACTTCTCATTAAGGATGAACAACGGAGCACAGCACCTCTATTGTAGCTAAAATGCAAAGGGAGCATTTGGAACATCTCCAAGTGACTAAGGCATCACACAACTAAACCCTATTTAAGTGGCATGCTGTTATATGAATCAGCTCGATGCTTTTCAATGGCTTGGTCTTGCTTGAGAAGTGTGAACTCCTGACAGAGAGGTGCAAACATATTTCTGATTCCCTCTAAGCCTGTGTTATAATTTTGGTGAAAAAGCAGTGAGGGGAACCTGCAATCCTGCCTTTGCTGGCCTGTACAGCTGCTCTCAGCTCCAGCAGGCATGTGCAGTGATGATGTACGGAGGACCATGGTTTCCCTACCTTCTGTGTAAAGCCTACTTCAATATAGAGCCCAGTGTTTTCCTCCATCATAAGATGCTGGAGGACAGAGAGGAGATTCTCCTTGCTTGCTTGGAATCTGTCCATTAAATGCCCCAAGGCACTCTCTCATCTCCAAGCAGCCTATGGTCTCAATCTAGCCTGTCAAGATTCTTTGATCAGCCTACCAATTCTGTGCCAGCTCTCCTTCCTTCTTTGCATCTCCACCCACACAACATTCTTTCCTGTTCTCTAATAGGCCAGAGATCCTCAGATTTCTTGGTGATATTTCATCGTTGAACTATGTGCGTTGCTAAATCCTTAGGAATCATTGCCACCAATGTTAATATAGTAGCGATCATGAAGTGAAAATAGAACATGACATACAGCCCTTAGATGTGGCTGTCCTGATCCATTTCGCTAGTGAAAAAACACCAGTACTGACGCAACTGAACTGATGCCCTCACTTTTCGGGCTTGTGCTTTCATGCTAAAGGGATGTAACATCCACAGGTTCCTGGTGAGCGAAGGTGTGATCCTGGTCATTCACTGAACATGGTGGGACCTGCAAATGGATAGGATTTGTCTGTATGTCCACCGAGAACAACAGAACAACTGAATTCTAATTGCCTAAATCCAACTTTGACCTAGAAGACAGTTGTGGGATCAACTGAACTTACATTAAGTGTTGGCTTAGCAATTTCCAACTGACTCAGTGGATCTATTGTAGTTGGGGCTAATAGTTGATTTTAGGCAAATAGCATAGCATAGGCATCCTTCAGTCTTGAGAGACTATGGTAACATGCTCTGAATTGAGGAGTGTCCTCTCCAGAGCATGAAGCCCAGGTAAGGTAATATGGAGGATAGGCTGTTACCCAAGCAGCAAATCCCCCCTCTCCACATTGCTGTAATGGTCCAATGGAAAAGCAAGAGCCAATACAAATGGTTCCAGCAATGTCGCAGGAGTTGGCAGAACGACACATGCTGCCTTCGGGACTCCAGCTCCGGACTTTGCCTCGAGGTTAACTCCTGAAGCCTTTTCCATGAGTGGATATAGCCAGTTTAGCTGAATTTAGGCAAACGCTTTCAACAGGACTTTGAGTGGAACCTTGTTCTTAAGAGGATCTATCTGGAAAGGTGTGAAACATCTGGCTCCCTGGTTGTTGCTGGCCTACAACTCCCATCACACATACAAAAAGAGAGGCTACAGCGCACAGGGCTGACAAGAGATGAAGTCCAGCAACATCTGGACAGCTCATGTTTCCTTGGCCCTCCTTTACTAGTTCCCCCCCCCTTGCAAATTTAATCTCAGCAAGGCTAGCAGTACATATGCTTTCCCTCTAGTATTGAGTGGGTGCAGCAGTTGTTCCCAAACGGAGTCCCCAGATACTACTGTTCTAAAACTGCCAGAATCCTGAACACATTGGCCATGCTGTCTTGGGGTTCAAGTCAGCTGGAATCCACCTTTGGAAACCACTGCAAGTAGTACCTGCATGCAAAATCATGAACCATGATGTACAGTTATAAACCCTTTTTGGTTGTAAAGGAATGGGAGCAGAGCCGTGTTAAAGCAAAAAGTTCATAAAACCCATAGCCGGTGTAATTAATCCGCTCCAAAAACATTTGCCTGACGTAGCCCCATTTGGTCCCAAGAAAAGGTCAAGAATCCATTTTGATCTCTGGGTATGTTTTATTTCCAATCTATTACCCAATCTGATAAATAAGGGAAGATAGGTGAGTTTACAGCTTCAGTCCACTGTTCCAAAATGGATGCCCCTTCCCATTAAGATGGATGCCCTTTCCCTTGTGAGGAATTCATTGAGCTGACAGAATTGGCTGTTTCTCTGGTGTTGGTGGTCTTCCTTAGTGTGGTCCACATCTGGAGAGATGATCTTTTTCCTTTGCAGATGGCTACTGCTGAGTCAGTTTCAAAGGTTCGGGAGAGAGTTAGGGCCTAGCAAGCCTGAACCAAAGTAGAAATATTCAGTAGTCAAGTTGTATTGGTCAGATCTTGAGGATCAAGAAAGCAAAAGCAAATTTTAAAAAACGGGAGCGCACTAGATGAAAGGTTCTAGGAAATGCGGTGGCTACTCTGGCAGGAAATGGCTTGTCTGAACTAAAATGGGAAGAAGTAAAAAGGAAAATGCAAGCCAAATTGACTGGAACAGGTCACATCAAGGGCCAGCCTGATGACAAGTCAGCAGAATGGAAAAATGTAATGGATTGTGTCCGATTTCACGAGGCAGTAAGAAGCAATCTGGAGCAAAAGCCTTAAGGGGTTGGGCATCAGAAGTAGTTCTTTGTAACTCTACTCGCAAGCAAGTTTCCCATCGAAGCTGGACAGGCAGATGGCAAAGGCCTGAACTGCACACAGCGGGAATTGGTAATCCATGGTGAACACATCAGGAGCCACACGACCAAACTGTAGCGCAATGTAATCAGCTGCGGATTAGGGAGAAAAAGACTATGAGTGGAGGGAAGGGATCATAGCCGACTCTTATCCTCTGCTACGTCTGCCTTTCTATTCATCTCACTGCCTTCTTGAAACAACAACAACAAAATGGCTGGTGTCCTCTCTTTCAGACCAAAGCTTGGAAAAGTTACTTTTTGGGGTGGGGAAGTATCTTGGGAATTGTAGTCCAAAAAGGTAGCTTTTCTAAACTGTGTCTCAAGCAAACATCCCTCCTCCTGCTCTAACCTCTGCCTGAATGCCCAGATGTTTATCCATCTCTACATAGAGGGAACTTGGTAAACAGAGGTTTAAGAGGTTTATATACCAATCTGTATACTGTATATAGATTGGTATATATGTATCTATGACTAGACTGTAGCTATTCCTGATTCAACCAGTTTTTGCACTACCTGCTCTAATATATGGTACATCCACTACCTGATTTGTCAAGGCAGAGCTGGCCCTTATCATTTAGGCAGAGTAACATGGCTGTCTCAGACAACAGGTTGCTACTGATTAATGTTGATGATATTATTTTTGGTCTGTCTGGAGACAAGTACTGTATTTGTGGGACTGTCAGCCTCATGGGGTCTGGTCCAGGTAATCCAAAGGGCTGGATCTCCCCATATGAATCTTCTCAGTGTTTAAATTGTCAGAGGAGGCCCTCCTCTTGGTCCCATTGCCAGCACAAGGCATAATTTATGGGGACACAGGAGAGGGCCTTCTCTGTGGCAGCTCCCAAGTCACGGAATGGCTCTCCCTTGGGGGATCAGGATGGCCCCCTCCCTTCTATCCTTCCAAGGGATGAAGATCCATCTTTTCAGGGAGGCTTTCAACAATCACAACTGAGTCCCTGAATGCTATTTTTAAATTAAGATACCGTAGTTTTTAATGTTTTCAGGCCCCCTCCCTTCTATCCTTCCAAGGGATTAAGATCCACCTTTTCAGGGAGGCATTCAACAATCATAACTGAGTCCCTGAACGCCATTTTTAAGTTAAGATAATTTTCAATGTTTTCCTGATTTTAATTATTCAATTGTATTTTAATCAGTGTATAGTTTAATTCTTTTGAAAATGTTTCTTATGTTTTTCATTCTATTCTTTTAATATTGTGATCTGCCTTGGGTCTCCTTACTGGGAGAAAGGCAGTCTCTCAATCAATCGATCAAACAAATAAATGTGCAAATATAAGCTACCTATACGTTTGGTACTGTGCACCTGATGTGGCTGGACTGGTGTGTGTGGGGGCGTGTATTGGTTACTGTTCCTCAGACATCAATATGTCTTGGACCTGGCTCACGTCAATGGCCAGGGTAATAGCTTGTGTTTTGGACTGGTTGTGGCACAGTACAGTGCAAGCTATTTCCTGGTGATCACACAATGCATGGGAGATCACAAACCAGCCTGACCCTGGGCTGTGCCCAAGCTGGACCTTTTTGAACTACAACTCCCAGAACTCCCCATTCAGATCTCTCCTCCTTTCCTGAGATACAGTTACATATGGGACTGTTATTCAACAGAATCTCTTGCCAGCACACATTAAGGTCACAGTCCCAAACATTCTTCTTTGGAAACAAACCCGACTGATGCTGACCTGCTTTAAAGTAAGGATTTAATATAAGGCTGCAAAGCTGCATGCCCTTAACTTACGGTCATCTTCTGAGATGATCTGGAAGTTCTTAACTGAAGCCTGTGTGACTCGCCCATGGAAGTTGAGTATGTACGACTGGGTCTCCTCGTTCCAAGCCGGCATCTTGTTCTGAAGTTTAATCAGGTTCTGCATGTTCTGGTTCTGGTATCGAATCAGTAACGTCTCATGTTCCTGTAAACCAGACAGACACAGAGAGCACACGATATCTTGAGCTGGCAGCTCTCATCCAACAAACAGCATCAGCAAGGAAGGTGGCCAAGCACACTGCATAGAGTCAACCACTCACATTTTTTGGCCGGATGCAGATCCTCTCATTGTCTGAGTTCATTCCAGGAATGATCACTGTCATTTTTCGTGGGCCCCTGAATCCCAGAACATTGGTTTCCTAGAGAAAGGAGGGGAGGAAAACAAGTACTTGCCCTCTAACTCTGTAAGTGGATTGTTTATACATTATGTGCCATCAAGTCCCTTCCAGCCAAGGGCAACTCTCATAGATTTTCTAAGGTGTACGAGGGTTTTAAGGAGTGGTTCACCACTGCTACCTCCACGAATGAATTTCTGTGGCTGAACAGGGATCCATACCCAGGTCTCCTGAGTCCTAGTCCAACACTCTATCCAATACATTGCACTAGCTCTCTAAAAGTTAAATGCAATTGTTAATTCCAGTTAGAGTAGATCTCTTGCATCAAAGATTTTCTGATAACCTAACACTTGTTGTAAGTCCCATTGATTCAGTGAGTACGTTTTAGGACGAACATTTTAGGCCTGAAACATTATTATTTTTGGGACATTTTAGGCCTGAAACATTATTATTCACTTATGCAACATTTTAAGATCTACAAACATCTTTATCTTAATGCTTTTAAAGTGCCTTCCAGCCTCTGTGGGGAAGCAGTCACTATGGATTATCTAGGCCTGTTAGGTAACAACAGTTTCACAAGCCATGACCCTTATCTTTCTTCTCACACCTTGCTGCTGGAGGAGGTCTATGACCTCAAAACAGAGAGGAGGAGGATGCATTAGAGAGATGGAAGAAGAACGCCTGCATGCGTAGAAACGCCTCATCCAAACTGTGAGCATGTGGGCTGGGGGGGGGAGAGGGTGGTAAAAGCATTGAACCCACCCCCCTCACCTCCCCAGAGGAGGACATGATAACAAATGGGCAGGGACGTTGGCTAGTCTTTAGGTCTGAGGCCGAGTCTTTGGTATGAAGGTCCCCATTCTAAGATCCTATGAAAAAAACAAGCTTTTTTCCCCTTCAGAAAAAAAGAGGGAGAGGGAGTGGATTCTGAGTCATGAGTTAAATCCGAGTCACTGAACCTCCCCCTTCCAAAGTCAAATCCAAGTTGAGTCACCCGTGCGATTTAAGTCCGACCTGACAATGAGTCCGGCAACTCAAGTCCCCCTCCCTGCCAATGGGCCAGGTACAGATCAGGCCTCTATAACAGCCACAAGGGGATGGAGAAGATCCGTTCTGTGTTTTAAGAATGTGGACACTGAAATTCTCAAGCCGCTAGCTTCCCCAACCTCTCTTTGTAGCTAAGTATTATCCACTCCACCATCGGTAGGGCCTAGGAATAGAGATCTCCCTCAGTGTAAACGTACGTAGCAAATGGCAGCCAGTTCTTGCCGCAGGTGGGCTGTTTCTGGAACAAAAGGTTTCTTGTCAGGGTTGATCCCGTTGTCGAAGACCGTAAACCTGGTCCCCAGCACATTAGATCTAGAAGAGGGCGACGAGGAGGCTTGGTTATTTGGGGAATTTTGTACATGGAGGTGGGGAAAGCTGCTTCTCTTGGATTTCAACTCCCAAAACTCCCCACTGGCTAAGCTGAATGGGGGATTCTAGGAGTTGTAGTCCAAAAAGAGTCCCTCCTCTGTGTCATTCAATCTCCCCCCCTCAAAAAACCCCACAAAACAGCAAGACAGTGCATATCAACAATAATTCTCTGAAAAAGAATATAGAGCCTCTTAGAATAAAACTTATTTTAAACCGTTGATGTTTCTCGGTGAAAGGAAGCAGGCCGCCACTTCCCCTGCTGAGAAGCCCTTCCTTTACCAAAGCCCTCCCTTTTGTAGCTGCCACTTGGCTTCTTTTGCTTGCAATCAGAAAAAGATGCAGGTGGCGGGGAGAGACGCCTTTTCGGTGGAAAAGAGCACAAGCCAAGAGGAGAGGGTTATGGATCTCCTGTCTTCCTGCAGCAGGGTTCACGTCAACTCACCGCCCACATGCACTAGCGGCACTGTTCTTCTTGTTCCAAACCTCCATTCAATTCACACTGGCTCTAAAAATACATCGAAAGCACTCATGGATGCCAAGCATCTAACCTTTTCCGGGAAGACAAGGCTTAACAGCACCTCCAGATATCAAAGCAGGCTGGGTGGAAATCCGCTCCTTGGCCTTTGTTGCAACTGCTTTTCATGGCTGTACCGGATAGATTGAGTAACACCCAAAACAGTGCTGTAATTGCTCTCCAATAAAACTACTGCCTCACTTGCTCTGTGTTTTATTGTAATTTTATTCTCTGGAGCCAAGATGGTTGCCTGTCTACAATTTATAAGTCTGGGAGGCTCCTACAGACTCTTTCTCATGAAGTCTTCTGACATGATCCATTTGTATTTCTTAAGGCATCAGAAGATTCTAAGCTTCGTCCCACAACATTTATTCCTCCACTTGTAAGAGGAACTCTCGAATTCAGGATTGAGGCAGAGTTTGGAAAAGCTACTTTCTGGCTCAAGAAGTCCACTAGCTACATTCCAAAATGAGAGACGAATGTCTCTGGAACACAGGACACTATTTATGAGGCCGTACCATTTACGGCATCTCAGGTCATGCTGTTTGTCCAACAAGGTTCAACTCTGAATGGTACAATCTACTCTGAAAAGCAGCACCTCTCATGTGTTACTAGCTTATTTAACTTTTGTTGTTTGTTGTTTAGTCGCTAAGTCTTGTCCAGCTCTTCATGACCCCATGGACCAGAGCACGCCAGGCCCTCCTGTCTTCCACTGCCTCCTGGAGTTGGGTCAAATTCATGTTGGTAGCTTTGATGACACTGTCCAACCATCTCATCCCCCGTCGTCCCCTTCTCCTCTTGCCCTCACATTTTCCCAACATCAGGATCTTTTCCAGGGAGTCTTCTCTTCTCATGAGATTGCCAAAGTATTGGAGCCTCAGCTTCAGGATCTGTCCTTCCAGTGAGCACTCAGGGTTGATCAATTCTAAAGTGCAGATGTTTATCATAACAGTCTCCATTGCCATGCTCCCAAAGAAAATCCAAAAATGCAGGCAGATGTTTATGAAACCAGTTCTAGCCACTTCCGTCTCCACTAGAAGCAAGCTTTTTATGAAACTAATGCATCTTAACTACTCATTCAAGACCAAGCCACTGCATAACATTTTACATTATACAATAATATATTATAACTGGGAAAATCATCTCCCATAAGAACTGGAGCTAAACAGGAACAGAAATCATGGCCACAGATATTCTTATAAAAATATAAGCACCAGTCTTCCACACCCCTGCTTGGCGACAGCATTGTCTGATAGCTCCCAGGGATGGAACCTGGAGAAGCCTGCCTAAAAAGCATGTGACACAGCCCCTCAGGAACACAGCAGGATTAAAAAGAGACCCACCTGACTTTCCCGATAAAGTTGTCACCATCCCGTGACAGATCAATGGGATCCAGAGAAATAAGGTAGTTTGAAGTCTTGCTTTTCTTCCTCTTCCGTCCGGACATGAGGAATCGCTGAAGGAGAACACCCAAAGATCAGCTTGCTTGGTTCTCAGTCTGCCTCTCTCCGTAACTGCCTGAACACCCTTTCTGCAGGCCATCCTACCTATGTATCTTTACAAAGACTAAGAGGGAATCCAAGGCTACAATGAACACTTTCCCTTAGGATAATGAATCATTACAGGGGGTGGGGGGTGGAATCCCCCACAATCAGCAACCTGCTGCCCTCTAAATATTTTAGACCAACTCCAGCCAGCACAGCTAATCACCAAGATTTATGGAATATCAGAGACAGTTGTATGAGTTTGTTTCAGCAACAACGAAAACAGAAATGGGGGGGGGGAAGCTAACCATTTTATTTCAGTGAAAATTTTTGTGGATCACAACTCAAATGTGTTGTCTCTGAAAAGTGAGTTACAAACCACAGAAATTTACACCGAAGCAAAATGGTTAGTTTAAAATGCACCACACTACATTTGCCATTGTTTTCACTGGTTCGTTTTGTTTTTGTTGCTTCATGAGATAATGTATTTGCTGTGGGGATTTTTTAGTTCAGCCACATAAATGGAGTAGGTCTGCAATCCCCAGTATTTTCATTTCTTCCTTCCTTCGGTTTCAAAGAGATCTGTATTCCACACGTTGAAAATAAATTTCCAAAGTATTTCTAATAAGATACCGTGGGAAATGAGCTAAGTGTTGTAATCCCATACCACAAAATCAGCGCAATCCTACACCTATTTACTTAGAATAAAGAGTTGTAGTAATGGATGGGGTTAAGTATGTTTTATGACTTCCCCAAGCCATGATTAGTAGCCCCGGTGCCCTCAACAAAGCAGAATACAAATTTGGACGAGTAAATTGGGAATACAGTAGTTAATTCTGACTTCAGAGAGGAGTGTGTTTATTACAGATTTCTCTTCTTTTAAAAAAGTGCATCAATCTTTCTAGTACCTTCTTTCCATTTTCCATCTCCAGATGCAGGTAGTAGAAAGGGTAGATAGCCTTATCCATCCCTTTCCGATCCCGTGTGATACGACACTGGATGATGTGGCCCTGAGGAGCAGGTTTGAGAACAAAAGCTTCAATGTCTTCCACCTTGAGAGATATTGGAGTGCTAGTCTCCTCACCTGGAGGCTGTCAGGGAGGAGAAAAAAATATATATTAATTTGGGCTGTGGAAGTCCAGGTCAGAGCAACTGTTCTTTTTAAAGACTACACAAGAGGTCCTTCATCTTCATCTGAGAGCAAGCCAGTGCCGTAAACGCTAGAGCTCCTCCACAACTGAAACCTGGGAAATATAGTTCTCTGACAGGCTGTAAGACTCACAGAAAATTCTCAGCAGCATCACAACAGGACCTAGTTTTCAGGACACCTAAGTGGAAACTATGATAGTGGAACCCATTTTTGGAATATTTTAAATCTGATTTTCAAGCACAAAGGAGCATCTGCCGTTCGATGCTTCTGATGTTGCCACACTGCCTGTTTCACCCAATGTGAGTCAGCACGGCTGATGGTGAACAATAAGGGGCGTCTCAGGGCTGCAATATCTGAAGGCCACACGTCTCCTTGCCTTAAGAGATCAACAAAACACTTAAATGGGTGAGTTCTATTTGAATCTGTTTTATAAGGTGCATCAGTTTTTGCACAAAATGGAACACATCTGGGAGCACCCTTTTAAACCTTGGATCATCTTCCTTACACTGAAGTAGGGTGGGGTTGGTTTTCGCTTTCATTAATACCTGCTTCCACCTTGTTTTCCCTCTTTGCTCTTTAAAGGTTGGTGAGGTGGGAGGAGCAAAGTCCCTTTCTTGTGGTCCTCACAGCTTCTCTGTGGTGAAATTGACAGGGCTGATTTCCTGGGCCTTGTCAGTTTCACTAGGGAGGAGGAAGGTGAGAAGGAAGCAAAGTTACAGTAGGATTATCATATGGGGATCAATACCAAATATATATATAAGCAGCTTCCCATGAAATGGAGACACCAAAATTTTGTTGAGGTGGGGAAGCACCAGTTGCTGGTTTCAGGGAAGGCTCCTTTGTGAACAGGAGGGCAGGAGACCCAGTTCTTTGGCCAGAGTAGGACACGGCTCCCTCTCTCAACCATGCAGACACCAAAGAAACTGGAAGTGCTTCGCTTATCTGCTATTTTTTGGCATCTGCGGAAGGGGGCTTGGAACCGATCCCCCACAGATACTGTGGTCTTGCTGTAATGCCAACCGAAACAAGAAGCCAAAAAGAAACCAAAACCAGAAATTCCAGAAACAAGGGGCTTGGAACCGATCCCCCACAGATACTTGGTCTTACTTTAATGCCAACCGAAACAAGAAGCCAAAACCATAAATTCCAGAAACAGTAACTCCTTCTTTCTTTCCCACCAACACTTTAGATACTGATGCAGCTCATTGTGATTCCTTGGGGTGGAAAGTTGACTCCTATCTTGACCCTATGATGTTTCCTGTCCCAGTTGTAAATGGGGGTCAATGAAGTGGGGGAGGTAGAAGTACTTGAAAAGGGAGAAGCACGCCTGATTTCAGCTTTAGCATCTTACGGTAGACAAGTCGATCTCCTCACGGATGTACATGACGCTTCTGAGAATATCCTGCTCCTCGTCCTTTAAGTCTTCATCACCTTCATCTTCACCTTCATCGTCCTCATTATCATCACCACCATCGTCCTCACTCAAGCTTCTCCTTCCATTGGTGAGAGATCCTGGGAAGGGCGGGAAAGATTAAAAAGGACTGGGGGCAGAGATGAACCACCGTTTCCTTTCCCAGCCATGCTTAGTTTCTCTCCTACCTCACTCAGTATTGTCTTCGAGATTCAGTAGTGCATTATTCTTCGTAGTTCAAAGCCACACCCCTCCCTTGCTGGGAAAAGAGGCAAATGTCTGTTTCTCTCCTACCTCACTCAGTATTGTCTTCAAGATTCAGTAGTGCATTATTCTTTGTAGTTCAAAGCCACACCCCTCCCTTGCCGGAAAAGAGGCAAATGTCTGCGCCTAGCAAACAACCAATGGCTGTGTGTGTATCCCAGAATCCTTTGCACTGATGCCCATAAGAAACCATAGGAGAGACAGTTTTGTAGCTCCTCCTGGCCAGAAGACTACTCACCTCTGTGGGCAAGCATCCAATCACGGGACTTTTTTCTGCATGAGGGTGGTCCTGTCATCTCTTGGGGTACTTCCTCCTCGCTATCAGAGTTGCTCTGGACTGTATGGACATCACATATTTCACCAACAGTATCCTTAGATTCTGTGGACTTCAGATCTTCATCATAGAGCTCATTCTTGAAAACTAAATGGGCTTGGGGAAATGCAAAAACAATGACTTACTGCCCTCTCTTGGCTTATTTTCGTGACAACACCAAACTATTATAATAAAGGGAAGCTGTATGGTCCAAACAAAATAAAATACAAATGCAAATTTAGGTGATACCTTTATAGACAACTAAAAATCATCATACAATACATGAGCTTCCATGGATCAAAACACCACTTCATCTGGCTTGTACCAGTGTGAAGAATGTAAAGTCCAAAAGTTCATGGCAAGATGGATTTTGTTCAGGAAAGTTACTCTTAGATGTGAATTCCGAAAGTTCTCGGCAAGATGGAATGCTCCAGGCACACCTCTCTTAGATCCAAGTCAGGAAGCAGTATAGTCACTGTTTTATGGTTACAGCTGTGGATTGAGTATAACAACCCAGTTCTCTAAGCAAAGAAGCACAGGCCGTGTGTGCACACCAAATGATGAAACAAACAAACAAAAAGAATCTCATGGTGCCTAAGACTCACAAGGTTTTTTTTCCCCATCCATATAAGCATTCAAGGTCTACAATCCACTTCTTTAGAGGTGGAGTGACTGGAGGGCAGCTGGGGAAGTAGGCAATAGTCTGGGAAAACTTATGCGAAATAAAAGCTACTAGTCATTAAGGTGCCACAAGGCTTATTGTTGTTTTTGTGGAAATAGCTTAGCGTGACTTCTCTTTTGGACATTTAAAAATGGTTTGGCTACAGGATGTTGCCTTAGCTATTATTTAATAAAGCTTTAATTTGGGGCTGGGCAAGATGCAAGGACACTCCTGAGATTCTACAATGCTGTAAAAACACCAGAACAAAACAGAAAATACCCTTCTTCTTCTTCTTTTCCCTTCTGGAAAGGAAGGAGACAACCTGCTATACTCTGGGACAAGAGGAGTCTGCCACCAGTCTGCACCATAGAGAAGCGCCACATAATTGCTGCTGAAGTTGGGTGCCAATGCAACTCCCAGCGTTGGAGGAGAAAGGTACAGAGCAGACAGCCAAAGCCTCATTTTGGGAAACATCTTGGACTACAGCTCCCAAAATTCTCTGGCCAGCTGGCTGAGGGAATTCTAGGATTTGTAGTCCACATGGGTGGCTGCCCAACACCAGATGACCAGTCTGTTGCTACTTGAAGAATCATTTTCTCTCGTAAAACCAAAAGCTTTCTGTGCGCTTCTCTCCCCCACCCCACCTCCCGGCTTCCATTCCCTTGTGTAACACCGTGTTCCTGTTTCCATGCCGTGAAGCGCTCTGGAAACTCACCCTCCATGTCTGTGATGACAGATGAAATTTTCTCTGTTGGAGAAGACACTTCTTTCTTTGATTGAGCTGCCTGGAGTTCACACCTGGGACTCTCGGCTTCGACGCCCATCCTAGTAGATGAAGTGTCCCGTCTCAGGGATGAGACCTTCTTCTTTGATTTTGAGGCCTGGCCGTGCCTCTGGGCTCTGGATCGCCCTGCTGAGGATGAGGCAAGGTATGAATATACAGCATCTGGAAAAAAGTTACTTTTTGACAGAACCACTCCCAGAATCTCTGTGCCATCATGGCGGTACTAAGTGGAAGTTTTCAAGAACTGTAGCTTTTCCAAGCCATCACTAAAGGACAACGGATACCCTCTGTTCAGGGCGGTGTACGCCCAAATTCTGTGTCCAACAAAGTTATGCAATTTGTAGATAATTATGGAGATAAGCATGTTTCCAAAAGCATGCTGTTACCATCCTACCATGAGGAGAAAGAAGCTATGTGAGGCACTGAATACCAACTTTCTCATTCCATGAAATGCGGATCAGTCCCTCACTCTAGTTTCTGCACTTATACCAGGCTTTACTCACTTATTTCTGAGCTTATGCCTTTGATAACTGAAAACTAGACATGATGTGAGAGACCCACAATAAAGTCAACCATTCTTGCTCTCTGTCGTTGATCATGATAAAGCTATCGGTGGAGGGAGCGAGGAGATTTCAGCTGCAGCCATGGTGCTGTGGTGAGATGACTTGTGATACTTCCCTGATTCATTTCTTTCCCACCCCCCTCAATATTTTGCAAATTGTGCTTGTTTTCCCCCACACACACACCTTGTACGATTAATAGCAATCATGAGGTGGCAAGTTCGGTCTGGGAAACAGCGTTCTTGGGGAGGGGCTATAATGCTTTTGTGTAGCTATTTCACCACAAAGAAAAGAAAGAGACCAAAAACAACAACATCACCAGACTGAATCCAGACCATGGTTCACTTTGGGCAGGCCCCTCAAAATCAATGGGATGCGGTAGCTGAAAACCTATTGCTTAATAAGTGTGCAGTAACTAGAGTAGGCCCACCGAATCTGTGGGTCAACTCCTCATACCTTTCATTGATTCAAATAGCCCTACTCTAGTTGCCACTTACTTTAGAGTAAGTCACAACTAGAGTAGGCCCATTTGAATCAGTGGAGAGCTGACTTACCAAATCCCCACTGTTCCAATGGGCTTACTCAAGCACAACTTACTACACTAAGTAACGCCATTTCAGTTGTTCTTTACATATTACTGTTTTCAGTAGGATTACTGTAAGCACAAGTAAATCTGGCTCCAATCCACGAGAATTTAGTACAGAGTTGGCTTCCAGTTGCTTAAAAAAAAACTTCCCATAATCCGTGAAGGCTTTCACAGCCGGGATCTAATGGTTGTTGTGGGTTTTTCGGGCTCTTTGGCCGTGTTCTGGAGGTTGTTCTCCAAACAAACTACACCAGAGCACAGAGTGCTGTCCTCTGAAGATGCCGGCCACAATGACTGGCGAAACATTAGGAAGAACACCCTTCAGAACACGGCCAAAGAGCCCAAAAAACCCACAACAACCATTCCCATAATCCTTTACCATTGACTGTGCTGGCTAAGGCTGATGGGAACTGTAAGCCAAAACAACCAGAGGGACACAACTGACTCCCCTGATGAACTAGACAGAGCACAGCCAACTCTCCCCTCTTCCTTCCCATAGTTCAGCTTGATCCTTCTCTCTACCCCGGGGTGTGTGTGTGTGGAACAAAACTACTTATAATCCAAGTCTTTTTTGCTGGGGTCATTTGTGCCTTTCTGTTTAGCATGACCCAGCCTCCACTTCTGGTCCCCTCTTCACGCAAGAGGAATTCCTTCTTCCCCTAGTAGTGCAAAGCAGCACCGTCTTGTTGACCCAGCTCTGTTGCCTGGCAACCAAGGTCTCCGTTCTGAGAGCAGCGGCTTAGCAACAGAGAATTGCATCAGGCTAAGGATCGCTTAGCAACCCTTTAACTCTTCCCACTCCCCCATCCGCGGGCTCACCTCCTCTCTGCTTGGCTTGCCAGCCATTCTTCGGAGCGGACTCGTTCTTGTTGACAGGCTGGGTTTCTTCCAAAACAGCCACCTCAAGATCTGCTTCATCAGAGAAATCTGTTGAAATAGGGCAGAAAGCCTTTGGAACTCCCTCCCACAGGAAACCAGCCTGGCCCTGTTTTTTTGAGATCTTTCTGCAAGCAAGCAAAGGCCTTTCTCTTCAGGCAACCTTTCCCTCCGTGACTGGCTGCCTGAGAGGGGTTTTTAAATGGATTGTTATATGCCTTACTGCTTTGTAGGTGTTTTTAGTATTGCTTTGGTTTACCATTTCTTGGAGTGGTATTGGATTGTTCCTTTTTAATACAGTATTTGCATACATTGTTTTTAGCTTTAAATGTTGCCTTTTAATGATGTAAGCCACCTTGGGTCCATTTTAAGGAGAAAGGCAGGGCAAATATATATTTTAAATAAATAAATAAATGGCACGGGACCATGAACTATACAGAAGAAAAGAAATAGGTGATGAGGGTCAGCTGCTAGCTTCTGAAAAGAGAGGTACTAGGGCATAAGCAACAAAACGGAGCATGAAAAAGTGATGTTGTTTTGAAAGGCCAAACGCCCACAGCCAACACAGACCCTGTTGGGTTCCCACGTTTCAGGCTTTGGCCCTGAGATTCAGTTTTGGGGTGGGGGGACAGCATACTCCAGGTCTCAGGGCTTTAGACCTAAATGTGATGCTTTCAACATTGGAACACTAGATTTGGAGGTTCATTCACTTGGCTTTAGGACATGCTGTTTGGATCTGTTCAGAAGCACTTGTCTTTTTCATTATTTTGCAGGCATTAGAGCTGCTGCTGCAGAAAGTCATGCACAGGCTTTACATTCATCAGAGAGACTCGTGCTGTGACCAACACTGAAAAAAGATGCAGGAAATATTTGGCATTGGACTGGGCTGATTTGTATTTTTTTTCCTCTCCCATTGACCCCATGACTTCAGGAATCAGCCTGGGGTTCCCTTTACCCCATCTGTATCTCTGCCACTGGGGCTTCTGTGCTTAAAAAAACAAATCCATTCGCATCAGTTCAGGCATTTGATCACCATGGGCAGAAAGGAGGAAACCAGTACACAATTAGGGAATGGCACAATCAAAGAAAAGTCTGTTGGCAAGAGTTTTCTTTTCTTTTTTTAAAAAACAGGTGTCCATGAACCTGAATTCCCCAGTGTGACTTCAAAACAAATGAATGTGAGTGAATTTGCATTTCCCACGCTGTGTGGTTGGACTACTAGTCTTGTCTTGTCTTGTCTTGTCTTGTCTTGTCTTGTCTTGTTTTGTCTGTCTGTCTGTCTGTCTGTCTGTCTCTCTCTCTCTCTCTCTCTCTCTCTCTCTCTCACACACACACACACACACACACACACACTTGCAGATGTTATGTAGCAGCTCTGAAAATGTTAAGCCTATCCTTAGGTTTTGGATTTTGTCTATAATATCTTGGAAGTTGGGATGCTCTTTCATGGGCAACTCCAGCAACTGCCCATGCTGACTGGGGGATCCTGAGAGCGATTGTCCTAAATAAAGTTACTGAATTTTTCCATTTACAAGATGACCCAAAGTACAAAATGATCCTCCCCTTTTCTAATCCCCCAAATTAGAACATTTGCAGGCTCGCGCCCCCTTGATCCTCCCACCCTTTCCTGGCTGTGTTTCCCACTTTCTAAGCTCTGCGGAGCTTAGGAAATGGTTAATGCAGCCATGAAAGGCCAGCGCTCGCGCCCCTTTGATCCTCCCCCCCTTTCCTGGCTGCTTCATGATCAAAGGGGTGCGAGTGTGCTGCCCTTTCATGGCTGATTTACTCTGTGGCTTCGCAAAAGGCAGGGAAAACGGCTGCCTGCTGTGTATAAAACGACCCTTAATTTTTGGTCTTAATTATTTAAGTAAAAAAGTCTCGTTTTATACACGGTAAAATACGGGACTTTTAAAAAATCTGCCTATGTACGGCTGTGCATTATTTGGGGATGGCTACCCAGCACCTCTTTATTACCTGGACAGACTGCCTGGTTTTCCCCTTGGTGGTTGTTCTGCATCCGTTTCATCTGCACAGAGCTGCCCCACATTTGAGTGCCAAGATGAGCTTCTGGGACAGACTCCACAAGGAAGGGATTGGAAGTACCTTTGAAAAGATGCAGAGGAGACATTGAGAAAGGTGGTGGTGCAAGCAGTAGGAAAAACAGACCACGCCCTCAGAAAAATCCAGCCACTGCTCCTGAGCATCCATACTCTCTACACTGAGTTTAGAAGGGATAACATTGATGGCAGATTTACATTTGGTAAGATCCTGGGAGATCCAAGTTTCAGCCTACCCCCAGCCCCAGGTTCAACTCGCATGTCCAAACTACATATAGCAGAGTAGCTATATTACAACTTCATGAAAACAGCTTCGTATGCAGCAAGCCCTGAGTTTGGAAAATGTATTCTTCTGGATGACTGTTTCCAGAATCCTCCAGCCAATGTGACCATTAGTCATGCTGGCCGAGACATTCTAGATGTAAGAGTTCAACAATTACTTTTCCAAGTCCTGGTTACATTGTGGGAACAAAAGAGCCTCCTTCCACATAGCTTCGGAGTTTTCCTCTCCACGGAATTATGAAGGGATCAGGTAACTAACCTGGACACCTTATCAAACAAGAGGATGAGAGAAGGTACTGCTTTGCATAATGTGCTAATTTATATTTTACAGATGCCAAGTTATGAATTATTTATCAAACTTTAAACAACATATCTCACTCAAGTGGAAAGCCTGTGGAGGACTATAATCTTGCTGAGTCTATTGATGCCGGCCGCTGTGGATGGGCAACATGAAGGTTTCTGGTCTCCTGCCTCATGTTCTGTGATTTTTGAATCAGAATTGGACAGGACAATCTTTCAGATGGAAGACAACTTCAACAGCACCACTGTCTTCCCAACAGCATATGACTCACTCCCATGGAATCTTGGTATTTGTGGTGCTTAGTTACTTCTAAGCATCTGCTAGAGAGTTCCAGGATGCTGACCCAGATTATAAATTCTAGGGTTCTGTAAAATGGAGCCAGAGTCATTTAAAGTGGCACCAGATTTCAACAATGTTGTATTATGGAGACACTCTGGGGGTGTTTCTTCACCCTGGTTGCATTTGCCTTAAATCTCTTTTAGCTGAGTTGAGGCAATGCTTTTCTGAAACTGCACAGAAGTAGGTGTTTCATAGGGATGTGGTGGCATTGTGGGTTAAACCACAGAAGCCTCTGTGCTGCAAGGTCAGAAGACCAACTGTTGTAAGATTGAATCCATGTGATGGAGTGAGCTCCTGTCGCTTGTGCCAGCTTCTGCTAACCTAGCAGTTCGAAAGCATGTAAAAATGTGAGTAGATAAATAGGTACCACCTCAGTCGGAAGGTAACGGCGTTCCATGTCTAGTCGCGCTGGCCACATGACCATGGAAACTGTCTTTGGACAAACGCTGGCTCTATGGCTTGGAAACGGGGATGAGCACCGTGCCCTAGAGACGGACACGATTGGGCTCAATGTCAAGGGGAACCTTTACCTTTACCTAGGCTTCCATTCACAGCACTGGTTACAGCAATTTCCACCATAAAATCAACTACACTTTTCCCTGTGAACAAGATGCCACTATGTATGTACTCAGATGTAAGTTTCATTCAGCAAACATACTGTTTCCCCCTGCAAGAGTTGTAGAGAATTCATTCCAAACTGCAAAACTACAGGATAAAACAATCATTTGTTAACCTTCCCAAAGCCCCGCCTAAGAGAGAATATAATAAAGACCAAACTATCTGTTTCAGGCATCCCACCATTAGAAGCTGAAGTCCATTTGTATTCCAAATTAATCCTTTAAGCAGACCATTGTGATCTATTCATCAGACTTGCCAATGAAGCGTGGGTTGATATCCCAATGACCCATCACAAAACAGAGCAAACTAGGTTGTAAAACTACAGGAGCTCCTGTTGCAACCACCAGACTTTGTCAGGATTTAAGGAACCCTCTCTTCTAGTGACATGCTATAGAAAATGTATAGTTTGATCCCCAGCTGCCAAACACAATGACATCCACAGTCCACAATGGTGTGCTCCTACTCACTGTTGCAGAGGCTGTGTTCACTGCAAGACTCCATGAGTGGGATGCGCTCCTCGGGTTTGTGTCTCCCATGGCGGCCTTTCACCTTGGAATCTGTGTTGGCCTGAACCATGAGCAGCTCCTGGCGCTTGCGGCGCTGTTTCTTTTCAATGATATGTCGCTGAAAGAGTGTGCAGACAAGTACGGTCGTTGGGAAAGGATGCAGGGTAAAGAAGGGAGCACCGTATCAATGCCGTGTATAAAATAATAAATAACTTATAATATGTATTTCTAAAATGCGAGTTCTGTCTTCCAGAGACCATTCAGCATTTTCTTGTGACTGGTTGTATAAGTCCACTGCCTGCAAGCCTTCTGCGCATGGAGAAATATCTTGGGGCCAAAGTAAGTGAGTGATCACACCAGAACCTAAAATATAGCAACTCTAACAGATTTCAAGTTGAACTACAGGTCACAGAATCCCAACCCACGAGGATCATTGGCCATGCGGGCTGCAGAATCCAATGTGGGAGTCATCATCCCAAAACAGATTTTTTCAAATTCTGTTCAAAGTTGAAAATGGCAGTGTTTTTTAGCCTATATACACTTAACTGGGAACAGGCCCTATGGAGCCCCAGGAGGTTTATTTGGGAGTATCCATGTGCAAGAATTAAGTTGTTAGAGAGCAACTAACATTCAGTTGTCCAATGCTTGTGAAACAAAAAGGCTTGGCAGAGTGTGTTCCCTTCCTCTCCCCTCCTTCTTAGCTCCTGCCCGTTACTTTTTTCTCACAGGAAACATTCTGGCCCAAACCAACAAAGTCCTGTGGTACCTTATGAGCTAACACATTCATTAGAGTACAAACCTTTTATGGCTTGCAAATGCATAAAACATTACTCACAATTACAAATGCATATACATACAATACCCATGATTGCGGGTAGGGTGCTAGACAGTGAGGGAAAAGGGAAATAAAATACACGAACTGCTGAGAATGTCCCATTGTGCTGCCTATAAAGTGTTGCGGGGTGGGGAATCAGAACCTAAAATGTTACTCCCACAGCATGGTGTCTCAGCTAATTCTATTAAGCTAACGCCCAAGCAATAATAATAAGCAGACAGTTTCTTGGAGGAAAGGGCGACAGGTTTATTCAGATAAGACAAGGGCGCAGTCAGGTGCTCAGCAGGGTGGGGACCCCGAGGTCAACAGGGTTAAAGTTTTTATATAGTTCAAAAAAGGAAACGAAAGTATGCAGCAGTTCATTGGTCTTTGAGGACTATGTGCATCAGTTACAACTTCTCACATTTCAGCAAAGCTGAGATGTTTCCCATGTGCAGAGCAGCTTATCTCTAAGGTGTGTTGGGTCTTCCTTACAAAGCACCACTTCTTCGTTGGCACTTGCTCCCTTCTTACAAGAACAACCCTGTTTTTGGACACCACCACCCACAATCTCCCAGAAGAGCGATGACTAGCAGTTGTGGTTTTTTTTGGCACTTGGATCAAGTGGCGCTTGGTCTCCCACCAACGCTGCCCTGGCCCATGAGCACAAACTCCCATGAAAGGGGAGGAGGAGACTGGGGTACCCCACTCCCTGAAAAAGATGAAAGGTACCTGGAACTCCAGTTTCTGTTTCCGTAGGAGCACTGCTTCGTCGTTGCCATTGCTGGAAGAAAAAGAGGTGCTAATGTCAGATGGTGAACCGGGGAAGGAATGGAGGCGCTGGTACAAACTCCGGTACATCCTGAGATGTGGCATCACTCTGCCAGCTCCAGGGCAGCCCCACCTGCAGGAGGGCCAGTTGCCCAGGATTGCCAACTGCCTGAGGATTCCGAATTCCATGGTGCTTGAAGGGACTTTGTGATTTCATAAAAGCCTCAGGATGCAGCCAGGGTGGGGAAAGTGGCTTATTATTGGGAGGGGGGGGGGAACCCTTCAGGGCCAAGGCCAGGTCAGAGCCCTTCCTGCAGAGTTTGTAAAAGTTACCTTTTTGGACTACATCTCCCATATACCTCCAGTGGCATGCTAGCTGGAAGATTCTGGGGCTTGCAGCCTAAAAATTAACTTTTCTCAAGATAATGCTTCCCAATGTGTTGTTATGGCTCCCATCACCCCCAGCCAGCATGAACAAATGGGAGTTGTAGTCCAATACAACTTAAAGATGCTTGGTTTAGCAGAAGAGGTTGCTCTGCATTATGCCATTGTTTATTTCTGTGAATGCCACAGGAATATCTGGTGAGGTGTGTGTCATATTTTCAATTTATGCTAATTCACTACTTTTTTTATAAAAAAAGCAACTTCTATGCTATAAATATAAAGGGTACTTCCTTCTTTAAAAACAGAATGAGCAGAGAATACATATCAATATCTATATTAAAAACCCCAGGAATTCCTAACATAACTAGTATTCCAAAGAGTTGTTGAAGTTCAATTACATAAATCCATTGTATTTTTATGTCACAGATTGCTCTCTTGACAGAAGGTGGAGAGAAAGAGAAACAGCACGGTTACTTGTGTATATTAGGGTTATAGAACTATGAGACTTTCCTGGCATGTAGCCCTTGTGTACATATTTGGCAAATTAACCGTTTTTGGGTTTACAGCTTCTTTTGGATGTTCCACCTCCCGCCGCCACCACCCCCAGCACTTGGCTTTGAAAGATGTCAAAGGTAGTGTTGCAAGGGAGCATTAATGCATTTTCTGTAACATGTGATCTGACCCACTCAGCCCTCTCCATACATGCTAGATTACAACTCTTTATCAACCGTGTGGATTATCATTGGCTGTGCTGGAAAATGATAGTGGGAGTTGTGGTAGAGTGACAATCATGTTGCTTAATCAGCAAGACCTTTTAGTGATTTTTAAAAGTTGCTTAACTGAGTCATCGAACCCATTAATGTTGTGTCCCTAACTTTCACTACAGCTGAAAATGTTATTTATTTTCAAGCTCGCCATTCTAACTGGGACATTCTGGGAGCTGAAGTTAAGTTAAAGTAACATTTCTAAGCTATAGCGCCATTCTAACTGGGACATTCTGGGAGCTGTAGTTAAGTAAAGTAACATTTCTAAGCTGTAGCTCAGATGTATTCATGAAGGCTTCCACGGCCGGAGGCTTTCACAGCCGGGTATCTAATGGTTGTGGGTTTTTCGGGCTTTTTGGCCATGTTCTGAAGGTTGTTCTTCCTAACATTTCGCCAGTCTCTGTGGCCGGTATCTTCAGAGGACTGGCCAGTCCTCTGAAGATGCTGGTCACAGAGACTGGCGAAACATCAGGAAAAACAACCTTCAGAACATGGCCAAAGAGCCTGAAAAAACCCACAACAACCATGTAGCTCAGATCTTTTGTATAGCCGTTCGAAACTTTTTAAAAAAGGCTATGAATGTACATGCTGTACGTGTAAATCCAGCCATTTATTTGAATTATACATACCAGTTTTGAGTGATTATCCAGCTATCTAGGCAGACTAAAACACAATTCTTTCCATATATCTTTTTTTTTTAACCTGGCCAGACTTTGAAAAAGGGTTTTACAGGACAATTCCATAATATCTCAAGAAAATGACACGGGTGATGATATCGGCTCACCCAGACCAGAAAGGCTAAGTCAGACAACCAAACATGTGCGGATGTTAATGACCTGAGAAAGATGCTTTAATCTTTGTTGCAAGAGGGTGGTGGCTCCCCAGATAGAGACAATACAAGATGATGCGTGTCCAAATGGGAGATTAAGCAAAACCAGAAAGAGTGACACCTTCGGAACAAGGCATTATGACACTGCAGCATAGCATTCCCCCAACGCCTCTTTTTAATAATAATCTTAGAACTGCAGAGTTGGAAGGGATGTTATGGATCATCGAGTCCAACCCCTGGCTTATTATATAGTATTTTACTCAAGGAAATACAGTTTCAGCACTGACTTTGGTCTTAAATATATGCCACAGCTCTTCCAAGTGCTTACCAGGAGCCTGAAAAAGTTATTTTGAGACTACAAATCACAGCATCTCGTGGAATTTTAATCCAGAAAGCAATTTTCCCAGGCTCTAGCATGTGGCAGGAGCAGCACAGGTTGGCCATGCAGGCTGTACCTAATCTGTGTCTATCACAACACATCTTCAGCCCCAACGCCTTTCACTGCAGGTGCCCGGGGTTCTGCCAACAAAGCAAGCATTACTAAACTACTGTTTTCTGTTGTTATTAATGTTTGTGTCCTGGCCTGTCCTCTGGCAAGCTCAAGGCACATACATGGCACTCCTTCTCAAAGTTGTGTTCACAACAACCCTATGAGGTAGGAGAGGCGAGGTAGGAGAGGCTGAGAACATGCGAGCGGGCCAAGATCATCCGTTCAGTTTCCTGGCAGAGTGGTGATTGGAGCCCGGGACTTCCAAGCTGCAATCCAATACTCCAACTTCTATACCATACTGTCTGTCTGTGCTCCTACTGAACTGGAAGATCCAGTAACCCAAATCAATATAGAAAACTGTTTATTCCTTTCAATGTTGTAAGGTAGAAGTGGGGAGCTTTTCATCCTCCAGATGTTTTGGGTTAAGCTTCTTAAAATTTGTTAAAATTGGCAATGCTGTTGAGAGTTTCTGGGAGTTGGTCCAAAATAGTTCAGTGGCTGCAGATTTCCCTACAGCTGTTGTAAAATGGGTCCATAGGTACTTTTACCTCCCAGAGTCATTGGGGGAACATGCCGTAACAGCTAGACGGACTTCTGATTGGACTGAATTTGTAACAAAGACTTGTCTTCTGGATCACATGCCTTATTAACAAAAATGACCTCAGGCGGCTAAGAATGTGGACTCAAAGCCTGAAGGCGAGGAGAAGGTTGTCTATTTGAGAGGAATCTGTTCTCACTCCAAGACATAATTAGCCTCTTTAGGGATTAACAACAAGAGAATAAGAGCCAAGCCACACAGAGACAAATATGTCACAACTCCACAGCTTACCTCTTAGATTCTGGAGATAACTGCACCCTAGCAGGATCCAACTGCATCTGGCAAGCAGGAAATAAAAGGAAGTGAACATGGAGGTGTCATATTATTTTTCAATATTTTAAAAAAATCAAGTTTCCATTCACTTTCATGTTCAATACACTTGGCTTCACCATAAACCCTGCTAATATCACTAGTGAGTTTTTACTCATTCCCTATCCTGGCTTTCTGCTGCCGTCACAAATCACAGGATCTCACCCTTCTCCACAAAAAAGAAGGAATCTCTTTCAACAATCCGCCGACAAACTATGTTTGTAGCATTTCTGTCCTATGTTTTGCTGGAAGACGCTGTGCTAACCGCTTACGATAATCAGACTGAGATGAGAATAAAACGGCACTCAAGACGGGAACTATCAAGGCCATATCTTATTACCCACCTTCTTTGCAGAGAAACCAGGAATCCCTCGAATCTCAAAAATACAAGGCTGAGGTCAGATTCTGACCTCTCAGTTTCTCCAGCTCTGATGCTGCCTTCAAACCGCAGCTGATGAAAGGTGGTGGGGGGGAGGAGGTGGAGGCAGTTCCTCCTCCCCCACCAAACGAGCATCACCATCTCTTTTGATTTAATCAGCTTTGTCTGACTTAAGTCTCCAGGACCTGTGGCTGCCTGGAAAGGTGGATTCTTTCATGGTGCCTCTGGAGCTGGGGTGTGTATGCGTCTGGGCGCTCGTTTCTAATGGAGCCCCAGACTTAGGAATGTGTATCTTTGTGTGCCTATGTAAGAATGAGCAAGACGGGAAGTGCGCACAGTCCCAGAAGAGTGTTTGGAAGCACACACGTGTACGATTAGGCTGGCAAGAGATGGAGTATGTGAGAAAAAGGTGTTTACTAACTTGTGTGAATAGACACAAGGACAGGCAGGCATAAGGCGGTACCTTGAAGTGGCTCTCCGCAAGCATCAAAGTCAGCCCAAAACATTTGCTGTCCAAGGCAAGGAAGCAAATAGCACACCCCACACACCCCCCATGCTCAAGTTAAGGTGCACAATACCTAAATTTTCTTCAAAATAAGTGTATCAAAAGTAACCAGTGGGGGCAATACACAGATAGATAGCTGGATGGGTTTGGATATTCTTGTCCTTCTCAAACTCAGCAAAGCGTGCTGCTTATATATCACCCCATTGTCCTTCAAGCACTCTCTGGGCAGTTTACATGTCAATTATGCAGGCTACATATTGCGCCCCCCCCGCAAGCTGGGTACTCATTTTACTGACCTCAGGAGGATGGAAGGCTGAGTAAACCTCAAGCCAGCTACCTGGGATTGAACCCCAGGTCATGAGCACAGTTTTGGCTGCAGTACAGCGGTTTAACCACTGCGCCACGAGGCTTTAGCTGACCCTCCTTACTTTTGTTAATGTTGTTGCTTCATTCTCTTTTCTCCTCCTGCAATGAAGGACAAACCATGGGGCTTTCTCCATGAAGTTCTTCAGTACACTTTCTCCATGAAAGCTTGCAATCTGTACGATATTGCAGGGGGCCAATAAAAGAGGTCACCCAATCTTGCATTTGTGTAATTGGGGATCACATGGCCTTATCCTTGTTCTTTCAGTACACTTACAACTCATATCTACTAAAAACAGTTCAGAATTTTCTCTAGATTGCAATGTTTAAAAATAAAGCAGGTACAGTACACTATGTTGATGAACCAAGCAATGTTTAAAAATAAAGCAGGTACAGTATGTTGATGAACCGGTATCTATATGTCTGCCCATCTTTTGTCCATCCTTCCTTGACTGGCTTTCCATCCAAATGCATCTTCTCGGTTACTCCATTCCATCGTTCACCTTCTGCTTCTCACTCCTTAAACTATTAGTCCACCTCACACTCAGTTGTGTCCCTTCTCTCCCACAAACACCTATGGCAGCTCACTCTCGCCATTTTTTTGCCCACATCAAGAATTGTTTTGCTGATTCAGTCTGAAAGTCCATTTTCTCAGCCGGAGGGGCAAAATGCAGCTCTCCACACATTCTCAGACTGCAACTCCCATTGTTCCTCGTCATTGTCTACACAGGCTAGGGCTGATGGGAGCTGTAGTTTAACAATGTTTGGAGGGCCACACATTGCTCATCTTGTTGCAGGCTCCTCATTCTGCTGCAAAGCTAATTAGTCAGATAACTATTTTCACAACTTATAATGGAAAAAATTACTTTCTTGGACCACAACTAGTAATTTATTCGTCATGTTGGATGGGGGGGGGGATTTTGGGAATTGCAAGTCCAAAAAAATAAAATTTCCTATTCTATCCTAGAAACTCACAAACAATAGTGTTAGGGCTTCTGCTGCAAAGCTAATTAGTCAGATAACATTTCCTGTTCTATCCTAGAAACTCACAAACAATAGCATTAGGGTGATGACTTTTTCATATTAGTGATCTCCAGCTTCTAATATTCAGATGCATATCAGTTCTAAACATGCAGGATACATTTATTTATCATGGCCAATAGATACTTGTCAATTTATCTTCTGTGGAACTGTCTAATCCCTTTCAGAAGACATAGATATGCATTGTGGCCAACCTGCACAAGTGAATTTTGTCTGTTGTATATAAAGTCCTTTTTTGTCAGTACCATTGCCTAATAGTTTTAAAGCCTGATGCATTTCTCCAGTTGGCTTTCTCTAACTGTTTTAGACTACAGCACCAATCACCCCAGCAGTTATGACTCTGCTGGCTGGGGAGGATGGGTTCTGTAGTCGAACATAGAGCATAATATGTTATATATAAATAATATATTCTGTCAATGAACACAGAAAGGAAATAAATTCTTTATCTACTTTGGCAACACTATTCATAATTTTGTAGACATATTGACATGTCATTCACAAACGCATATTCTCTCTGTGTGCAATTGAACTGCACTTACAGACACACATACATATACATACCTCTCCTTATGTCCTTTTTCAATCTATAATCTTACCTCCTTTGGAGATGTTAATCTTGTTGACATGCTAATCGCACTGTTCCACCTGAGCATGGCCTAAGTAATTTTTACTCTCTCTAGGAATGGACAAAATGCATACAACTAAAGCTGTATTGTGCAAAACATCCCATTCAGGCTTTTAAAAAAAAAGGCCAGAAGTTCTTGGACAGTATTATTGCTTCTGATGCTGAAGAACAAATTCCCTTTCAGGAACTGTGGTCAACAGAGCAACCAACTTTCAGCTATATATTTTTTTTCTTTCTTAATAAGGTGTGCGTGTCCACCTTCAGTTCACTGTGACTATGTTAAACACTAGTTGATTTGGTGCTTGGGCGGGACTCACCAAATAGATTCCGATATTGTGACTGGATAATGGGTAACCATGACAGTGCCAGGCCACAAAGGATTAAGAAGGCATACCATTCCATCATGAAGAATTCCAGAACAGGTCAACAATACAAGGGAATCCCCCTTTCTTCTAGGATGCCAACTTTGACATGACTTGGCTAGTCCAGGGGGTGCTATGCTTATAGGACGTCTCCTATAAGGAAGGGATTAGAGGAAAGGGGATCAGATTTTACCTGTGTGCCTAATACCTGTTTTGTGGTTTGATTGCACTTGTTCAAGCTCTCTCAGCTATTGGCTGTTGTGGGTTTTTCAGGCTCTTTGGCCGTCTTCTGAAGATTGTTCTTCCTAACGTTTCGCCAGTCTCTGGGGCCAGCATCTTCAGAGGACAGCACTCTGTGCTCTCTGAAGTACTGTCCCCTGAAGAGGCCGGTCACAGAGACTGTGAAACATTAGGAAGAACAACCTTCAGAACACAGCCTAAGAGCCCGAAAAACCCACAACAACCATTAGATCCCGGCCGTGAAAGCCTTCGCAAATACATCTCTCAGCTATTTTCTTTCTGCTTTTCCTGCTCCTGGTGGTTCATTGTTTAACTTTCTCACTTGAGCCAAATCTCTGGATATCATGGTGAACAAAATGCAGTCCCCCAGATCCTGTTGGACTACAACTCCCATCAGCTTTAGCCACCAGAGTCACACATGAAGAATACCGTAAATTGCAGTCCAAACTGCATCTGGAGGGCTACATTTTAACCACCTCAATGCCAGATCAATGGTTCCCAATGTTGGGTTCTCTGTGGTACTAGATTACAACTCCCTCAATCACCAGCCAATACAGGTGAGGATCAAGGAGTCTGGAAACTGGATTCCCTATGATGGGAACCAGTGCCCTTACACTGATCATTCAATTTCCTCCTACTTTCCTAAAACTAAGGGGACGTGGTGGCGTTGTGGGCTAAACCTCAGAAGCCTGTGCTGCAGGGTCAGAAGACCAAGCAGTCGTAAGATCGAATCCACGTGACGGAGTGAGCACCTGTCGCTTGTCCCAGCTCCCGCCAACCTAGCGGTTCGAAAGCATGCAAATGCAGGTAGATAAATAGGGACCACTTCGGTGGGAAGGTAACAGCGTTCCGTGTCTAAGTCGCACTGGCCATGTGACCACGGAAGATTGTCTTCGGACAAAACGCTGGCTCTATGGCTTGGAAATGGGGATGAGCACCACCCCCTAGAGTTGAACACAACTGGACAAAAATTGTCAAGGGGAACCTTTACCTTTACCTTTCCTAAAACTGCTCCTTTGCAAATCTTTGATATCTCCTGGTAGCTATGGTTCTCTTTTGCTCAGGGCTAGATATATTTTACCCTCCAGATGTTGTTGGATTCCAGTTTTTACCCTCAGTCAGTCTGGCTCAATAGTAAGGGATGATGGAAATAGTAGTTCATCAACAACTGGAGAGCCAAATGTTCCCCACCTCCTGCTTTTGCTTTTCTGCCCTGGAAAATACAATGCTCTTTTGTCAATTACTTTCCCACCTGCCTATCATGGTCTGATGTTTTTAATAATTTTTGGTTTGGGCATTTTAAAAATATTATTTCAAAATATTCCAGGGCTTTACAAAATGACTGGTCAGATCTAGAGGGAAGAGTTGATGTGCAACGAGAACAATGGGGTTTGTACATAAAATGGCATGGGTTCTTCTCATAACAGAATCAATGTGATAAAATGAAGGCAACAAATACAATAGATTCTTCTCCTGTCAGCTTTCTTTACTGTCCAGCTTTCACATCCATATATGGTGACCGACATTGCAAAGTGTGGATGACCTTGGTCTTCAGTGACACATTGTTCCACTTGATGATCTTTTCCTTCATTGCTGTCCTTCCAAGTCTGATTTCTTGGCTGCAGTCTCCATTTGGATTTATGATTGAACCAAGATACAGTACAGTGGTGCCTCGCTTAACAAGCGCACCGCATAACGACGAAATCGCATAGCGATCCGTTTTTTCAGATCGCTAATGTGATCGCTTAACGTTTTTCTAATAGGGGAAAATTCGCTTTGCGAAGACCGGTAAGTGTTTCGCTTACCAATCTTCGCAAAATGAAGCCCGACGATCAGCTGTTCGGCGGCCAAAATGGCCGCCGGAAGCCCGGAAATGGCCCAAAATGGCCACGCGCAGCGTTTTCGCGCCCTCGTTAAGCGAGGCGAGGGCGCGAAAATGGCTGCCGGCCATTAAGAAGCTTCGCTGAACGGTGAGTATTTGGCCCATTTGGAACGCATTAAACCATGTTTAATGCGTTCCAATGGAAATCCCTGCCCCGTTCAACGATGCTTCAGCATAGCGAAGGTTAATTTGGAATGGATTAACCTCGCTATGCGAGGCACCACTGTATATAAAAGCTCTATTTCTAATTCTTGATTTTTTACATTACAGTTGCACACTATATTGTACACGTTAATAAAACATGTTAACTATGTACATTTTTTGGGTTTTCCATTGCATTATTCCACTTCTATCCCACTGTTCTACAGGCATATTGAGTGTAGGACTCTAACAGAATCATCTTTTCAGATTTTAAATAGTTCAACTGGAATGCTATCACCTCCACTGGCCTTGTTGTTAGCGATGCTTTCTAAGGCCACTTGACTTCACTCTCCAGGATGTCTGGCTCAAGGTCAGCAACCACACTATCTGGGTTGTCCGGGACATCCAGAAATCTTCATAGATTAGAACCTCTAAATAAGTAAGACCTGCACTCCAACCATGCCCAGAAACATTTATTTGCTATTATTTCATATACTGTATAACTTCCAGTAGTTCTTGCATACAAAACTATGTTTCACGACTGCTTCTAACAAGCAGCAACAGCCGCCACCCAACACATTAGCCCCTCTTAGAACGCTCTAGAAAATAAATGGAGGAGGAGGAGGAGGGGCAGGCATTACCTAACTAAAAACGGGGCGGGGGGGAGAAGAGGCGCGGCTTTGTATGCAAAAAAGCCTCCCCTGGCTCCAGGCTATGACGCACAACGAAGCGCCGGACGTGATAAAGTGGGGAAAACCCGGGGAGTTGAGTCACGAACGACGAAAGGAAAGAGGTGTGGTTAAGTATGCAGATACGGGGGCGGGGCTTAAGGGAGGCTGCGCTGAGAACGCGGTGGAACGTTCCGGTGCAAGGCAGCAGCGGGCGGAGGTGGGTCGTGTGAAGGGGTCGGTTTTGGAACCTGGGTTTTTTTTTTTTTTTGGTGCGGAGGTTGAGCCCTGGTCCCTTTGTTTCCGAGATAGGACTAATCGCCGAGGCTAGCGGGGAGTGGTAGGACGTCTTATAGCTCAGCGGCAAGGAAAGTATTATCAAAAAGAAGACGAAAAGGGGTTTTCTGGGTATGTGCAGAGTGCATTTTGCCTTTCGACCTGTATCTTTGGCAGTTAAGGACCAGTGTTTCCTGATGGCTACATTCAGATTTTCGACAAAGGGAGCTGTATTGCTTCTGCTTGTTGTTTATGTTGTCTTGCTAGGACTGTAAAGATACGTCTTGATTTGGGAAAAGACAGGTGCGGGGGTTTAACTTTTTTGATTTTTCTCGGTCATATCCCGTGACGGGAAGACCACAATCCCCCCCCCCAAATCTTCAGACGTCTGAAGATCTGGAAAAATGAAAGCCGATCTGAATGCATGTAAAACGTTCTGTTTTTAAAAAATATTATTCCCAAGTATATTACTGTATGCTAGCACTGACAAAATTGATTTGGTTGGCCCCAGTCTGCAACTTTGATCTTTGTATTTGCCACGTTGAGGAAGTTTGCCATTTCCTGGACTTCTGGCTTTGCTTTAGGGTGAGGAGAGGGGAGGGGGTTTCAAGTCAATGCTCTCCTTGCTATGTTTGCCCTTGTGACATAAGGGCATTTTTTTTTTTTGCTTCCTTCCTCTATCCCATGGATGAGGAATGTGTGCCTTCCCAGAGGTTGTTAGACTACAGCCCTAGCCAGTTTAGTTAATTGTGAAGGATGCTGGGAATTGTAGTCTCAACTGTCCTTGGAGAGCCATATATTCCCCATCTCTGTCCTGTCCTAGGATAGTGGTCCCTGACTTTCACATGGTATCCTTGCTCCACAGAGTGTTACTGAAGCTTTCCCCATCTTTGGCTGTGTCTTTTTCTCAGCTTGAGTTGGCTCAAAATTAGGTCAGCTCTAAGCAGAAACTGTGGTTTTTACTTTCTCATCCTTTCTCTTCTTTGTGTTCTCTTCATAAGCAACAGACGCAAAAGGCCATGCATTTCAGGTGGCTCATGAGCAGCATCATTTTAGGGCTGGCAACTTGTGTGCCCATTGACCGACCCAAGGAGAAACAACAAGCAGAAACTCCTCCCGAAGCACCGGTATGTATTGCTTTTCTCTGCCCTTTGTCCTCTGCGTGGCCCCTTTAAAATTGTCCTTTGGTCAGCTCTCTGGGAAGCAGGCTTGGATGGAGTTCAAGATTCCTGGGCCCGGATTGGAGACACTTCTAAAATGCAGTGCTATCCATGTTTATACAAGCGTAAGTCCCTTGTAGTCAATGGTGCTTATTCCCAGGGTGTTTATAGGAAGACAGGCTTGATAAATGATTATTCATTAATCTTTCTGGATTTTTAAGGGCCAAAGTAACAGTATGAGTACTTAATCCATTCATTGGTTAAATATAACATTCAGAATGCCTCCACCTATCTTTAATTGAATTCAGTTATGCCATTTATCAGGTTCCTTAGATAACCTTTGTTAAGATACTAGTTAGATCCCAATCATCTGAGGCTTCAGCAAAGTCCCCAGATTCTGTTTTTGATTCCCAGGATCCTCAAACTGGGAACGTTGAGAAACGCAGCCATGATAGATCTGACCAGTCACGGGATACTCTGCAAAACGAACTGGTGAAAACAAAAGTAGCTTTTCTAAGAGAACCTTCTAAAATTTTATCTCCACTGCATTTAGCTCTGCTGCTTCTGCTGAGAACAGCAGAAATCTGAAGTGTGTAGCAATCATGTTTATCTATTTCTCATCCCCAAATCAGACAAGAGTATCATAGTTTATTCCCAAAATTTGAATCCCAGTCTTTCTGCTCCTGGTCCTACTTTGACTGCAGCACCAAAAGACTGGATTTCTTTATTGAGTCAATCCATCTCATGTGCAGACTTCCTCTTTTCCTACTGCATTGCACTTTTTCCTGCATTGCTGCCTTTTCCAGTAAGCTTGTCTTCTCATGATGCCACTGTAGTACAATAACCTTTGCTTGGTTATGTTAGCTTCTAGTGAGAGTCCACACTTAATTTGCTTTACTTATTTTTCTGACAAGTCATGCTATTTGTAAATCTCTTTTCCAACACTACATTTCAAATAAGTGAAATGTGTGTATACACTCTATGTGGCGTATAAAATGTAGGTACAGTATACACTTTAAAAATTTGCACTCCTGTATATAGCTGCTTTTCTGAGAGTAATTTACTTTGGAGGAATCAATAAAGAACCAGACAGACAAAATATGTAAATGACATGAGTTGTTTTTTTCTAAACTAAAACCTCAGTATTCAGGTTTAATTGCAGTTTTGGCACTTTGAAATAATTTGGTTTTGTGTTGCCATTTGGGCACTGGAACTCAAAAAGGTTCGCCATCACTGGTCTATATGATGCTTCTGATTTTTAAAACTCCAGGCAACATGTTAGGATCTACCATGGTTTGAAGGAAGTTGTTTCCAACACATGAGGATGAGACAAGTGAGGATGTCCATTCTTAAGTCTGAGAACATTTCACAGCCGAAATAATGGCTGATTATTGAACTTTGGACCATGCAGGATGGCATCCATCTGACCTGATTCTTTGCTTTTGTGCAGGATACAGGCTTATATTATCACCGCTACCTCCAAGAAGTGATCAGTGTGTTGGAAACGGACGGACACTTCCGGGAAAAGCTCCAAGCAGCTAATGCTGAAGATATCAAGGTGAATTGAAAATGAGTGCCAGGCAGCCTGAAGTTCTGTGTGCTAGGAAATGCAGATTCTCCCTGTCTACATCCTGGGAGGTTTTGGTATTAGTAGAAAGTAAAAGATGGGTTTCTCTGGATTCTTGTGACAAATGCACTTAACTCTGAATATGCTGCTTTCTTACTCCTGTGGGGATGTTGTCTCTATTTATCACATAGGTGGGGAACCTTTGGCCTTCTGTACAGTTAGACTACAATTCATCGAATCCCTTACCATTGCTCATGCTGGTCTCTGGAGATAAAACAGGCACTAAGAAGGCCAAAGATTCTCCATCCCTAATTTATCTGCAACAGCATGACTTTAAAGTGGAGCAGGGAGGGTTTGGGATTAGTAGAAAGTAAAAGATGGGTCTCTCTGGATTCTTGTGACAAATGCACTTAACTCTGAATATGCTGCTTTCTTACTCCTGTGGGGATGTCTCTACTTATCACATAGGTAGGGAACCTTTGGCCTTCTGTACAATTAGACTACAATTCAATGAATCCCTTACCATTGCTCATGCTGGTCTCTGGAGATAAAACAGGCACTAAGAAGGCCAAAGATTCTCCATCCCTAATTTATCTGCAACAGCATGACTTTAAAGTGGAGCATCAGTGTTAACCTGCTATAGAGCAGAATTGGGAAAAGTTATTTTTTTTTGCACTGTAACTCACACTGGTCATCATGGCTCAAAGATATTGGGAGTTGTAGTCCAAAAACCTAACTTTTTCAAACTGTGTTATAAGTCACAAATACAGTAGGCCCAGACTTGCCAGATTCCCAGCGATTCAATGAGCCTACTCTTGAGCGATAAAAAAATATTCCTCTCCCATTAGTGCCACAGCACTACTCTGGGCAGTTCACAATAAAATACACAGTCAAATAATTAATATAATAAAACCATAAATGCTCTAACCACATGAAAACAGAAGGTGCAGGAGCATTAGTAGAACTACATAAAACAGAAAATGATAAAAATCCAGATAATGAATGACTGGCTGAAGATGAAAGATTACCTCAGCCCAACTAGGGTCAGAGTGAAGGCCTTCCTGAAGAGCCATGTCTTCAATTGCCTCTTAAATGTTGCCAGGAAGGGGAGCAGGCGAAGCTTCTCCGGTCAAACTGTGTTATAAGTCACAAATACAGTCTTCAGTTGCCTCTTAAATGTTGCCAGGGAGGGGAGCAGGCGAAGCTCCTCCAGGAGCTGATTCCACAAAGATGGAACCACCACAGAGGAGGCCCTATCTCTTGTAGAAAGTTTATGGACTTTCCTTGGGGTGGCTACCCAGAGCAGCCTTGTCTGTGATGACCTGGTAAGTTGGGCAGTTGACATTGAGTTGGGCAAGACAGGTAATGTGGCCCCAAACCATGGAGGGCTTTATACACGAGAGTAAAAACCTTGATCTGGGACTCCATGGGTAGTCAGTGGAGGTAAGCCAGAACTGGGACAATGAGATTGTGTCAGTTTGCACCAACCAACAGCCTGGCCGCTACATTCTGGACCCATTGAAGTCTCTGGACCAGCCTCAAGGGAAGCCTCACGTAGACAGCGTTGCAGTAGCAGATCTAGAGTAAGTCTGTTGAATTTATGGAAGAGTTGACTCGTCAGATCCCCAGTAGTTAATGAACCCACTCTAGTGTAATTTACCGTGCTAAGCTACAGGATTTTGGCCAGTATCTCTCTTATTTAGCCTACCTTACAGGAATGGTATGAAGATGGAAGAGTGAAAGGGGTTTGAGGGGGACCTGTATGCTGTTCTGTGTTCCCTGGAGAAGAAGCAGGATAAAGAAAAATAATAAATTCCTCTTTTTTCCCTTCTCCACCTCTTCCAGAGTGGAAAACTCAGCAAAGAGTTAGACTTCGTCAGCCACCATGTCCGCACCAAACTTGATGAGCTCAAGCGTCAGGAGGTATCCCGGCTCCGGATGCTTCTGAAGGCCAAAATGGATGCCACCATGGAACAAGGTGCTCTTGGGCTGGAATAAATGCAGGGCGGGGTCTCTCAGGTCCCGGGAGGGGAAGGCAGCTTGGACTGCTGTAAGCCAGAAATCCTGAGTTCTCTTAGGAAGGGGGTGGGCAACTCGTGGGCCCCCCAGATGTTGTTGTACTGCAGCTCTGAACAGCACAAGTCAGCATAGCTAATAGTGAAGAGTGCTGAAAGTTGCAGACAAGCAGCATCTGGAGAGACACCGTTTGCCTGCTCCTGTGTCACTGGAACTATGGCCGACGAGTGGTGTTATGAATTGAGATGGATTCTACCCTAATAGGCTGGAGACTGGTTTAGTTGTAACTTTGACGGATAACCTCAGAATCCCTTTTTTTTAAAAAAATATTGTGAGGTGACAACTGTGTCTTGGCTCCATTATTGGGTCTTAATACATTCCGTTACCACGTTTTCAGTTTCCTTCACTGAATTCAAAGCAGCATTCACAGCTTCCCCCCACCTCTTTGTTCATAAAACAACCCTATGAGGTAGTTCAGGCTAGGATGGAGAATGACTGAGTCAAATATTAGGCCCTGAATCTTGTGGCACAGTGGAGAACTTGTCCTGGGGTTGCTCAAGTTCAAACCCAGTTCTGTTAACCACTGTACTGGCTCTCCCTAAGAACTGCCTTGCCGAATGAGTCTAAAGGTCAGTCTGGTCTGGCATTTTATTTCTTAAGACGAGCTGAGGTATTGGTTATGCTGGTGAGGGCTGATGGATACCCTTCCTGTGACTGGCTTAAGTTTCAGCTGGATGAAATCCTTAACCTTTCTCTTGACAACCGTTTTTTTCTCCTCAGATGTACAGATTGATCACCTGGCCCTGCTGAAGCAGTTTGAGCATCTGGATCCCCAGAACCAGCACACGTTCGAAGCCCGAGACTTGGAGTTGCTCATTCAAGCCGTATGTCTTAACTATCCCCCTTTTGCCCCCATTCCCCACTTCACAAATTGGAGATCCCTGAGGCTGTTTTGTTTTGTCTGCTCCTGGTGGATTTGTGGGTTTGGTCACACTTTACATGATCTCATTGGGCAGCCTTCCCCAATTCGCTTGAGAGTCCGACATATTTGAAGGACACCAAATGGTGTCCTTCAAATATGGGAATGACCATCAGTAGCTAGAGCCAGATCTGACTTCTGCTTTCCAGTGTGGGCCTTCACCTATCCATGCTTACGAACAGCACATTTGTGTAGAACCTCAAATATATAGCCTTATTTAGTGCTTATTCAATCATGTTCAATGAACTTGGAAGAGGGAGCATGCTTCCCATCCATCTATCTCCAGCACCTCTTTATGCACAGATGGCAACTTTCTTTATTAGAGAGTTCATGTTTATCTCTTGAATCTTTCCATGCTATTTGGATTCCTGATTTTCAGGATTCCAGCTCATTTAAAGAGAATCCAGGGGAATACAGGAGGATTTAGATCTGCAGCCCTCTACATGTAGAAGCATATGGAACCAGACATGGAAGGGGGCAGGATTATGGCTCTCCCCTCATATAGTTATCCAACACACTTTAGTAGCAGCTGAACACGACTTGTCTGCAAGAGCAGACCTTGAGTAAAGTGCTTTCATGGGAGCACATCTCCCAGAATCCCTCACTGACTGTGGAATTCTGGGAATTTCAGTTCCAACTCTTTCAAGCTCTTGTTTTTTTAATACAGCTCAGGCATTCAAATTCTTACTTTCTTCTAGCTATTCCCTGTACATTCACAACACACATGAGGTCACATTTTGGCACAGGGATGATGTTGCTCTTTTGCATCCCATAAAGAAATCTGTTTTTTTTTCCAGAAAAAGGGAGCTGCAGAGAGTAGAGGGCCTTCCTTGGTGGACTGTGTGTGACCTGTAGGCCTCACACACAGTCCTGCTCCTCATCTTTCTTGTCAACTCACAGGCAACCAAGGACTTAGAGAACTATGACGCTGCTCACCACGAGGAGTTCAAGCGCTACGAGATGATGAAGGAGCACGAACGGCGGGAGTACCTGAAATCTCTGGATGAGGAGAAGCGGCGTCAGGAGGAAGCACATTTTGAGGAGCTGAAGAAGAAGCACAAGGAGCACCCCAAGGTCAACGTCCCAGTAAGTGACACCCCCCCATGGGTTGTTGGGGAAAGGGGCAAGATGGAAGATTTTGGGCCCATTTGTTCTGCTCACCTAATACGGAATCTCCAACCGTGGTAGGGCAGCCGGGATCAACTTAAGGAGGTGTGGCAGGAGACCGATGGTCTGGACCCCAACGAGTTCAACCCCAAGACCTTCTTCAAGTTACATGGTAAAGAATAAGCGATTTGTTGGCCTAGGGAGTATGCCCTCTTGCTTCGGGTTCATAATAATGAGTGCCATTATAATGAGTTGATGATGGGGTGGCATGTTTTAGGGATTTAGTGAAAACCTATTCAATAAAGTTTTCACCGTGGCTTTCCCACAGCCATTCCAGAAGTGTTTTTATTAATAAATGCTAGTTAGGGTTATTCTACAGGGACGTGGTGGCACTGTGGGTTAAACCGCAGAAGCCTCTGTGCTGCAAGGTCAGAAGACCAGCAGTTGTAAGATCAAATCCACATGATGGAGTGAGTTCCTCTCGCTTGTCCCAGCTCCTGCCAACCTAGCATTTCGAAAGCATGCAAATGCAAGTAGATAAATAAGTATCACCATGGTGGGACAGTAATGGCGTTCCATGTCCAGTAGCACTGGCCACGTGACCACGGAAACTGTCTACGGACAAATGCTGGCTCAACGGCTTGGAGACAGGGATGAGCACCGTACCTAGAGTCAGACATGACTGGACTAAATGTCAAGGGGAACCTTTACCTAGGGTTATTCTGGGAATTGAAGTCCAAGGGAGGGAGGAACTCTTTCTTATTTGCTGAAGATCATGTCCTATGTATGAGTTTCGCAGAGGCATCTGGTTGGCCCATGGGGCTTTTGATCTGATCATCTTGCTCCTCTGACATCCGTAAGTATAATATTTATAGTAGTTGCTGTTACCATCTTTCTTCTCTTTCAGACACCAACAGTGATGGGGTTCTAGATGAACAGGAGTTGGAGGCTCTCTTCACAAAGGAGGTAAGTTCTTCTACTGTTTGGACTGTGCCATTTCAAGCTACAGATTTGTGGGTGTCTGAGGCTTACCAGGTTTAAACCTCTGCCCGCAAAACAGTACTGTAGTGTGTAAGGAGGACAGCTTGGCTGGAACTCTTCACCTTGACATGCTGTTTTTCTGTCTGCACATAGGCTTTTCTTGTAGAAGGGAGCATTCAGTACGTAAGCTGTCATCTGGAGCAGTATGTCCTTCATATAGAAGGTTGTAGAAAGGTTGAAAATATCTGTATTTGATCCTGGTTAATTTCATTTCATTTCTGTTATGAAGGAGATGAAGACCAATAAGATCTGGATCAGACTACCAAACAGGTTAACAAGGCAGTCATTTGGGGTCTGTGACTTTTGTAAAAGGGCCCTGCTCTGGTAACAGTACTAAAGAGAAGAATATTGAAATATGAGATATGGATGTGCTTTGATTTACAAAAGAACACCATCAAACTGAGTTTTAGAGCTTGGCAAAGATGCCCAGCGTTTAGTTGTGCCTTCAAATACCACCCAGATAGAATTTCCAATAAAGTCTTCATTGCAAAATAGAATTCAACTTTGTTGTATATATACCCAAGAAGTTACATTTACAGTCTGGGAAGTATATTTTGACTATTACATCAGAGAATGCTTTCCTTTTAGTTTTCTAGGTAAACCCGTACATAGGCATCTCGGAGGGTATGAGCAAGCTATAGAAAAGAAGCATTATTTATTTAATTAATTTATATCCCGCCCATCTAGACCAAAATCTACTCTAATTCTCTCTAATGTACTGGTTCTCCAGTTTTCCTAAGTATTTCTTAGTCACAGTCCTCTCATGAATGCTTCTATCCTACTGGTCATGCTTGCTGAGAGACTTTGGAAGTTACAGATAACTTGACTAACTGATGGCTGAGAGCAAAGTAACTACCAGTAAAAGAGTACAGTAATTAGTTTTCAGTATCATACTTAAATAGTTACATTTTGAATGTTGAGAATATAATTAAGGTTACATTTCAAAAGCAGTGTAAAGAACAATTGCAAAGTTACATTTCAGGTGTAATGAGTAACACTTCGTAGTTACTTTCGAACATTACTTTTGAAGGGCATTTTGATAAAATTTTAGAAGCATCTTGCCTTGAGTTTTCCAAGTTTTGTGCTGTCTTGCTATCAGTTCTATGTAGCCAGGGAAACACTTTTTTGTATTTGTGCAAGTATTTCAAGGTAAAATAGCAGGACTGGCTTCCACTATTTTTCTGGCATGTTGCTAAGGATGATACAGCATTTTAATAATGCACAGTGCAAGGAGTTTATTTTTCTGATGGAGGCAAGGATTATGGTAACACCCACCATCCTCTTTAAAAGGAATTACTAACACAAGTTCCTTTTTAAAAAATATTGTTCCAAGCACTGGCTAAAAGTCAGGACCTTCTAACGTCTGTGAGGAAGTTACTGTGATTACCTAAGGACCATAGTTTCTTGGGTTTTGATTCTATCCTCGTCCTTACCTTGCAGCTGGAAAAGGTCTACGACCCCCGCAACGAGGAGGATGATATGGTAGAAATGGAAGAAGAGCGTCTGCGCATGCGGGAGCATGTCATGCAAAATGTGAGTGAGCTGTTATTTAATTAATTTATATAATGTTGATGATGTTGTCAAAAATGTTGATGCTGCACCCTGTGGTTAGACCAGGCATAGGAAGAGGTAAATGAATCAATCTTTGTGTGTATCTCTAGCCCTATTCGGGCATTACATAGCCCAATGAAGAGAACATGCTTAGAGGAGACTGCCTGTTCCTGCTCCCTTCTGTGGTCATGTTCTTCACTATTGCAACTTATATGTCTAAAGAGGAGAAGGATCCTGCTTGCATACCCAGATTTTCCAGGGTTATTGCTGGTGTGGAGCCTACATATGAGCAAGAACCTCTCCTTTTCAGACCTTGCTCTAAAACTTCGCAGAATGCAGCGACAGAAGGGCAAGGTTAGGAATTCCACAAAGTGTGTTCTGTGGCCAGGTTGTGTAATGCTTGAATAGGGCTTGTGTGTGTTTGGGTGGTGAGTGATTCCAAATAGTTGATACTGCATAGCAGCTAAAAATGTGAGGCTCTCAGTTCAGATCTTCCAGCTCTCCCTAAACTTGGCTGAACTTAATGCCTCTCTTGGCAAAAAAAAAAAAGTTATTACTATTATTAGTGTGACCATTACTATTAAAAGCCATTGTTCACTCTAGCCGCCTAGAGTGGTCCTGAAGGACTAGATAGGCGGGATATAAATAAATAAATAAAAATATATTTTTTTAATTTCGGTGTTCATGCTGATTCTTCTTGCTGGGAAATCCTTGTGAGGTCCAGCAGCTGAAATGTGTAGACTGTTTAGCTGTGACAAGTCACGTGGCTGGGGGTGCATCACAAGGAGGCTAGTTTACATTGCAATCTTCACTACATTGTCGTTCTTGATTACTATTCTATCACTGCTATTGCTGAGATGATTTGGAATGTCTGAGGAAGCTGAGGAAGGGAAAAAAGCTCAGCAAAAGACCCTCAAAACTAGTGAGTGAGGACTGAAGGGTAATCTGAGAGGCTCAAAGGAAATTGAATCAAGGTAACATCGTTGGTCAACGATCTGAAGCAAGGAAACCTTGGGGACTAGAGGAGTTTGTAGCTACAGCAGAGGAGGATCTGGAAATATTGCCAGCCATGCTGTCTGGGGGATTGTGAGAAATGTCGTCCAAAGAAATTGTTTTTCTGAAATCTAGAACAGAACATGGAAGAGAAGGCCAAGCTCCACCCGTCTTCTCTAAAAAATCCCTGTTCTCTTGACTGGCTGTGGTTGAAAATGTCAGACCTACGTTTGCAGTGGTTGTTTTTTCTTTGCCCAGAGGTTGCTGAAAATTTGGGGCAGAGGTGTGTTGCAGAGGTTCTGGGAAACTGGCTGGGTGCCCTTCTTTGCTTATCTTGCCTCTTCTGCTCCACCCCAACAGCATATGGTTTCTGAGGTTTCACAATGCACCGTTCATGTGATTTCGGGAACTTTCATCCTTACCTTGGGAACTTCCAAACTAATCTAGTAGAATGTATTTTGCATAGGGCTCAGTGTTGTTGTCTCCTCTCACTCCTCCCCACCTTTCAAAAAGAAATTGTCTAGTACTGGGTTGGCTTCTTTGTCATTTCATGAAGCATTCCGTGGTGTTGCATATTAGCGTCTGACTGTAGTATCTGCTGTGAGTGTACCAAGATGGCATGTAAATACCCAAAATCAGAAGTGGGCAACCATCAATCTCCATATGTTTTGGGGTTGCGGCTCCCTTAATCCTTATTTAGTGTGTGGATAACAATCAGGCATCAGAAGTGGGCAACCATCAATCTCCATATCTTTTGGGGTTGCAGCTCCCTTAATCCTTATCATTTAGTGTGTGGATAACAATCAGGCAAGGGGTGCAGTCGCTATCCCACCCCTCATTTTCAGTATATGCTGCTGTTTTAACAGCTATAAAAGCTAGAAACGTTCTGAGCTCTTTTTGTAAAGAGGTATAAGCAGAGGTTCTGAGCACACTGGATTTGGCCTCCAAACCAAAGACAGGAGCTCCCCCATTCCCCCACCCCACCCCACTCCAGACATCTCAAAATGAAAGGCAGGAAGACTTATCAGAAAATAGAGAGAGGCTGAAAATTAAATGGGGGCATTTGGCCAGAAAGGGGAAATTGTGCACTTCCTCTAAAATCTATTGTCTTCTTGCAGGTTGACCTTAATAAGGACCGGCTGGTGACTCTGGATGAGTTTCTCAAATCCACTCAAAAGAAAGAATTCAATGAAGTTGATGGATGGAAGGTATGTGAGAGAAGACAAGGTTTCTAATGTCTGTTTCAAAGGCTGAGAAAGCACCTTGCTTGTGGCAGATGCTAAACTATTTTAATGCATGCTTCTCCTCTGTGCAAGGACTCGTAAGCCACAAGAGCCTCAGAATCTCTTTCAGAGTTTGAAAAACTGTGTTTTTTGGACTTTTCCAGAATCCCAGAGTAATCATTCACTGTGCTGGCTAGGGCATAGTAAAAGTTTATTCTCAAAAAAATTAATTTCCAAGATAAGAATTCTTTTAAAGACCATGCAGAGATCTGCAGTGGGGTTCATATAAGTACATTGTGCTTTTTCTCTCCCTATCAGAATGTCTGTACACTGAACAAGGTCACGTCATGCAGTTATACAGTAGCTCCTAGATTTCCCAATCTTGTCTCTGACAAGCCAGCTTCTCTCTTACTTCTCCCCCATCCAGACTGTGGATGAAACACAGATCTACTCTGAGGCCGAGCTTCAGCGCTTTGAGGCGGAGTTGGCAGCTCAGGAGGCGGAGCTAGACCGACAAGCAGAGCATCTGCGCCAGCAGCACCAAGAACTTCAACAGCGACAGGTGGAACTTGATGCCCAGAAGAAGGAATATCAGCAGGTATGGAGCACCAGACCAGTATTTCCTTGGGTTGCTCCCTATTGGAGGCAAATAAGCCCAGATGTCTGGGTCTTCTGTGACGAGAGTGAAGAGTGTCACTTTGTGGTGGTGAAAGTCATAAAGGTGTTCCCTAGTGATTTATTGGAGGCTGCTTTCCCGTGGATCATACTACCTAAATGTGGACCGGCCCTACTGTTGCACAGTGTGGAACAGTTGCCCAAAGCTACACAGGATGGCTCTTGTCACAGGAAGAGCACAGTGGGGAATCAAACTCCATCACCAGATATCTAAGCCACTAAGCTATCCCACCAGCTTATCGGAGGAAAAGAAGGTTATAAATCTAACTGGAGGAAAGATAACTATTGGTCCTTTCACCTTAGGCAACAAGGTCTCTTGGGCTTGACTGGCCTAATATAATATACTACGTCTCCATCACGGTCCCTCATTTGGGTTCTTATTTGGATTATTTGGGTTGGGAATTCATTAGCAACAGCCAGAAGATTCTGAAGGGAAGAAATGGAGTTCACAGTATCTGATGTCAAATTCAAATAGAGCTTGAAAGAGTTGCTTTTTTTGGATTATATGTCCCACAATCCCCCAGCCAGCATGACTGACTGGAGGTTTCGGGTTAAGCTCTAGCCAAATTGCTGCAGCTTCAGTAGGAATGAATGGTGGGAAAGGGGAGAACTAGCAGTGATTGTCTGTATGTGAGCGTAACCTTCTCATCTTCCTACCCATACCAGGTGGTATTCCAGATGGAACAGAGAAAAGCTCAACAGCAGTCTGAGCAGGCGCCCCCAGCTGGACCTGGAGGAGAACTGAAATTTCAAGCCCAGCCACCTCACGCTGCCCCAGCAGGTAAGAGCTGGAACAGATGGTAATTGAAGATAGTCTTTGAAAAGGAGATAGGTGACAAGTCTGGATCCTAGGCTTTAAAGAAAGGGGTGAACTGTATTCTGCCACTCCTAAGACTTCTTCCATTTTCATTGCCTCTTAAAGTGCCCTTTTAAAACAGTGGTTTTTAGCCATTGGTCCTCCAGCTGTTTTGGACTTCTGTTCTAAGAAGCTTCCAGTCGGATAGGAAAGAATTCTGGATCTTATATCTGGAAGCCCAGGGGGTACTTTAAACATCCTGTTGTGGTTTGTTAGAGAGGCAAAGAAGCAGATTAGTCTATTCAAGGAAAATTGAAGTGAAGTCTCTCTCCTGATTTTTTTTGTTTTTTGTTTTTGTATTGAACTCAATTCTCAGAATCCTCACATAGTACAAGAAAGGGGGAGTGGCACTGCTTAGGTATGGGAATAGAAAAATCCATTCCTTGGACTACATTGGGGGAAGGGGAGAATTCAGAGTTTTAGTCCAAATATTTGGTTTTAGGCACCCAACCTCAGCACCCAACCTCGGCTCCCCAGATGTTCCTGGACTAAAACTCCCAGAAGCCTTCACCACTAGCTGTGCTGGGCAAGGATTTCTGGGAGTTGCAGTCCAAGAACATCTGTGGACTCAAGTTTGTGAACCACTGGGTCTAGAACATCCCCAGTATATGGCTGTTGATCCTCTTCTTGGCAGCTTCCATAAGAAGGAGCCCATTGTATTTAGAGGGAATTAGCTCCATTTCTGACATTGGTGTGTGAGCGTGTGGGCAAGAAGAGGCCAAGAGAAAAATGGGGGCACAGTGTGTGGGTCCTTACGGAAGCAAAGTTAAATTTGCAATGAATGCAGCAGAATCTCGACACGTCCGGTTGTCTTTTCTTTCCAGACCAGGCCGCTCCACCTGATTCCCAACCAGGAGTGCCAGAGCATCCTTCCCAGCAAAACCAGCCAGAAGCTGTTCAGAACCAGCCACATCCAGAAGTAGAGATCCAGTAGAGCACAGCTTGGAAATTGTGTGTATGTTTGAGTGACTTATATATTTTCCTTTTATCCTGGGGCGGGACACTACACAGAATTTGGGCTTCACGTGCCCTGCGGCCCCTTAACAGCTCACCATCACACTGTAAAAATTCAGCAGTAAATCACACAGCAGAAATTCAGCAACAATTTGGAAGATGCTTTTCAAATCAAGGACACCATGCTTGTTTTAAAGGGCTTTTTCCTTGCCTGCTGTCAGATTTCAACACTACAGCAGCAATGCAGAATGTGTGTCGCATGCAGCAGCGTCTGGGGTAGAAAATTGGCCCCAAGATCCACTGACACTTTGCACCCCTGCTGCATTCAGAGCAACCACTTTCCCTAGGACAGTGGTTGGGGGAAACGGGAAAGAAATTCCATCTGTTATAAAGGTCAGTGGGAGGAGACTTAATATAGATGCCAGCCAGTCTATGCTTTTTTCCCCTCGTCCATTCATTTCCAGACAAGCAGAGAAGGGTATTTAAAATATTTCCTACTCCTTTGTATGAATCAGGACTCTGTGTTTCTCTCCAACCAGAACAGGCTTCTGAAGGAGCCCTTAAGTCAGAGGGCTCTGATGAGGAAGGTGATGGGTGGTGGTGGTGGTTGCTTTTTAGAAGGATGAGGAAGGGAAAAATGGGAAGAAAGATTTGTTGTCGTATAACTGTCCAGCCATTTTGCCAAAGTTTTGTTGATACTTATGGGTACATTAACAGACAGGGCACATGATGTCTCTTAAATGTAGTATACTATTGTACTTTTCTTTTCTCCCTTTTCTAATTGCAGTGTTACACCTTTTTTAGACAGAACAAATGTTGAGAACATTACTGTGGTGGAATAATTTGGATCCTTCTATTTAATAAAGCTGTTGAACCCTCCCTTTTGGTGTTCATTATTATTTCCTATTCATTCCTCGTCCTTCCTGATAGGATTATCTTACAGCGCATATTCGCTTAGAAGTGAGCCCTTGTGTTCGTCATGGTTTGCTCACTAAAATAAGTCAGATTAAGCTATCGTGGCCTTTCTTTCTTTTTTTCTTTTCTTTTCTCTTTTCTTTTCTTCTTTTCTCTTCTCTTTTCTCTTCTCTTCTCTTCTCTTTTCTTTTCTTTTCTTTTTACAATATCATAGTTGCTTTTCTGATCCAGTGTAGATGTAAAGCCTCTGGAATGATGACCAATTTTCTCCTTTGTTGGTTCTGCAGTAAGCCACACTCCTCATTTACTACCACTACCCAAACACACACATGCTTGGAGACATATGCAGACACACAGACATTATTATCCTATCTATCTTTTTTGTAACCTGTTGTGGGTGTGGTTTTGAAAGACATGAGGTGTCACCTGTTACAAAAAGACTCAAAGCCACAAAGAAGCATTACCTAATCAAAACAATGTAGCAGCAGAAAAAGACTTGTTAACATCAGAGATATGTCAAAAACTTAACAGTAGGATCCCCAAATCTGCTAGGGATTTGTTCCAAGCCCCCCGTGGGTACTGAAAACCGTGGATAATAGCAATCTCCCCCTCTCTGCCCCCCACTCTCTCTGTGTGTAGTATGGTGTCCATATTACTTTACCCAGGCTTCATGCTCCGGAGAGGACACTCCTCGATTCAGAGCATGTTACCATAGTCTCTCGAGACTGAAGGATGCCTCTGTGTGTGTGTGTGTGTGTGTATAGATAGATAGATATAGTATGGTAAAAGGAAAATAGGAAAAAACATGCATTACAGAGAATATGCTATGTTTTCTTCACTAACAAGTATTCATAGCACAGCCTCTGGTTGCCTTTACTGACTTGTTCTGGTAATATATCTGAACATATTTTTTTCTTTTACTACTTTTAATATTTTCAGACCGTGGAAAATTGAATCAGTGGATACCGATCCTGTGGATAAGGGGGTCCTGTATTCAAAAAAGCTTCAAACCAGCCCACAAGACTTGTTTAGTGGGGCAGGACAAGTTTTTTGGCATTTGAAAAAATACATAGTGGGAGTTCCTTCCCAGGCTGGTAGCAAAGGTGCCTCACTTCGAGGCTGCATTGCAAGGGGGAGGCAGGGCTGAAGAGGCCGGCTGGGGCCTGAGTGACGCTGTGAGACCTTTTAGAGGGCAAGGAACACCCATTTGCAGGGAAACCCCAGCGGGGTTCTGGTTTGAGTCAGCAAAATGCCATGGGGCTGCCTCTCTAGGGGGCAGCCCTAGGCTCTTGAAAGAACATCTGTTTGTTTAAAACCACATGCTGCCAGTGCACGAGGCTTTCTTCCCTGAAGGCTGAGGTAATCAGCACACAGCTGTGCGCTCACGTGTCCAGATTCTTGTTTCAATAGGTGTCGTTTGCCTTCCTGTTTCCACCTTCCTAAGTTAGAAAATAAACAATGTGGGCGTAATAGAGACACAACCTGTTCCTTCTGTTAAGTTTCACCGCCTCCAGTGGACTCCACCCACGTGGTTTTCTGGGATCTTTCGTAGTACCATAGTTGCATGTGCCTGTTTGGGATATGGCCCTCTTCCCAATTTAACAATGTAGGAGAAGAGAGAGCTTTCCGATTTAATGGTGTGATATTTCAGAAATAATGCCAGGAGCAAGAACACCATCGCCGTGTATGGAACAAACTGACCTTTAATGTAAAAGCATTTTTCAGCCTTTTCAGAGGCATTTTGAGCAGAATTTGTCAAGCTGTATTCTGTTGTGATTTTTTTAAATGTAGAACATAATAACTACACTTGCCTATAGCACTTAAAGTAATTAATAGTGTGTAGGCTCCCTGAGTGAGTTAGGTGTCTGGTTGTGGAGCCAAGGTTGGGAGTTCGATTTCTACCTGAAAAACCCTCGAAAGGGTTGCCATAAGTCAGAATTGACTTGGCAGCACATGATTTATTAATATGTGGGGGATTTTGCCATAAATAGCAGCTTCAAAAACTGTGCAGCAAACGTGGAGATCTTTGAGAAGTAATTTCCTCATGACGCAGACAAGACCTTTGCCTTCCTTGCCGTGTGGTTAAACTTTAAACCCACAGAATGTTTCCAGAAGATTACAAATTGGTGAAGTCATCTTTGATAAGATACTACAATCCCTCTATACCCAAGTGGTCTCTGCCAGATTTGTCTTTAAAAAATGAGACAACCAGAGGGTACACCAAAGGGCTGGATGGGAGTTGTAATCCGTAACCTGGTAAGAAGGATGGGGAAGGCTAAATTAAACTTTTGGAACCAAATCTTTCCTTCATCCCCAAAATCTTTAAATTGAGTGTGTTGCATGTGATCCATCTAGGCTTCACAGAACCATGGTATTGACAAGCACTTGTCTCCCTACATGGTTTATGTAATAAGGGTCAAGATCCTCTTGAACAGAGAGGTTGACTTAGTATATAACAGGCATCTATGGCACTTCCTTTTAGCCTTTTGTTTCTGTTCATGGGGTTTTCTTGGCAAAGAATCTGGAGTGGCTTTCCAATTCCTACTCCAGGTGGATTGCGTTTAGTCAGAACTCTCCACTATGATCTGTCCATCTTGGGTGTCCCAGCAGGGCATAGCCCATATCTTCTCTGAGTTACTCAAGCCCCTGCGCCATGACAAGGCAGCAATCCATGAAAGAAAGCTGACCACCGAAGAACTGATGCTTTTGAATTGTGGTGCTGGAGGAGGCTCTTGAGAGTCCCCTGGACTGCAAGGAGAACAAAGCTATCCATTCTAAAGGAAATCAACCCTGAGTGCTCACTGGAAGGACAGATCCTGAAGCTGAGGCTCCAATACTTTGGCCATGTCATGAGAAGAAAAGACTCACTGGAAAAGCCCCTGATGTTGGGAAAGTGTGAAGGAAAGAGGGGACGACAGATGAGATCGTTGGACAGTGTCACTGAAGCTACCAACAAGAATTTGACGCAACTCCGGGAGGCAGTGGAAGACAGGAGGGCCTGGCGTGCTCTTGTCCATGGGATCACGAAGAGTCGGACACGACTAAACATGGCACGTCCTTAACCTGTGGCCATTTGCCTCCAGATTGATGCTGTTAGTGTTATGCCAGTATAATTATACAAGTGGATTTGACCAAAATATTTTAACTCAGGCTCTCTTCTCTTCTTTGTCTTCTGCACCCGTTATTTTTGGACAGCCACTCACAGAGCTATTTGTAATGGCTCTCAGCTTAAGTTTGGCAACCATTTGTTTTCAAGGACTTGTGAACCAGTCACAGTTGCTATGCCGGACTGCATTCCAAACGTATGAGAGGGATTCCAGCTTATTGTCACAAGGCTATTTATGTATACTGTTGGTGTGATTCAAGCTGTATTACCCAGCTTAGTTCCCTCAGTTCCATTCTTTGAGTAAACCTGACTTTCTACCTACTTTGCTTGTTAAAGCTAGAATTGTGTTTTATAGTTTTGAGGTAAAATGAGGCATGCATGAGGAAGAGAGCAGTTGGCCCAAATATGAGAGGTGTTTTGATTTTGCTGGCTTTCATAAAACTAGTAATCAGAACATTTATTAATTATTATTTGGGGTACTTGTATGTTACCCTCCAACCAGCTGGTTTCCAGGATAATTTAACAATTAGATTTTTTTTAAAAAACTGAATAAAAATTAACTTTTTTAAAAAATCAGCAATTGAAAGCAGATTAAAAGAGCTGAAACCCAGAGCTTAAAAGGACTGAGTGAACGAAAGATCATCATCCAACAACCAAGGCTTTCAAGAAAAGGAAGAATAACTGTCATGTTTTGGGTTTTTTAAAAAAGACTTGATATGCGTGTATTTTTGGAGAATGTTTTGAATCTGTTTATAAACATTTTAAACTTGTTCTAAGTTTTTATTTTTATTATTTTAACTTTACCTTGGGAGGTAGAAAAGTAGGTAGAAATGCATCAAAGAAATATTTTAAATAAGTAAATGAAATGTGATAAAGTAGGCACCTGGTGAGCCACTCTGGAGAGAAGGCTCTAAAAATGAGGTGCCACCACAGAAAAGGCTCTTTCAGCTAAAACTAAAAACATAAACAAAACAGATGGTAAAACTAGATAGGTGGTGGATTTCCTGTTAAATGTTGGCACCCTTTTAAAAATTCCATTTGCTTCCAGAACACCAGATACAGTCCAGGAACCTGAAGTCTTGAAATAAAAGTTCTCTTAGATACTGCCAGCCCACCAGGGTCTACCAGAAGGAAAGATCTATAGTTCAGTGGTAGAGGATAAGCTTTGCATACAAAAGAAGAGTTGCAAGTTCAATCTCTGGCTTCTTCAGTACAGCTGGGAAATTGTGTCTGAAAGGCCTGGAGCATTTTTGCCTGTTAGTATAGATGGAGCACATGTGGTCCTTCCATCATGCCTAGCTAGTCAACATCAAGGAATGATGAGTATTGCAGTCCAAAACCATCTAGAGGAACACACATTGTCTATTGTTGTTGCAGACATTTCAATCCTTCAAGAAAAATCTCCAGTTCATGAATGCGAGATATTGCTTCTGTATTCCATGATTCAAAATGCCTGGGCTTGCAATATCATGTCCTTGTTGACAGCAGGAAAAAGGATACCAAGACTTACATAACAAAAGCTAGCCTAAATGTTGACATCCTAGTCTCTCTAGGATCCGCTCTTCTGCTCTCTCCCACTTACATACAGCAAAACAAGAAATGCCAGAATGTGACATTCTTCTTTAAAATCGATTAACCACATTTCACCGAAACACAAAGCAGTGGTGGCTCTTTTTTTTTTTTGGCACAGACAGACACTGTACAACAGATTCCTGCTTCTTATAACTTTGCACATTTGAGTTATCCAATGAAGTTGAATGGTGGGAAAGTCAGGAGTCACTTCTTCACAACAATATACACCTAATTGAATAACAATATACACCTAAACTTAAGATTTGCTACCATAACATGTAGTGATGGCCCTCTACTTTGAGTACCGTACCTATATGTTAAGAAATAGAGACTGTGAAAATTGCTGGAGGACAACACTATCAGTGGCTTCTGGTCTGGATACAATATCTCACATCAGCTATGAAAGGTGTTTGCCTCTTTGGGATTCCCATAAGCAACTGGTTGCCCACTGTGGGAAACAGGACACCGGATTAGAAGGGCCTTCCACCCAATTTAGTAGGATGAGTTTTATTTATTTATAATCAGTAAATGAGTAAATGCAAGAAGACTGGAGGGAAAATAAATTATTTTAATAAAAATAATTGCAGCTACAACTATAACAACAGAGTATACAAATGAATGATCAGGTACTTATTATACATTATGAAAAAAAATAACATACTGTCTCCCTACCAGTGGGAGCTCACACCAAAAATTTAATAAACACTTTTAATTTAAGAGAAAACGTGCCTTCAAGATATTGGCACAAGCTACTCAAGGCTTTGTCTGAGAGATACTGAGCTTGTAAAACAAGCACCCCCCCCACCAAATATTCACAATGACAGGAATAGGGGACAGTGTGGGCTTTCAGGAACTGGGCATCATGTTGAGTTGAGAAGTGACTTAAAAGACAAGGAGTTGTCTGGGGGCACAAAAGAGCGCTCCCCCCATCTCCTCTGCCAAAAGAATTCAAATAAAAATGTTGCAACAATGCACTAGGCCTATGAAATGCATGTGCAACAGCAAATACTCCACCTTTGAAACAAAACCTCTCTCAAACACATACAAACTTGCATTGTTACCATTGTGGACATAATTCAGGTCTGAACTGAGGCAGCAACAGCAGCTTAACATCAGTGCCTTTATTCAGAAATCAAAAGAGCCAGCTGATTTCTCCATCTTCAAACCACAAAACTCAGTCTCACCCACAGGGAAGTTTGAACCCAAACCCAGATGAGCGATTTATCTCACTATGTTGTAGTCTAGTAGACAGCGTTTCAAAGGTTATTATGACTACGGAGACATTTCTGTGTTTAAACACCCACTTCTATGAATGAATGCAAGGTTGGGAAGGAGTGACACTGTCCAACTTGCCTTCAGATCCCATCGGGATTCCTTAGTACTAGGAAGGTTTTGAATTGACTATCATTCTGTTGCCTAGCAAAATTCCAGAATCTTTTACCCAAATTCAAACACAGATTGTTTGCTCCATAGTCATCACCTTGAAAAGCCATTTCATCGCTGGTCTTGCAGACAGAGCTTCTTCGCTGCAGCAGAAGGAGGAACGAGAGATGTGTCCGTGCTGTCATCTTCCTGAAAAGAATCTGGAACCCCGTGGATCCTTCTCCATACTTTAGCCCGGTGCTCCATTCCTAGACAAGGCTCCAGGATGCCTCCCACTTCTCCAATCCTCCGACGGAAACGGCAGCGGTCACGGGCCATTTCCTCCCAAGGACCTCGGCGTGCAGACCGGGACGCATAATCCCACACCACCAATGGACGGACCCTGACCACTGGAGAGAATCGAACCTAAAGGTAAAAGAAAAAGATGATGAGGCTTCCAGATTACTTCCCAGCAAGATTTTAACTCCATTTTTGAATTGTGCTGAGTCGCAGCCTCCCTTAAATTGCTCTTACCATCCACACGGAAATGTTTAATTATCCCACAATAAAAATAGTACACATGCCATCAAGTCAATTCTGACTTATGGGAGACCCTTTTCAGTGTTTTCCAGGCAGAGAATACTCAGAAGTGGTTTACTACTCCCTTCTTCTGGGGCTGCCTTGGGACGGTGCAGCTTTCCCAAGGCTACACAGGCTGGCCCGACTCACAGGAGGCACAGCGAGGAATCGAACTCCCAGCCTCTGTCTCCACAGCCAGATACCTTAAACCAGTGGTACTTAACCTTTGTTACTCAGGTGTTTTTGAACTGCAACTCCCAGAACCCCCAGCCAGCACAGCTGATGGTGAAGGCTTCTGGGAGTTGCAGTCCAAAACTCCTGAGTAACCCAAGGTTAAGAACCAGTGGTTTAAGGCACTGGTTCTTAACCTAGGGTTACTCAGGAGTTTTGGACTGCAACTCCCAGAAGCCTTCACCACCAGCTGTCCTGACTGGGGTTTCTGGGAGTTGCACTTCAAAAGCATCCGAGTAACAAAGGTTAAGAACTACTGCCTTAAACCACTGAGCTATCCGACCATTACCATTATTTCACAAGCTGGAACAAAACGAATTGTTGCAAAACACAAAGAGCAAGAAACACCCCCCCAGCACCTGCCAGTGAAGGAAACAACAACAACAAATAAATGTGGAAGAAGACTGGGCTGAGTTGCTTTACGATGTATGTCACGTAGTCATCTGGAAAAATACTGAATCTAACTGTGCCAAATGCAATGTGATGTGCATTATTTGCCAATGTGGTCACCCCTTCAGTGCAAAGCAAAACGAACCCAAGTTATTTTAACATCACATCTCAGGCAAGACTGTCTTGCCTTCAAGATATTTGTGTAAGTTACGAAAGGCTTCGCCTGAAATATAGAGTCCGATGCCATTTGTAAGGACAGTGTGTCCCATGCTTCTGTGCTTATTCCAGACATTAAGAAACACGGGAGCTTCTGGAGGAGATCAGAGTGCTTTATTTGGCACAAATGTTAAGCCTCTGCCCCTCTTTCAGTGGGTCAAAGGGAAGTAACCTGGGGTTCTTTTTGACTGCAGCTCCATGGGCCCAAGGCAGCAGCCACCAATGAGCAGAGATAATACAACATCTGTAGTATCAGGGGGACAGCATATTGGTTTGTTTTATGTGTATCTTGCCTTTCCTGGTTTTCGTCTCCACTTCTGTCCCCACAACAACCTTCTGAGAGACAAACTTGCCATGTGAGAATCATGCTCAAATGGTCTCCTCAAATCCTCCTCCAACAGCCTAGCAACTACATCTGGCTTACTCTGAGTGCTGAATGAGGACAGCAGTAACTCCCTATTATAGCCCAGAGAGAAGTTGATAACCCCTCACCCTTTCCTCCTGTGTATGTTGGAACAGCCCTCAAGGCTGACTACACCATATTTCCGCCCCTTTCCTGACTTTCTACCTGAAAAAACAACAACAACTGGATGCTGCCATGAAAGCCCTGGAAGTTACATCACGGGATCTAAAGGTCATTCCTTCCCTGCCTCCACCTATATAGTACTTGGCACATCTGGATTAGATATAGCTTCCCAAAAACTAGGGAGCAAGTACTCTGCCCATGCTCAGAGGCACATTTCATGTGTGTCTCCACACTCTAGGGGCAAATTCGAAATTATATTCCACTCCCACATTCATAAGCATTGCCTTCCATAAGTTCCTCGACAAACAAAAACACACACAGGGGAAAACAACTATTTGTTGGTTTTATAGCGAGCAGTAGAGGTGAGCTAGCTGTGCCCTGCAACCCTGTAGGCTTGACCCACGCCTCTCCCCACCCCACACACAAGCATGAAACTACTATTAAGACCCGCCTACCCCAGTTACCAAACCGCTGCTCAGCTTTCAATAGATCTGCAAGTAACTGGAGGTTGGTCGTTTCCTACGAGAAGTGGGAGGGGCAGCACCAAGCTAAGAAGGGACACAGCTGGGAAAATGTGTCATCCTTGCATCATTCACATCCATGCTGGACATCCAGTATTGCATGGTGGTTGCCAGCTATTTCAAGGTTTTCTCTTCAAAGGGTGAAACCACAGTGTGGGGCAGGGGTGGCACAGTTAAGCCTACAGGAGATTCTGAGAATGAGACTAACTGGGAGTCACAGAGCAAAAAGTGTGAACCATCTTTGTAATAAGGGGGATGAGAAAGTTCAGGAGGGGGAGGATAATTCTATTTAGCAGAGTAGTTAAATTACAGAAAGAGCACTTTATAAATTTATTTATTTGAGGGAGGGGAATGAAAGTTGAAGTCTAACGCAACTGGAGGACAGCTGGGAGTTGTAGTTTAGACAGCAATTCTTCCAAACTCTTGATATCTATAGATCTCCAAGTGTAGGAGCCCTCCTCACCAGTAAAGACAAAGTCCTATGCCACCTTAAATGTACCACCATGAGAGCTTTTTCAGATTGTACCCCATTCACCTGTGATTAAAATTCTTTGGATTTTAGGCACCAGAAAAACCACTTATGTTCTTTCTTTTCTGGGCATTGAATGGTTTTTAAAACATCTTTCAAGGCTCTGGTAAATAATTTAAACTCTTCTGGTCTGCAACTTCTGTTGAGAGAGATTTTATTTATCTGGAATTTTGTATCTGTTTTTAAACACGCTGTACGTTGCCTTGACTGAAGAAAAGGGGACAGCAAGGCAGAAGTAGAATTGTTTCAAATAAATAGGGCACATCCAAGCTATGCCTGCTGAATGTTTGCCTCTGGACCAACTATCCTACCTCTTCACTCTACCCTCTACATAAATGAGAAAGGCCACAATAAGCCTAACCACCACTTTTTGCACAAAAAGCATAATTAAAGTGATACAAATTATGACTACTTCTCAAACACTGACGAATAAAGCAGCTAATTTTAATCCAGGGTATTGACAGAGAAGGACAAGGCTAATTATGTTAGTTACTCCTAATTATAGAGTAGCAAAGAACCAGTAATCAGTTTTTGAACCTTCTCCTCGAGTTTCAACCTATGTTGAACTTCGGAGTTCTGGTTAGTCAACAAAAAGTATTTTAAGCGGCTTACCTTCTTGACTACCTGGTTTTGCTCCTGAGAAACTGTTGGTGTTTCTTTGGTGAAAAGATCCTCATTTTTCCTTGAGTCTGGTTGGCAGCATTTGTGAGCTGAAGATCTATGGTTCACTTTTGGGGCCTTTTTGGGCCATAGTTGCTTTGGCGGATTGATCGACTCCTCGGGTTTCGAGTCCAACTTTGACAGATAAAAAGAGACTGTGATTTCCTGCTGATTCTTGGGCTCAGGTGGGGCAGCAGTGGGGGGCCTGCGAGGCTGAATGGTCTTGGAAAAACAGAGTGGATGGAAAGGATCCTTGTTCATAAAGAAACTGCCACATGTGTTCTCATCTTCATGTAGCGTGTCATCTTTTAATTGCAAGTTTTTCATTCCTGAATCACAGCCCTCTACAGACATTCTGGAGCATCCACTCTCTTCCAACTCATCCCACCAGTCCTCTGAATCATCCTCATCATCTGTCTCTTCTTCTGATGGGCTGTAGAACAGGGACATGACAAGGGAGCTTCTGGAACCCTGGGCCATGGCTGACGTTTCTGAGTTGAGGACATCTTCAGCTTCATCTCCATCTTTCGTGTTCATTTCTACCTGTTCAGCATCATTTAGGAAGTCAGGTGGATTTTCTAAGCTATAATCTTCCTGCATCGCCAAATCCTCATAGAAGAGTTGGTCGTCCTTTCTTTCTTGGGAAACAGGGGTACTTTCCAAACTTTGCCAAAGGTCCCCTTCAAAGTTCTCTAGGTCTCCTTGGTGGCTGGAGTCACCTGGCAGGTTCTTTCCAAAACATCCATCAATCCCCAAGCTCATTTGGGGATGGATACAATCTCCCAATTCTTCCTTGTAGAGCTCTCTCTGGCTCATGATGTCTTCTAGGTCCATGCTGTCTTCTTCTGATGAAGGTTCCCAATTACTCTCCCAGTTCAGAAAGATGGAGGGACTCATGACACACAGTTCAGAAATGCCTTCTTTTTCCAAATATATATTATCCATCTCAGCTTTTCCAAAGGTAGGTGAATGATACTTTCGAAAGTGACCAGAGCAGTTATCTTCAACAAAGCTTTCTATAGCCTCCATTGTACACCTTTCATTATTGTTCACAATGAGAAATTCTAGATGATCTTTCAGGTATTGCTGCTCCATTTTGCTTCCATCGCTTCCAAGTCCTTCCCCCTCAAAGAGTCTCATTGTCTTCTCCAAGATGGCCATGGCCCCTTGGGCCATGCCCTTCAAAATAGCTGCCATCAAGTTTGCAGGAAAATTCTGCCAGAGGTGCAGATATTTCTTCAACCGGTCCATAGCAAACTGAACCATCCGCCCAAGCACCATGATCCCAACGTTCGCTTTAGCAGCAGGGGTGGGTCTGCTCAATTCTGGAGGTAGAGATTTAGCCACCCTGAGTCCAAAAGGATCGCCGCAAATCAGCATCGTAGCTGTATTTTGGCGGTGTGAGGTCAACTGGCTGAATGTGATGCACGGTGGCATTTTAGGTCTGAAAAGAAGCAGAAGGCACATTCCAGGATGGTTACAACAAGAACAAGAATCCACAGGGTTAGAACCACAAAACAGTCTTCCCTAAAGTAAGACTTACGCATCTGGTCTAGCACAGCAGAGGGGAGGAACATGTAGTCCTTCGGATGATGTTGGGCTGCAGTTCCTTTTGTTCCTAGCCAGTGTCGCGAATGATGGAGGGGAGTTGTAGTCCAACAACATCAGGAGACCCAACTTAGCCTTTTCCAGTCCTCTGCTGTCCAGATGTGCCAGATCATAGTCTCCAACATCTCCCAGAAGTACAATTACTGGAATAATGGCAATTTGTGCCCCCCTCCAGTATTTCTGTACTGGCTATTCTTGCTAGGCAAGTTGTGATTGAAATCATTTTTTAAAAAATCACTGATTTTTATCCACCCGGGTGGCAAGTCTAAGTCCATTAATAGCTGAAGCGCTGCCAGCTGTCACATGGTTTGGATGAATATTAGCACAACTATTTTAAAAACTTGAAGTAAGGGAGGTTAAACTATTCAAGTCTACCTGAAATCCACCTGGAAGATCTGCCCCTAATTCCAAAGTGTGCAAGAAAAAGTTGTTTATACTTGGTGAGGCAACAACAGCATTCTATACATCCTCAGAGCCATTATTACTAAATCATGTATTCCAGGAATGTATCTTGGCGTGGATGACAGATTCCAAGATTGAACCCTAAAGCGAGTGGGTTATGGCATCTGGATTGGTTAGATGGGCAGCTGCATTCTTCCCGAGATCACCTCAGGGAAATCGTAACTCCAACACATGTCAGAACATGTTTGTTTTTTTAGACTACAAAGTCAATGGTTGATTCTGGCCAGGGGATATACTAGTTGGAAGATCCAGGAAAGAGAAACCCCCAAAAAAGTAATGTTTCCATGTTTTTCACAAGGAACGCGAGGTGTATTATGAAAAGCACTCTCGGAATAAAGGAAGATTCCAAAAGCAGAAGAGGAACTGGAAAGTTTAGACAAGGAGGGGGAGGGAAGGAACTGGAATCTAGCCCCCCAAGACTTTTTTATCCCACAGTTCCAACACGATTCCTTCGGGCCCCCTGTCTGTGCCTCAGTTTGCCTCTCTTGTTTCCTATGGATCATCTCCCGGTCTGAAAGATGTAGGTTGACTTAATTCAGGGCGCGCCCCAAACAAGCTCCAGCAAGTGCCCCTGGAACGCTGGCAACACCCCAGTCCGGAAGCAGGAGGGGGAAGAACCTCTCTCTCACACACACACACACACACCGTCGGGAAGTTGGCTGTGCAGCTGCTGCTGGGGAGAGAGGAAGGACGACAAACCCGCTGACCCACAACAGGTTAGATCTAGATATGGGAGTGGGCGGGGGGGTGAGATGATAAGGGGGGAAAGGGAGGGGAATATACACTTTGAAAAGTCCTAAATACTATGAGAGGACTCACGTGTGCGGAAACAGAACATCTAGCACAAAACAGTGGGAAACCCATAACCATCAGAGACCTCTCTGAAACGGGAAGGGACTCATTGCGATGTTTATTTTCTTTTCCATCTGATTTTTATTTTTATTTGGTTCTGTGGTCTTTCTCAAGCTAAAGGGTAATGGGGGTGAAGAGCAAATGTAGAAAAAGACAAGAGTTCAGGGACCTTGGGAGCAAAGAGGATGTGTGTATAAAGTCCTGTGCTAGGATAAGGCCCTTCGGAGGAAGCAGAATACAGAGAAGGAAGGATGCTGGGTCCTGACCAGAGGGGCCTGGAGCTCAGAGGCGGAATGCGGGTTTAGTTTTGGTATGCAAGGATTCGGTATGTGGGCAGAGCGGAGAAGCAGCAAAGAAAGAAAATATGTGGTAGACCTTGCAGGGGGAGCCAGGCTGACGGGTAGAAGGATAAAACAAAGAAGTGCTAGATTTAGAGGAGGGAAAAAAACACCAGATTTTCTTCTATGGGAAGAAGAAAAAACATCATTCAGAGAGCAGACAAACGAAATTCCTGATTGTCATGTGATGGGGTTGGGGCAGAACAAAAATAAAATGGAGCACCACACGAGGGGTTCAGTTTGGGAGGCTACAGGAAAGGGTTGTCTGGAGGGAGGATCAGATTATATACAGTACATTGAAATAGGCCGACTATACCAGATTATGAAGAACTTAAAATGCAATTTTTAAAAACTAAATGTTATGCTTTGTGCAACTATGAAAATAATATTCATTTCTGGTTACTCGCTATTGCTCTGGAGCCTCAGCATGTTAATCCCCTCCTGGAAGATCTTCCTATAGGGATAAGACCGTTCCTGGGGTATAAATCTGAGGGTGTGGGGGGCAGAAGAACCGCCCTCTTGTTTGAATCTAGACAGTTTGGGGAACTGGATTAAGCCAGACCGGGTCCTCTGCAGCCATGAAAAGCTGGTTCGGTCTGGGTGGATATGCCAAGAGGCCGAGACAGAAGGGGAGCGGGGCCAGGGGAGCGGATTACACCCCAGGAAGGAAGCTGGGGCGGAAGGGGGGGTAGCCAGGACGCCTGGGTTCTCTTAAATTACAAAAGAATAACAAAACGAGGCTCCACTGCACGCCTGGGCGTTAGTGGTTGGGAAACAATAGCTCCGGTTTTGTTTTGAAAAATCGGCGGGTGGGACGCCTTTGCCCCCCAAAAAACAGAATAACGAACGTGGGAATCGGGACTCCTGGGGTCAGGAGTCCCCAAGGTAAGGCTGTCTACCAGCATTAGGGGCTAAAAGCAGGACAAGACTTCCGAGGACATGGAACCTAATTATCTAATTATGGGGTTACCTTCCCCGCCCTGCTCACCTCCGGAATGTTAACCCGTGACGAACTCGCTCCAGCAAGCGGCTGCGGGGTTGACGCGGATCAGGAGTCGAATCGCCGGCTTCCCACGACCACGCTCGTTCGTCTCGGTAGAATCCATTTCGCCCGATGGAGAACGACTACGCGCTGCTCTTTTTCTGGCTTCTCAACATGGAATAAGAATGTTTAGGTGTCACGTCCTGGCAACGCACTCTTTATAAATAGCGGAGTGGGGGGGGGAACGGTAACGTCATTGCTTTGTGACGTTAAGGAACGGAGGGTGTGGCCAAGTTGAAAGAGAGCCCGACCGCCGGGAAGGCTCGCGAGTTTCCCAGGAAAGGGGCGGGAGGGAAATAACGCGTCGCTCTCTAGGTCACGAGGGGTCAAAAACCGAAAAACGAATTACAGTATTTCTCTCTCTCTCTCTCTCTCTCTCTCTCTCTCTTTTCGGTCTAAGAAACACCTTCAAAATAGTGGATAATTCCTATTTTCGTTTTCCACTTACCTCTTTCGAAATCTGGAAGTTGTGGGTCGTGGCAATTGGACTTCTTTCTTGTTAAGTTGAAACGTTGGCCACTCATCTAAGTAGCTTCTTCAGTCTTAACAAGAAAAAAGTCCAGTTACCATGACTCTTCTTCCAGAGAACCACATCTGAATGACTAAGCTATACTGTACTGTCTTTCTAAAGTCACTCCCTATTGAAACAAAGATTAAGAGAGCCACCCAGGGCTCTTTAAAGACTTAAACACATTTGGACTTTTGTGGCTTATGAATGCACTTGACTAGGTACCACCCGGTGTTCTCCAAGCGGGTTCTGGCCGATGCACTATATTTATTTACATGAATGCACTTGACTAGGTACCACCCGGTAGGGGTTCTGGCCGATGCACTATATACAGTATTTATTTACAGCTATTTATTAGATTTATATACCGCCCATCTAGAACGTGTCTACTCTGGGCAGTTATGGGATTCTAAACAACGGACTTGGGGGAGATATATGTACAAACTACTGATCTGACTTTTAAGACTACCGGATTTATTTATTATTTGAATTTATGTCCCGCATCATCTGGCAACCAGGTCACACTGACTTTAGTGTGAGTTGTCATGGTCTACAATTAATATTTCAATCACAGGTTTATGCACACAGAGTGTCAGCATGCATGCGTGTGGGTCTGGCCACATGACACTTTACTATCCCTTCATATAGTTTTCATACCTCATGTATGCAGCAAATAAAGCACGTGCAATGTGAACACAATCCTCGATCCCCATTCAGACCTCTAGTGATAGACTGATGCCTTGTAATGAATCGTCAGGAATCTCTTTGATTTATCATTTGTTTGTTTGTTTGCAGCTTACAATGGATTAAATTCATTAAAAACATTTAAAACATTTGAAAAAACAAGTAAAAACATTTGTTGAAAGCAGATATTTTCTTCTGTGCCCCACAAGACGTTTGGAAAATATATCATCACTTCTAGTCACTTTTTAAATACAATGGATCGAGCTGAGATGTCCAGCGCTCCACCTTGCCCGGTTATTCTCAATTCCTTTCAACCTGTGACGCCAGATTTGGTGGACAAGGCACTTGATCGCTGTCAGGCCTCCACCTCTTCTCTCGACCCTTGCCCGGCCTGGCTAATCAAAGCAGCCAGGCCTGTAACAACAGAATGGGCCACTGCAATAATTAATGGGTCTCTCCAGGAGGGCAAGGTTCCCCTTGCCCTCAAGGAGACACTCATTAGGCCCATTAGGAAGAAACCAAATTTGGCGACGGACGACATTGGAAATTATAGGCCCGTCGCCAACGTTTCTTTCCTTAGCAAGGTGGTTGAGAGGGTGGTGGCAGATCAGCTCCAGGCGCTCTTGGACGAAACCAATGCTCTGGACCCATTCCAGTTGGGCTTCAGGCCGCGCTATGGCACGGAAACGGCATTGGTCGCACTGATGGATGACCTGTTGAGGGAGGCCGACGGGGGTAACACATCCTTGTTGGTCCTCCTTGACATCTCAGCGGCCTTTGATACCACTGACCACGGTATCCTCCTGGGGAGGCTCTCTGAGTTAGGAATAGGTGGCCTTGCGCTTGCTTGGCTCCGTTCCTTCTTGGAGGACCGGCCCCAGAGAGTACAGCTTGGAGAGAGGGTTTCGACCCCGTGTAGCCTCAATTGCGGGGTTCCACAGGGGTCGATCATCTCTCCAATGCTGTTTAACATCTACATGAGGCCGCTGGG